TCCATCAACAGTATCCATCAGATTTTCTCTCTACGCTATGAATTTATCCTATTCCTATAAACAATCAGCATATACCAAGTAGATGACGTATAATTGAAAAACATCGGGCAGCTATTTTCAGCTATACAGATAAGACTTCATACCATGACTTGGATCCAAGATTAGAGTGTCATGTGGCGGTGTCATGTGTGGAGGGGCACGAGCTACTGTGGCGTAGTAGTTACCATCCTTAGGTAAGCGGCAGAAAACGGCAGTATTCATCACCGCCAAAAATTTACAGATCCGACGACAGGTTCTCGACGAGATTGCGAACCGCTGCACCACAACACCAGCGCAAAGATGCCGCATTCCGATCCCGATGGCCCGCTGGCAAAGCGCCAGAAAGTCTCGACCTTGGCCAATGCGTCCGAAACTCCAAGCAATTCCTCGCGAATCTTTGCGCCTTTCAGAGTCCGTTCATGCGATGCCCTTGGGGCTTTTCCATCATTGGCATAGCAGGTTCTAACCACTCACTGTGTAGACTGTTGGATTAATCTCCCCATCCAATATCCCATTCACTTCGGTTCCGTTAGGTAAAACAACTTTTCAAATCACAACATCGGTTGGTCGATCTCTGCAGACGTACGACTTGCTCCGCGGTCTCAATCTCGTGTTCGTTACTCGACCACAAACGCTCGCCGACATTACTGCTACGTTAGCCTGGGGAAAGAAGGTCTTTGCGGCATGGGGTGGATCGCAAGATGGCGAGCCTCAAGGCTTATGGGTCTTTCAAAGAGGTAGAAAGATTGCTGAGGTAGCCCTCCCAAGCGACTTGGCGGAGCCAATTCAACAAATCACAATCTTTGGAACCTGGTTCATTGCTTGCGCCAAGACGAGGATTGAGGTATTCAAAACGGCGACGCTTGAGCATTACACCACCATCCACACCATGGCTGCTTCCAAGGGTGGCCATGAGATCACGGGTGGCGTTGTCACTATGCCAACCTATCTGAACAAGATCTTTGTTGGTCGCAAAGACGGCTGGGTTGAAATCTGGAATATTAGCACCGGAAAGCTGATATATACCCTTTTGCCGCCTTCGCCGGATTCTGGAGCTGTCACTTGTCTCGAGCCAACCCCAGCGCTCTCTATGCTGGCGATCGCATACTCGAACGGTTCCCTGGTCATCACCAATGTTCTGACTGATAAGCGCGTTCTTCAAGTCGAAGCCGGGCATGCAGACGCCCCCGTTACCTCAATATCCTTCCGGACCGATGGCTTGGGAGCTGGACACGACGGTAGAAAGGATGGCGTCATGGCCACTGCTACCCCGGCTTCTGGCGACATCACCTTCTGGGATCTAAACCGTGGAGGTCGTGTGATGGGAGTCCTACGCAGCGCTCACAACCCACCATCAGGCGAGGGTGGTGCTGTTCTTGGCGGTATCAGCAAAGTCGAATTCCTGTCTGGACAGGCAGTCATCGTTTCTAGCGGCCGGGATAACTCGCTGAAGACGTGGATCTTCGACGAAACACCCTTTTCCCCTATCCCGAGAATCTTACATTCACGTAGCGGACATTCTGGACCGGTTAATTGCCTACAGTTCTTACCTTCCGATTTTGACGGCGCCGAAGCCGGAAACAAATGGATCATCAGCGGTGGCAAAGATAGGAGTCTTTGGGGATGGAGTATGCGCCGCGATGGCCAGAGTACGGAGCTCAGCCAAGGCAATATTCGCAAGAAGGCAAAGAAGATTGGTATACTGGCTACCAGCGCACTTTCACATGGTCCAACAACGACTTTGGAAGACCTCAAAGCCCCCGAAATCACCTGTATTGCCACTTCGCTCAATCGCGATGGCGGCATTGGCGCATTGCCGGGGAAACAGGAGATTTGGCAAAAGGGACGAGACCTCAGCAAGAAGATGGACGCTGAGCTTAGTGGCATGACGGGCTGGGAAAGTGTTGTCACAGCTCACAAGGGCGACCCTTGCGCCCGTACCTGGTTCTGGGGCCGAAAGAGAGCTGGTCGTTGGGCACTCCCGACAGGAGACGGCACCGACGTTACCACTGTTGCCATCAGCCCTTGCGGAACTTTCGCACTGGTCGGCTCCGGAGCTGGTGGCATTGACATGTACAATCTTCAATCTGGTGTCCACCGCCAGCGCTTCCCGTCCAAGTTGACGCCAGCGCAGGCTCGCCAGCTGAAGATGCAGCAACTTCGACAAGCAGATGATGTTGTCCAGCTACAGAGCGAAGGCAACCGAAAATACCCCGCCGGCGTCGGTAAACATACCAAGGCCATTACTGGTTTAGTTGTCGATTCTATGAACAAGACTGTGGTATCTTGTGGGTTGGATGGTAAGATCAAGTTTTGGGACTTTTTGACAGGAACCCTTCTTGAACAGCTGGACTGGGCACCCATGACATTCCCAACTGGATGCCGATACCATCCAGCCAACAACCTTTTGGCATTTTCTTGCGATGATTTGTCTATCCGAGTTGTGGACCTGGAGACGAAAAAGACGATTCGTGAATTCTGGGGTCCCAAGGATGTCATCAACGACTTTTGCTTTTCCAACGATGGCCGGTGGATTATCGCTGCCTCGCGCGATTCCGTGATAAGGATATGGGATCTGCCCACCAGCCACCTTATCGATGCTATTCGGTTGGAGAAGCCTTGTAAAGCTGTTGCCATGTCATTCACCGGCGAATATCTCGCTGCAGCTCTCGAGGATAGCCCTGGCGTTACGATATGGACGAACAAGGCCCTGTACAAGCACGTCCCAACTCGCCAGATATCCGAAGCGGAAATTGGTCTGGTGGCTGCACCTACGACGGCTGGAGAAGGAAACCAAGGCTTGCTGGAAGCTGCCTTTGAAGACGACCAGGAGGAGGAAGACAGTGGCGTTGTTGCGCCTTCAATTGATCAGATCAGCTCAGACCTGATGACGTTGAGTTTGGTTCCCAAGAGCAGATGGCAGACGCTGCTCCATCTGGATTTGATCAAGGAGCGAAACAAGCCGACCGAGGCGCCAAAGCTCCCCGAAAAGGCTCCCTTTTTCTTGCCATCCACTTCTGGTGCGCAAGCGCCTGGGCTCAAGGACGATGCTGAGCAAGCAGAGATGGATAGCAAGTCTCGTATCTCGAGATATGACCAGGACCGCTTTGAAGAGGCATTTACGTCGAAGCTGCGTGCTGGTGCTGAAAACAACAATTGTAAGCATCCTGCGTGGACATTTTCTATTGCACTAACTAGCATTTGGACAAGTACTAATCTTTTTATCCGCAGACGACGATTTCATCGAGCACCTCAAGTCTCTCTCTCCTTCAAGCGCGGATCTGGAGCTTCGATCACTTTCCCTGGGCGATGACGACGAGTCAAACGAGCTGCTGCTATTCATCCGAGCGCTTACGACTAGACTGCAAGCACGAAAAGATTACGAGTTGACGCAGGCGTGGATGACAGTGTTCCTCCGACTACACTTTGACTTGGTGATGGAGAATAAGGCTTTGCTGAAGGCTCTTGAGGAGTGGAAGGAGCAGCAGGAGAAGGAATGCAACAGGCTGGATGATTTGGTTGGATACTGCAGCGGCGTGGTCACGTTTTTGAGAAGCCCGCGGACATGATGTGTTGGGCCATGATTTTTAGACTATTGTAAATAATAGATGGGAAAGACTAGCGGACGAAAACAATACGTTTGTACCTTATATCCATCTGTAACTGATGTTTGTCTATGTCCACGTATATATTCCAAGACCATCCAATATTTCTTCCGCTCTAACAAGGCACCTATATTGCTACTTTCGAAAATCTGAAGCCCCGCAGCGCCAACAAACAAGCCTTGATATTTCTTCTTCGTGGCTCCCGCAAGCAGAAGCAACACAATGAAAAAAAAAAAAAAAAAAAGAGAAGATAAAAATCAAAAATTGCGCCTCCCATGGCCCCGAAGGACAATGGAGCAAGGAGCCGACTCCGCGATGTGCAATGCAGGTCCTCCACACTGCATTCCCAGCAGCTTGATCTTGGGAATGCGAAACAAGGTAAGTATGGAGAAAAGAAAAAGAAGAGAAATTCGAAAGAGAGAGGGAGGGGGGAAGGGGATTATATAGATGGAGGAGATGGTCTGTGCGCTGTGGGCGGTCAAAGTTTTGTGAAGGTGAAGTTGAAGGGAAAGTGAGAGTGAGGCTTTGGTGTGAGTGGGCAGGTGCAGCTGCTGCCTGGAGGGCTGAAGGTGAATGTTGGTTTCTACTTTGCGGGTACACAAACATCAGGCTCTCTGTTGGAGCTGGGCTATACAATTTGTATTTACTGGGAATTTAATAATGATTAGTCTTTTGTAGCCATCAAGTAGCTTTCTGGTCGTGAAATGAGGAGCTGCTGCCTGTTCTGATGCTGCTTATACCCATCATGGCAATGGCCGAAAGTGTTGCTCTAGGAATGATTGGATGCCAGCGACTTTCCCAAGCCTAACCGTGGCATGGTTGTTTCTCACTTTTGCTCTTTTTTACATACGATGGGTGATGAAGACGTTAGGGGTCAGGTTGTACAGTAGAGGATGGTAAAATGGGCTTTGAGATTTGGTAGGGAGAAATAAATTCGACGAACTCTCGTGAGACCTACCTTTTTCTACTCATATTGAAACATACTTTTCATTCTTAGATCGCAATATTAATTATATTCTTTCGACTGGACAGCTTAAACTACTATATGTATTATTTTTACTTTATCATCTATAGAATTGGCTGCACAGATAATAAAATCTGCCGTGCGCTAATATGTAAACGTACCCTGGATCTGTCGCAATCAATTTCGAGGCAGTGTAGGTAGGACGAGGCCAACACACGACGATTCAGCCTCGTTGTTTGAGCTATTTATCATGTTCACACCATACTCAGTCACGATGTCATTTTCATCCAGTCCTTCATTCTTCCCCTCTCGCCAGATTCGGCGCTTTTCCATCAATATCCTGCAACAATAGCTCGCCCCCCAGCTCTCCGTTTTTGGCGTGACGAATATCGATGGCTTGCAACCTATCCGAGAGTAAACAGCTCGGCTCAATGGCGGAGATGCAACAGCTTAATGATAACCTCCTCTCACTAAAGATTGCGGAAGAAGCGCAAACCGCATCGCCGTCTTCATGTCTTACCGACTCGCCGGACCATTGGGATTATAATGCTGAAGGAGACGGTGCACAATCACAATGGAGAGAGTGTATGAAGCCTCACTAAACGTCTCGACGAACTCTTTATTAATGCCAACTTAGTCAATAGTTTCATGGACAAAAAGGCTAGGACACGTCCTTATCCGAAATATCTATACCGAGCGCATGTTCACGGCCACCCGTTCCCTCGATTGCCAGACGTTTTCGAAGGAGAATATAGTGATAGCTTCGGTTCTGATCTTCATCTTTGGTGTGAAGATGACGCACAGACGCAAATGTTCATGCCCATAGGCGACCTGATGGATAATTATACTGTCGAAGACTTGTTTTGGCACCTAAACCTTCATCTTGGAAAGACTTGTATCAATCTCCAGCCAAATTCCCATGGCGAGCAACCGTTCCTATCTCCCCTTGTCTCTCTTAGCGGCGACTTCCGTTGGACAGCACAAAGAATCTGTCGGGTTGGTAGGATGATAAGCAAAGACAGAGACCAAATGCCTGGCTTGGCCATCTTTAAAACATCAAATATCAACCCTAGTGGGGTACGTGTCTATCGGGTAGAAGATATGCTTTCATTTTTGAACACAAGACTCGCAGAGAGCTCTGTTCATATTTCTTCACAGCGCCAGGGCTGGGCTAAAAATGCCGATGAATATGTTTGCTGGAGCCTTGTCCCTCGAGATGCATTGGCTGCCTTTACTCCATTAGCTGAGCTGATCGAGACATCGAATGGCGGAGACGAGGCTTTCTTGACGAAAGGGTTTGTGGACTCCAACTACCTCGGCGATTTCAGGCAGCTTTCTCGAGTACATCCGGTACATATCTCTGTGGAAGAGTATGCAGAAAGAGCATCAAGATTTATGCACAACATCATTGCTAATGTTTCGTCTTTGGAGGAAGCGAAGCAGCTGTGTATGGATATGGAAAGGGTGCTGTTGAACCCCGATATATGGGGCTACGGGGTTGCCAAATCTGTACAAGGCTTGGACGAAACAATCTCGTCGTCCCTGGAAAAGGTACTGGAAACGGCTTTCATGGTAAAATGACTAGGGGATTCTTGACCTTGATGCAAGGAAATTGTTTGAGCACAGGTCTTGTATGTTGATGCTGTGCTCGATGTATTCTCCCTATAGTAAACTCCAATTTGATCTTAATGATATGACGGCTCCATTTCTCATGGATCTCTTCAAGCGACAATGTTATTAGCGGTAACGATATTTACTGCGCCTGCTCAGTAAATTCTGCCAGCGACACGACTCCCAATAGTGGCCCTCTTTCCCACAATTTTAGCACATCACTCGTCGTTCCGGGATAGTTATACTTGCTCTCACGCTGCCGAGATGGTGCTTGCGCCTGAAGCTGCTCAAGAAAGCAAGCTGCCTGGCTTTTCAGTTGCTCGCGCCAGTGCTCCACCTCCAGCATGGCAATCAAGTTGCGAGCCCTCTTCGTCGGCCGGCCAAGGCTGTCTTCGATGCCTTTCCTGATTTCAAATGCGCCATCGCATTGCTTGCCGTTGTCGTACCGAACAAGGCTCTTGCTGATGACCACATCTCATAGCAGCAGCTCTTGATCCTCCTCAGTGCTGGGCACACGGCGCAGGTTCCGGTCAACAGCTGCTGTTGCTGCACTGACTTTGCCAACATCTGTGAGGCGGAGCAGCACAATGTTGACGCTGCCCATCCGCCCAAGACAGTACGGGGGTGTCGCGATGTTTTGAACTCAATTTCAATGTCATCATTTGTTTACGCTGGATCAGAACTGCAAGACTGATCCCGAATTGATGACTCCCAGATCATTGGCCGTCGCGCAAAACGAGGAGCCGTGACGGGGCTTGTCAAAGAGCCACGGATCGTTGACTCTGATCTTGGCTTCATATTTTATTATATGATTAGGGGAACATGCTTCCATGGTCAAGCATCTCCTGGCATTCAAAGCTTCCAAGGTTCATGATTCAGCTCCGTACAGGTAGCCTAAAAAGATCTCCATCTCTCAAAAGTCAGAATACCAGTCAACGCAGCAAAGGCGTCGCTCGTAAAGTAGACACCGCGATATAGTCATGACTTTGAAATGTAACGTAATTTATATAACATCTATTAATAGACCGGTGTCCAAGACGTAATCTTTTCCGCCTGTTGGTTATGCCATTTAACATGTAAAAGTACCTCTAAAGTACAAATCGACAGAGGTGTCCACCCACAATCCGACTGCAATTACATTTTGCACAAGGTACCTATGCATCTACTATACATACGCCATATAGTAATAATTTCGCTCAAGTACTACCTAATAAGCGCTGTAACGTTGACGCCTGATTTACACCCAACCTTGTCTTTGTTTCCTTGAAGATATAATCTCTTAGCACTGTTTTTTATCTTGTTTTCCTACTTTAACATCTACATTTCCTAAATATTGCAGCTAGAGTCATACTCTATCCCCGCACTTATGACCAAACTAACCCACCCCCAAAAGCTACTCCAGAATATGTCAGACCCTGACAGCTATACTGTGGGCTGGATCTGCGCTCTACCCATAGAATTTGTGGCTGCACAAAGCCTCCTTGATGAGAGGCACGAGCCGCTCGCATCCCGTTCCCCAGGGGATATCAATAGCTATACTTTAGGAAGCATTGGAAATCACCGAGTAGTTATTGCTATTAACGAGTATGGCACGACAGAGGCAGCAAGTGTTGCTCGAGATATGTTGGGCAGCTTTCGCAATATTCGCATCGGTCTAATGGTCGGGATTGGCAGTGGCGCTCCAAGTCGAAGAAACGACATTCGCCTGGGTGATGTTGTTGTTGGCGCTGGTCGCGATGGGAATGGGGGTGTGCTCCAGTACGATTTTACAAGAACCATCCAGGACCAGGCCTTTCAGGTTACTGGAGTTCTAAACCAACCTCCCGCTATCCTAAGCGCTGCGATTAGCAATATCAGGGCGCAATATGAGACCCATGGCCACCAGCTTGAGCAGACCATCACATCCCTGATTCAACGGAATCCAAGGCTGCAGAAGAGATATTCACGACCACCTCAGGACAAGGATAGGCTTTATCAACCATCTGCCACCCATACCCCCCAAGGTTGGCTAAACTGCGCAGATTGCGGAGATGATCCTTTACGGGTACATATCCGGCCACCTCGACAGGCTCTTGACGATGATCCAGCGGTGCACTACGGCCTAATTGCATCTGCAAATCAGCCTGTGAGAGACGCTGTAACCAGAGATAGGCTTGCTACACGAAGAGAGGTCTTATGCTTCGATACGGAAGCCGCAGGCCTGATGAGCCACTTCCCATGCGTAGTCATTCGGGGTATATGCGATTATGCAGATACTCATAGCAACGATGTGTGGCAAGGTTACGCTGCCATGACCGCAGCTGCATATGCCAAAGATCTTCTTCTTAGAATCCCTGCTGAAAGAATCGAGGCCGAGAATCCGGTTTCCCTAGGTTTGTATTCTCACATCTTGTATTCAGATGTACGAGCTTCTTACTGATGCACCATCTTTTCTTCCTCTAGCTCCGCCCCCAGCAGATGGAAACAACCAGCCTGGCGCGACGCCTCAGAATAGAACCAGGTATTGGATCATTATCGAACAGGATTCTCTGGATGTCGTCACCTCAGACATCACACGATACGAAGCCCTGAGGGAAGCTCTTTCTAACTGGAGTCTCCAGGAGCTTCCTTTGTTGCAGTGGACAGGCGGAGAGGAGTCACGGTCTACGTATATAACTGTCGCGACCAACGCTGAGACGTTGCTCCAACGACATGGACTAAAGATCCGCAGGGATATCGACGCATGGGCATATGTGCAATCAGCGGAGTCCGTTGATGCCTTATCCCCCAGAGACAAGGCTCTCTTTTTGGGAATGTACGCAGGTTATCACTTTGCTGGTCCTTATGCAGCTGGGTGGGCTCGAGCTGGGCGAATTATTAGCACAATGTCGTGGCTGATGGAATATATGGCGGTGGAATAGCTAAGAATACCGATTTAATGAAATGCGCCATCTGGTTTCACATGATTATTGACTGGGTGAGTTGAACAGCGGTGCTGGATGACCTTCCGCCAAACATGTTTGCAAGAAACATCCCCTCAAAAACTCTACAGTCTTTGTCGTAATCATTCATGAATCTAAAATCGTTTATATGTAGTATAGATTGAAAAAGCACCACATTCCATCATATAACATCAAAATACTGAGGCGAGCTATTTCGATCTTCCAGGTCCTTCCACGCCTTTTCGTCTGTATAGCATTCTCCTACCAACTGGACAACTTTTGGACTTTGGGCGATGCCGTTCTTGTGGATATCCCTGAATGCGAATGGAACTGCAGCGCCGACACAAATGTAGACTTCGTCATTAATCTCAAGCCCTTCGGGTCCAATGCCCATGTAATCTGTATCGGTGATGAAAAAGCGACGAGAGTGACAATGCTTCAAGATGGCTTGGACATAGCCCTCGTAACTGGGAGGATAGTCTTTTGCCGCAAGATGGAATGGAATATCTGTAAATGGCAACACAGAGCCTTCCGTGGCTTGTGTAGATTTCCTTTCCGAAGCCATTTGCCTGACGCGAGATTCCCAACTCAGTGCGGATGCCTCGCCCTCTAGCGCTCGCTCGCTTTTGATGAAATGAACAAATGCACTAGAATACCCAGCGCTGTAGGTGCTTATAACTTCGTAAAAGAAATATTCATCGAAGGCTTTAGCGCGGTAGTATTGAGGTACGATGTTTGCCTTTCTTCTACTAACCATAGCCTCATCTTGTGATAAAGACTTCCACTCGTCTAAAGGAAAAAGGCCTTGGCCGGCGCGATATGGCGAGCCAAGTTTTATAATCCTGCCACATGCGTGGCCAGCTATGCGTAATCTCGCGGATTGTTTCATCGTACCGGTGGTAGATTGATCCAAGATGATCTGTGGACTTTTGGGATTATCCGCTGGCTTTTGGAACATCCGGGGTCTGTTGTGTGCTATGCGCAAAGATGTCCCAAGAATTTCGCGTTTGGGTTGGACACTCCAATCTGGTACCCATGATGGCAGACCATGAATTGTTGAACCTCCTTGCACGGCACTGAGAAGGTCATAGCCGTTATCAGCCATGAGGGCCAGGGCGCAGTCTGTATAGACTTTGGCGACTGCATCTTCATATCGTGGCTTGAGGTTGAATTGATTGTCTGACGTGTCCAACAACGATAACATGCTGTAGATTTTATCTCGGGCATCTGTCGCTTCGCAATGTCTTGCTTGGACAAGGAGTTTGAGCATCGGCAGCTTTACACGGTGCTCTGTCTGCGAGACGTTGGGTGCGGAGACTACAAATGGCAGCTGTTGTAGCCATTTGTTGGTTGTGTTCCAACTATTGAAATGCTTGATTGCCGACCAGGATAGCGTCTTGTCCCCGCAGTATGCTATGCCAGTCGCCGGTAAGACGACTTCTTGAATGACCCATACTCTTGTAAACCAAGGTCGATAGAAGAAGCTGCTTAATGCTTGAACCAACTCTGCAGATTTTGGGTAGCTCAGCGAGTTTGTATCTGCAGACGGTTTATCGCATTCTATGATGAAATCAATCGCTAGATCGCTATCCTGTGAAGCCTCGCCGAGGTAGATGGCAACGTTTGTGGCACTGGAGTAAATTGCAGCCATAAGAGACACTTGGTGATTTCTTTCTGCCACATTCGATTGATCAATGCTCAAAGTGTCTATCCATAAGATGCGCGGACGGTCTTGGTACCGTAAACGACGAAGAGCAGAGACACAATTAGAAGTAACAAATAACTCTTTTGGTCGCTCATGCTCGTGAGACTTGATGAAGACGGTTTGGCGGTCATCAGGGTCTCCCCAGGTATATGATAATGCTTCATAGGAGATGTTTGAATGAATTTCAGCAATTAATAGCTCACAAATGATTGAGTCATCGCTTCCTGGCTGGAGAGAGACGAGGCGTATGTGATTTGGCGTTGGAAGAGCCGGTCCGGGATATGCGGAGCTGGCTGCAGCTTTTGAGTTGAGATGTTCCATTATCGTTCCATATAGGTGGGTTTCCAATTCACAAATGTTAAATTATGGCCTCATGAGTCATTGGCCAAGCGCTACTTGCTTTCTGATGCTCGAATGGTGCCAACCTGGCTGTAATGCCTGATTCCAAGATTGGTTTCCTTGCTGTATGTAAGTTGCGCGCAACTTCAGTGAGCTTTCTTGGTAATGATCCAACTGAAGTGATCGATTCGATGAGCATTCGCATCCAAAGAAGAATAAAGAAGGAGGAACAAAAGAAAGAAAGAAGGAAAGAATAGTAAACATTGAAAGGAAGAAGAAAATAAAACGTGGGGAAGGATGCCTAACATGAGTGCCTGGGTAGTATCCAAAATGACAAGTGGTGGGGTATTCGACGCAGCTAGAAACAGGCATGTCACGCTGTATGCTTCAAGGGTGCGAAGAAAATAGGAACCGCAGAACAAGACAAAGCTGCACACACAAATCCAAGACATGAACACTATTTTTTAAAGGAAAAGTCATCTAGCACCTTGGTTCTATTATGCAACACTGGCCTTGATATTTGACAAAACGTTAATATTCCTTCCAGCGTCTCGTGCTGGGTCGGATCCGTCTACATGTATCCTTATGTGCACTCTTATCACCTACTACCTGCCTAGGTATAGGTATACACCGCCTCAGCGATGCTGCCAAGATAAACAATGTTATTGTTACAAGTTGGAATAGACTGCGAGTTAGAGTCAGTTCACGGCAGACACTTGAAGCAGTCGGCCAATTGCGGCTCTCACCCAATGGGTCTAAAATTAAACAAGCAGAGCCAGAAGACGGGCTATAAAGCCTAGATTTCCTCCATCACTCCAGCAATGCGAGCAGAAGCGGGAGCTATAAGTATCCAATACCGATTCGAAAACCAAAACGTCGCACCAGCTGATTAGGCTTGTAATAAAAGAGTTAATAGTAAATAGACGACGGAGGTATGCGTCGTGAATCATGTGCCCATGCCAATTATGTACAAACCATTCAATATATACAAGAACGCTCGGAAATACCAACGTGAAATAGCACTGCCCGCCATCTTCGTATTAGGAGTGGGAATTCAGTCCATGAGCTATCCAAAGACTTCGCCGCTGCACCCAGCCCTGCCAGGATAACGACCATGCCTCTGGAACCAGCGCAATATCGAGAACTGCATCTTTGTGGCTACGTCGCTGCCTCCGACCCTGTCAGATTAACAACCATGCCAAAAGACGCATATTCCCGACGAGCTGGTAGTCAGTTTTTCTGAATGGCTGCCCGCTGCCCCCAGCCCTGCCAGGTTAGCGGGTATGCCCCCCAGTCGACTGTCACTCAGGCGCTGAATCCCCAATGTAGCTGATCCCCCTTATACTGCTAAGCATGCCTTGCCCTTGTCGTCGAGATGCCACAGCGTGCATCCGACATCTCGTCTGGAAGCCCGTTTTGACTGTAAAAAGGTTTTGACAACAGTTGAGGTGGTTTGGTCCAGAGGATGGTCCTGGCTATGTCTGCTTTGTTTGCGTGACCGCCGTTGCCCAAAGCGTTGATGAGAGGGCCTGTTGCCTGTCTTGGTTTCGAGCGGCTGGGTGTAGCAAGCAGACATTGATTGTGATTCAAGTGGTTCTGGTGTTGTATGATTCGTTTGGGTGTAGTTGATAGACGTAGGATGACTTTCGCCTATGCCAGCATCAGATGGCGTTGGGCTTGGTAATGGCCCTCCGCGGCGTCTTGTGTATTGCTCTTGACCCTGATTTTCTAGTTGCCGAATGCGGGCCATGGCCGTGGAATATGAACGCCTGTAGAGCTGCTGTAGAAAGATTTTCTCTTCATCTTCCTCCTCCTCCTCCAAAGGATCCTCGTCAATGCCTGGCCAAAGTTGCACACTCGTATCGCGTGAGCTCACTGATGGATCATCTCGAAATTTTGTGGGATCCGGTTCTGCGGGGGAATCGACATGGAGATCTTGCCGACTCGGATCGTGCCAGGATTTTTCCAAGTTCTTTGCTGTTTCCTTGAGCCGTTTGGCTTCTGGCTCTTCGGGTGGATTGATCTGGGAGCCATGCGGGGTTTTGCGTTTCCTGGATCGTTCAGATAGAGGCGGCTGATGCGGCGGAGGCGGCGCGTGAGTTTCGGATGGCTGGCAATCAGTTGCTCGAGAATCCAACTTGATTTTTTTATGCTGCAAGAGCAGATCGTCGTCTTCAGCTTTTCTTTTCGCCATGATGGTAATGAGGCTGAGGGAATGTGCTGGTGGCTGTCCTGGCGCTATTTGCAAGATGAGTTTGGGCAAATGGCTAACCAGCGGAGGGTCGAAAAGGGAGCAGACTGATCAGTCACGTGAAGAAACCGACTGGTAATGCGGTTAAGCCACTAAAAGAGATATTCTCTGGAATGAGATATTTGCCTCAACTTGCGTTTCCCGCAAACTTGAACACAATCAGAGAAAACAGCTTGTGAACAAGGCAGTGGTTGCGTTCAAACTCGGCACCCACGTACAGTAAAAGTCCAACTGCTGTTCACTAGACTAGGAACCTACAAGACGGGGTAGCTCCGCTAAGCCCTCTAATTGCTGGACATGGAGTAGCGCGACGGGGCGGGCCGAAAGTTGTTCGCCCCGGTCATGCTGCATCCAACTTGAAGTATACGCAGGATACGTCGGTATGCCTGTAACTACAAGTATGTCGGGAGCTCCTCTTCATCATGGAGCTGCGATACATACAAGTAATGTGATTCTGTCCTTGCCTCTCTATCTATTATACTCCATACTTAAGATACTCCATCAAACATCACTTCATACGGCAGTCATTTCATGTGACGTGGAAAGGCTCTTCCAATGCCGAGCGATGCATCCCCAGCGCCCTTGACCCAGCCATCACACCGCGTGAAATATATCACCTTCTCTGCGGCCAATCCCATCGCAATTCACCTTCTCGAGGGTGTTTTGCATTCCAGCTCGGCGCCTCAGACCCTTATAGGCGACAAGAAGAGCATCGGATATCACCTACAGATACCCTCACTGTCCGACCATCATGACACTGGCGACCCGACCTGGCAAGTTGGCGCCGGCTCGATCGTGAAGGGGGCACCACGTCGTGAGCCCGAAATATTACTTTGTCATCCAGAGGAAAGTCTTGGCTCTGACACAGCGCGCAAGTCCATTAGCCCCATCCACGCCTCTTTATGCTTTGTCGAATCAGGTGCGCTCGTCCTGCAAACACACTGCGATGAAAGGCCCATCATATACGAGCAAGGCGGTATATATAATACAGATGTCGAGTTGCGGGCAAAGGGTAGAGAGAAATGTGTCATGCAACACACCCAAAACTTTCTTCGTTTTGGTGACTATCGCTTTGTTCTCGAATTCGTCACCAAAGACGCAGGCCAAGTCAATAGCCAAGCACAATCCAGCAATCTTGGGAATGGCAGCCATAGTCTTTACTACCCGATACATTACGTGACCTCTTACAACATCTGGCTCCACCCAAAACAGCATACATCAAGGACCTCTGGTGTCAATATTTACACGGGAGAGCCGGTTGCGGTATCAACAGTACAACATGATGAAATGTCGAAAAAAGCACGCAACCTACTTCGGATGGCCTGTCAATATTTTCATAAACCACACAAAGGCGTGCTTGGCGTCATTGATGTGTGGTGTGACCACCAGCGTCTGGGTCTCTCGTTTGTCAGCGGGCAGATGAAATCCCTTGATTGCTGTGTCCAGATATCCTGCTCTACTCCTCTTGCCAAGTACAATTTTCGAAGCATGCGATGGGCAGATGTTGAATATCAGCAACGCCTATTGTATTTTTATCAGACCCTCATAGGATTAGCGGAATTGCATCAGCAAAGTATGTTCCATGGAAGAATAATACCGGAGTCCTTAGTTTTGGTGCAAGATGCGAAAGATGCAACACCAGGCAAGAATCATCCTCCGCTTATACGCGCATTTCTTTCTCTCCCTATTGAGCCACTAGAGAAGCACTCGACGAGTGTTTGCACCGCCCCAGAGATGTTGACTACAGGGACGGACAAGGCAGACAAGTTCAAAGCGGATGTCTGGGCACTTGCCGCATCATGGCTCTTTGCTTTTATAAGGGTGCCAGAGAATGTACAGATGGATCATCAGGCTTACCGTATATTACGGCTTAGCGTGGAATCTCAAGCCAGCAAGGGAAACATTCAGGAGCCCTTTTTAGGTCTTTTGCACCAAATGCTGGCTTGGACACCGCAAGATCGACCAAGCATAGTTGAAGTTCTCGAGCACGAAGTGTGGCAGCCCTTTAAAGAGGACAGAAAACGAAAGCGCCTGGAGGGGGTACAAGATGCTAGTGTTGGGTCAAAGAGAGCTAAAAAGGTTAGAGTGCTGTCACCTGAATAACGAAGAAAGAAAAAAATGCTTAAAATACTAATAGTACTGTTAAATATCACTAGTACACTAAGTGTGGTAGTAGCCCATGGATGCTATAGTTGGATTACTGGATAAGAGAGCTTGGATGCTGAATACATGTAGGCAGGTAGGCTGGTATTCAACGTTCCTTTTCAATTCTAATAATTGGTACATGCTTAGGTACTTATCTGTACGTATCGAACTTCATTATATCACTTCCAGCGTCCTGTACTGGGTCGATTCTATCATATCCATTTGGCGCTATTACTAGTATCTTAGTCTTATGTGTTCTTTTGTTACCAACCTACAAAAGCTACCTACATGTACCTAACTTGTGATCTGCTTCTGCCATCTCTACTGCCCATCTAATCAATTTTACTAGCGAAGGGTTTTAACTGCAGCCCCTGCAACTTCGACAGCTGAAAATTGATGATGATCTTAGTTTTGTGTTCAAGGCTGCACAAGGTCTTTATAGGGTTGAAGGAAAAGATTCCACGGTTCGTTGGGCCCGCAGAGTCTGCAGTTGCTTTGCCCAGAGAGAAGATCGGCTCATGGCGAAGCGGCAGGGTGTATTCTGGTATCTTAATATTGCCAAGGGCCTTTTCCATTGCCATGACACTATATCCGTTGAAAGGCTCCGTTGGCTGGGGGTCGTCAAGACGCATCGCCCTCATACCCTTGATGAGAGCGCCCAGTGACATCGACAGGCATTCAAAAGAACATTCTTTTTCTTCTTTGGATAACCGGGTCTTTAACGAATTGAGGTCAGATATAAACCCGGAAATCAGCTGTTGTCGATCTTTATCAAGGGCATCTGAAACTATGACATTAGTACTTGTTCGACTCAGACGGTGCGATTGCCAAACCTACCAACTAGCTTCCTTGGTATTGGTAAGCCCAATGTGTGAATGAGGCCCCTGCTCTCATATATAATGGTCCTTGTAAGCTTTTTAAAAACATGCTCTTCGGAAAACACCCAGGATACAAAGAGCCTCAGCAAAAGTTCGCGACTGTAGGTCTCAGGAAGAGGCGCTTGCAGCCGGCTGGTCCACACTTTTGCATAAAAGTCCACTGCCTTTTGACAACCGTAATGATTAACAAGCACGGCGATTTTGGCCAATTTCTCGAGGCTGACTTCGAGAGGTACTTTCTGTGTTTGGCCATGTATAATGTTCATCAGAATTATCAGTGCCTCTTCATCCCATCCTTTGGCAGTGACTGTGTATGAGTAGCCACCCTCCACTTTGGTCTCTTCCCAGCCGATGGCCGCTAGTTCCTGAAAGTAGGTCGAAGACAGAGTCAGATGTTTCCGGGAAAGCCGCATATGTATCTCTGGAGCGCTGTTGGCATCTGGTGCTTCAGCCAATGCCAAGTTGCTCAACTGCTCTTCATTTAGTCGCTGATCCGCTGTCCAGTATTGTGGCAGAGCTGTATCCCATTTTCTGAAAGAGCTGTCCACAGCAAACCGCGCACTTGAGCTACGCAAGACGAAAAGAGTATCGCCCGCCGGGTCGATTTCAAGAATTCTGGGCTGCGTGGACATACTGAATAGAGACTTGAAGACACATGCAGGAACACGAAGGCTGGGAACACACTGAACACAACTCACAAACGGAACTCAATCGAAATGTTGATATAATGCCTCGCGCGGCGGCTGCGGCTTAACCTCGGACCCAAATCAACACATTGACCCAATCAGTCGATATTACCACTGAGAATTGACTAGCAGATGCGATTGGTTGAAGTCGCGAGGTGGGAGGATGTCGTCGACTACCAACTGCATATTGCGCTTCCTGTCGGCAGGGGTACATGGCAGGGCTTGGATACATGTATTGGGGCCCAGGTACATGTACACAGGGCCTCATGGACAGATCTCCGCTGGCTGCGTTCAACTCTGCTCACTAAAAGCATCTAAGAATTGGTTGTATCGCTTCAAGTAGAACGAGCTCCGAGTTGTACAGCTGCTTTGGCCCGTTTAGGGGCATTGGCATAGGGTTTCTTTGAAGCAACCAAATATTGACTCCCAGCTCCATTGCTAGATCAACCGCGGCGGTTCCGCCAATCTGCATGCTTTAGCGCCGCTAGCCTCGCATTTTTACTGGACGGCGCCACACCCTCCAGAGGCCTTTAGCGCGCTCTTACCCGCGACGATGGCGGGGCATTTCAGATTTTAGATTTTCTGGCCCGGAATTTTATAAATTTTCCATTCGTCACAAGCTCCAACCGCCAGAGCAGATCGAAATCCGCAACGATGGGCAAAAAATTCAGAGTGAGTTGCGCTTTTCTATTTTGAGGTAGCCGCCGACCTTATTGAAGACCGTTGCTAAATATATATTCTTCATTTGCGTGCGAGCAGGGAAAGAACAGACGTGGAGGTGGTCGCGGAGGCGGTCGTGGCGGCGGCGGCGGCGGCGAGCGCGGAAACAGCTGGAGAGACTATCCTGCGCTCAAGAAGGAGAATGAGAAGCTCCAGCAGTACTACGACTCGCTGCTTGAGTTTTCCGACGAGGAGAAGACGCAGTTCTGGGAGGCTTTGAGGCGCGAGCTGCCCAACAGCTTCCGCTTCTGCGGTTCCAAGGGGTGCGTCCAACTTGCTGCGCGCGCGTCAACTTTATCCTCGTTTTCTGTTTTCGACCCATTGCGTTTTCACCTGCTAACCTAAAGCTTTCTCGCATAGCCATGCGCTGGCCGTCGAGAGACTTCTGCGATCCCGATACATTCCCGAAATCGTCAAGATCGAGCACCAGGATGGCCGTCCCGTCGACCCTCCCCAGCCTGTTTCCTGGTACCCCGACGAGCTGGCTTGGTGGATGACCACGCCCAAGAACGTTGTCCGCAAGTTCCCGCCCTTTGCGGCCTTCCAGAAGTTCCTCGTGTCCGAGACCAGCGTCGGCAACATCAGCAGACAAGAGGTCGTCAGCATGATTCCTCCTCTGCTGATGGATCTCCGACCTGGCATGACTGTGCTGGACATGTGCGCCTCGCCTGGCAGCAAGTCCGCCCAGCTGCTGGAGATGCTCCACGTTGGCGAAGAGTCTCGCGTGAGGAAAGTCCTGCGAGAATTTGCCAAGGAAGACGGCCTGGATCTCGGTGACGAGACCAAAGAAGAAGCCGAAGCGGATCTGGAGGCTGATCCCTCTGACGCAGGCCGTGCTACAGGTCTCCTGATTGCCAACGATGCCGACTACAAGCGTGGCCATCTTCTAGTCCATCAACTCAAGAGACTGTCATCGCCCAATCTTCTGGTCATGAACCACGATGCCACTCAGTTCCCCTCCATCAAGCTGCCCTCGACCGATCCGAACTCAAACAAGAACAACTACCTGAAGTTTGACAGAATCCTGGCTGATGTCCCGTGCTCCGGAGACGGAACCGCAAGAAAGAATGCCAACCTGTGGAAAGATTGGCAGCCGGGTAGTGCCCTGGGCCTCCACATCACCCAGATCCGCATTCTTGTCCGAGCCCTGCAGCTTCTCAAAGTCGGTGGTCGCGTGGTGTACTCCACCTGCAGTATGAACCCTGTCGAGAATGAATCGATCATTGCTGCTGCGATTGAGAGATGTGGTGGCTTGGACAATGTGGAGATTGTTGACTCCAGCGACAAGCTGGATGGTCTCGTGCGTCGACCTGGCCTCAAGTCCTGGAAGATCATGGACAAGAGCGGCAAGATCTGGAACAACTGGGAGGAAGTTGAAAACTTCACCAAGGAGAGCAAAGATGGCGTGACCCCCGGCCGACTTGTCCCATCAATGTTCCCGGATCCCAATGGCACTACTCTGCCCCTGGAGCGCTGCATGAGAATCTACCCGCACTTGCAAGATACTGGCGGCTTTTTCATTACAGTTCTGGAGAAGAAGGCAGAGTTCAAGGCTAAGAACGAGAATGAGCGCAAGCAGACTAACCAGACCAACGGCGCGTCAGAGGATGCTGCTACCGCTATTCCTGCAGCCGAGACAAAGCTGGAGGACGCCTCTGCGCCAGAAGAGAAGAAGGAAGATGAACCCATGGAGGACGCCTCCCCGGCCGCCAGCAAGCGACCCCTAGAGACTGAAGAAGATGCAGAACAGCCAGCTAAGAAGGCAAAAACTGCAGAGGAAAGTTCAGCAGCCACCACTCCGGCCCCTGCTGCCGCTGCCGCGACTGAGCGCGAAGACCGCCCAGGCAAACCAAAGAGGAACGGCCCCATTGAAGAGCCTTTCAAGTACCTCGACCCCTCCCACCCTGTCATCCAGAACATCAAGGAATTTTATAGATTGTCCAGCCGCTTCCCCACCAACCGATACATGGTGAGGAACGAGATGGGAGAGCCTGCCAAGGCCATCTACTACACCACCGCCCTTACGCGAGACATCCTCACAGAGAATGAAGGCAGAGGCCTCAAATTCATCCACGGTGGTGTCCGCATGTTCATGAAGCAGGACGCTCCCTCGGCCGAGGTCTGCCGCTGGCGTATCCAAGCCGAAGGCATGCCCATCCTGCAGGGCTACGTCGGCGAGCCTCGCGTTGTGCGCCTGCGCAACAAGGAGACGCTACACAAGCTCCTCATCGAGATGTTCCCCAAGATTAACGAAGGAGAGTGGCAGAACTTTGAGGAGATTGGCGAGCGCGTGCGCGACATTGGCATGGGATGCTGCGTGCTGAGAGTCGAGCCGGAGGGCGACGACGAGGAGTGGCAGGAGAGGATGGCTCTCCCGCTGTGGAAGAGCATCCACTCACTGAATCTGATGTTGCCCAAGGAGGATCGTTCCGCCATGCTGCTCAGAGTGTTCAACGATACGTCGCCCTTGATTAATATCAGCCTGCAACGCAAGGAGAAGCAGGAGAAGGCGGCTGAGGAACAGGAGCAGGAGGCTGGAGAGCAAGAAGACGAGGAGATTGACGTGGAGGACATTCCCACGCCTGAGGGAACCGATTAAGGCATAATCAGTGTGGAGGACCATCATAATTTTCTTATCTTGTATAATCTCTGAAGCAAGGATGAGAAAAGAGATGAAGATTTAAAAGGGAAAAAAAGTTGTACCATCGGGCTCCGGTATGGGCAAATTTGGTAAAACTGGGTACCAATTTATATATACAAGTGCTTTTTGCTCCAAGTTACAGATTACACGTTTCTTTTACTATCTAGTTTTACAGAGTCGTTGTCTATTCGTACAAATGCTACTATTACAATGTGCCGTGCTTCTTCAAAATGATAATTCTACTCATCTAAAAGGCCAACAGTCCAGTGAACAATGCGATCAACCCCCTTCCCCTTAATCGCACTGACCGGGATAGCAGCGCACTTGTTCGTCCATGCTCCCTCCACACCGCTCGGATGCGATTCCCGCCCCTCTGTAACATTATCAAGATACGTCTTCAGCTCCTGGAAATTCTCTCGCGTCTCCGGCAGGTCAGCCTTCGTAGCGACCACAAACCACGGCTTGCCGGCAATTTCCAACACCGGGGTAGTAGCCTTCCTCATCTGCGCCTCCTGGATCGGCGGCAGAGGTGTTCCGTACGAAGCGCCCATCAGGTTGATCGGCCCGCGGCTGGCCTGGGAGACGAGGTCCCAGTCGACGCGGGACTCGATCTCGCGGGAGCGCTCTTCGTCCTGGCGCATTTCGGCGTAGAGGCCGACTTCGCGCCAGAGGGACTGCAGGGCCTTGACGGCGTTGCCGGCGCTGAGGTCGATGACGAAGGCGAGGAGGCCGGCGCGCTCGACGTGGCGTAGAAAGGCAATGCCGAGGCCGCGGTCGAGATGGGCTCCTTCGACAAGGCCGGGAATGTCTGCGACGGTGAAGCGCGTTCTTGGGCCTCCGAGGGTGGTGCCGTCGTCAGTGGTGAGCTGAGATGTTTTGACGCTGGGGCGACCGGTATATTTGTCCAAGACGACGGTGCCAATGTTTGGCTGCAAGGTAGTGAATGCCCAGTTGCCGACCCGTGTACGGCTGTTGGTGAGAGCTCGTAGGAGGGTGCTTTTCCCGGCATTGGGCAGGCCCACGAGACCAACGTCGGCCAGGAGCTTGAGTTCCAGTGAGATTTTGAGAGTTACGGCCTCATCACCCTTGGTGGCGAACATTGGCTTTGGGTGTTGCCGTGAAGTAAAGTGCGGGTTTCCAAGGCCGCCAATGCCACCTGTGGCCAGGAGGATGGGCGTTGGTGTTGGTTTGGAGAGATCGAGATAGATTGGCGGGGGAGGCTGCTGGAAGAGGCGAGTTCGTTTGGGGAGTTTGGGAAACTCTGCTGATTTGACATCGGATTTGGACATGCCAGGATAGAGCAGCCACTTGCCACGCTCTGGATCGTCGGCATCTGGGTCGTAGTCGTCCTCTGGGTTCTTCCACCTTGAGTGCCGGTCGGTCTCTTGAGGCTCCTCCTCCTCTTCCACTTCTACCTGTAGCTGTTGCTGCGCCAAAAGCTCACGCCGCCTCTGTTTCTTCTGCGCCTGAAACGCTCTTATGGCCATGTCCTCATCGGCAGCCGGATCGTGGCGCTCAATTTCCTGCACAATGGTGCCCACCGGGACGGTGATGACGACGTCTGATCCGCGCATGCCACTCTTGCCGCTTCCCTGGCCGTGAATTCCGCGTCCGGCGCGGATGAAGCGTCTGCGGGCGAGTTTGTGCAGCGACGTCTCGCCGTGGGCCGCCTGGATGTAGACGTTGCCTCCAAGACCGCCGTCGCCGCCGTTGGGAGGCCCATCGGGGTAGTAAGCCTCTCGGTGGAAGGAGATGCAGCCGTTGCCGCCGCGGCCGGCGTAGAGCGTTAGCTCGGCCTTGTCGGCGAAGCTTGGGGCTGCGAAGTCATCCGGAGCGGGATTCAGCCGTGATTCAGGGAGGTCGTTGAGGCTGGAGGGTGAAGAAGCCGATGAAGCTGATGATGATGAAGAGGAGTGGCGTGATTGGCGGCTCAATGCCGTTCGGAGGAGAGACGAGCTGGTATATCGGGGCCGGAAGAGAGCAGGGTAGAGGAAGGGTGCCAGGGGCAGATGGGATGGGCCGGGACACCGGGGCGGCATGTCGAAATCAAAATCAATTTGCTGTGATATGCGCTTCGTTCCATGGTGTATAACATGGATTTTTGGCGGATGCAGCTTAAAAAATTCCGATACTGGAAATGGCGCCGATAAGATAAGACCACCTCAACTTGGCAGAAGCCAGCGCCGGAGGCTTGACCCCACCAGCGCCGAATGGCGGCGGGTATAGTGGGGTGTAGGGAGCCGATCAGAGGATTTAGCTCGTCGCAGCAGTGGGTGGCGCTGGAGCAGAGCAGAGCTGCTTGTCGATACAGTACATGCTGCCTCTACAAAGCAGTAATACCCGTAATGAGAGGGAAAATGAGAATTAGTAATCTGGCTGCGAGATTTGTGACGACCGACCACATGTGCCTAGCAGATGCATTAATAAGAGGTGCCTGGGCATGGAATCCATGCGTGCGTGGTACAGCACGGCTCAGCACATACGGCAGCACAGCATCTAGAAGGTACCGACGGGAAGCTGCACCGCTGAGCTGGCAGAAAAGCCTCCAGTTTTCGGCTCCCCCGCTTTCAGGCCAAACAACACCGGACCCTGCTCATCTGCCGTCCCCCATGTCGATTTGAAGGACAAGGACAGCGTTGGGGAAAGCGAAAAAGCACGCACAATGAGGCAAAGAGGCTGACGTTGCCAGCGTCTGATTTGCTGCCGGTGCTGGATCGTCGCAGGCGCAGAGACCAACGCAGCGGCAGGCATGCTGATGCGACGCTCTTTTCCCGTGCAAGAGGGGAGATGTGATGGCATGTATGATGGAGGACGAGGAGGAGAGCAGAATGCGGCCACTTCTTTACTACCGGTACCTATACACGTTCTCTCTGGCGACCAGCTTCAATCAAGCCTCTCGTCAGCGACTACAGACAAGTAGAACCAGCATCGCCAGCCAGCATCGTGACCAACCAGCTAGGCGCTCCTAGCTCCTCACAGCCTTGTCCACAGTCGAGTCTGGCCAACGGCGGGCCTCGTCCATGCATGGCCCGCCCCTCCTCGTGATTCGACGGTGCGTGCTCAAGCCCGCTTTCTGAAGCTGCTGCTGCTGCTGCTGCTGCTGCGAAAAAGTGCGGTGAAATAGCTCTGGTCCTAGCCAAAGAGCGAGGCAGGACAGGCTTCATCGTTCGTCTGCCCGCGTTCCCGCCGCAGCACCTTGGCCCATACATGCTTGTACATCAACCTTACATCCGGCATCCAGCACATCAGCACGCCCGCAGGCAGGCAGGCAAACAAATAACCAGCACAGAGGCAAGCCGAAGGGAGGTCCAAAGCACGAGATCTGCCGGGGGTAGCCAGAGACAGGCGCCGGTACGGAGACGACGGGGCTGCTGCAGGCAGGATCATCACCCACGTACAGAGTATCGACTCTCTCGCTAAGGCCAGCCTGACCCGATTGGTGAGACCACAGCAGGCACTGCTTCTGCCGGCTCCATCCGCCGCCTGCTGAGTTTTCGCTGCATGAGCGTCTCCTGTGCCAGCCCGGCAATCTCCTCACCACGGTCAACAAGTCAGCGCCAGCAGATTCGGCCATCGGTCCACCAGTCCACCAGACCTGCCTCCTCTCGTGTGTGTGTGTGTCGTGTCTTGCCGTGTCCTGCCTGTGTCACACCAGCGGCTCCATTTGCTGCACGGACAACGAGACGCCACATATCCAAGTCGCAGCCAGCAAAGAGACGCCTTTTTAGGCGTGCGGCACATCTCATCGCACACGCTACGACTCGCGGTTTCAGCAACCCTTGCGGCGGACCGCCATAGCTAGACGAGTACAAATACCTCGGGCTGCGCAGAACCGGCCTCTTGCACGGTAAGCCGGGGCCTGATCTGGTCAGATTCCCAAGTTCCAATTACTCAGCCCGGGCGGCTCTCTTCCCTGCCTCCCGCCATTGCTCGCCGCCGTCTCCAAAAGCCCGCTCGCCACTCAGCCGCTGCAGAAGGCCGGCCTGCTCGACAGCGCTGCTCGCCTCTTTGGGCACCCTCTGCTGCCCTGCGTTGGGCCAGTTCGCTGCTCGTTAGGCTAGCCTGCATAGGCTCCTCGATCCCGCATTCGAGCCACGACAGCTGGCCCGTCACCCACCCGCCGCCTCCTCATTCGACTCGTGCTGCTGCAGCCGGCTCTCTGGCTTTTCCCCACGCTCTGGTCCCGGGCATTGAGATCTTGTCCCTCCCAAGGCCCTCGTCTGGTCCCCTCCGAGAGCTTCATCCTGGCTCCGACGCCGCCAGAGCTGCTGCTTCGTGCTTGTACTCGTGCTTGTGCTTGTGCTGCTGCTGCTGCTGCTGCTTGCAGGATACATCCGCGAAACAGCGTCAGCCTTCTGATCTAGCACAGACGCCGCCTCCTGCTTCTGCTCTTCCGCTGGCATTCCTCTATTCCCTTTACCGCCTGGCGTGAGCCTATCGTTGCTTCTGCTTGTCTTATCCTTTCTTCTACTAGGTCAGTCAGTCAAGCAGTCTCCTTGCCCTCTCTCTCCTTTCTCAACGACCCTTCCACTCCGTTCCCTTGTTTCTCTTTCCTCCTTTCCTCTCCTCTCCTCTCCTCTCCTCCTCTTCCACCTCCCTCTCCTCCATCTTCATATGCCCAATCACCCTTCCGCCATCTGCGACGCTCTCCGCCTGTCCCACTTCCGTCACTCATGAAGCCCGTCTATGGGCTTGCCAAAGGGGGAGCGAGGCCTTGCTACTGCGGTTGAAGAAACCCCATCCCGTATCTGTTCCCGCCAGCAAAAAAAAAACCCTTGCCGTGCCCTTTCTCTCGTGTGCCTGAATAGCTTCTGCATTGTGTAATACTAGCCCGTATTCTGTTGTTTTATACCCATCTCTCCCTGGAAGACTCTCAAATACACACCAGCCTTAATAAGGCAAAAAAAAAAAAAAAAGAAGAAGCAACCGTCTCACCCAAAGATACCCTTTTGCTAAGATGCACACCAGAGATACCAAGGGGCGCAAGACCATCATCAGGATGGATCCAGACTGCGCCATCTGCCATGCTCCGGCCTCGATGGCCTGTGACTGCGAGGCAAAGGGCCTCGAAGTGGCTGTTAAACAGGCCGAGGAACGCATGATGCGATCCATATATACCGACATACGGTTTGTTCACCGCCTTGATTATCAACGTCTATTAGCGCCACTAACTCGTTCAAACCATAGTTCGTGGGTAAGGGCCCATGCTCAAGATTACATACTCGAGTATTTCCGTCAACTCGCTGAGCGACGAAAGACGGCCCACTCGGCTCATCTTGACCACATCACCGCCCACGCCTTCTACCATTACAACGCGCCGCCACACCCAAACCAGATTGCTGAGGCTCAGGCCACCCTGAAGCGAGGCATTGACGAGGACTGGCAGGCCAGCGTTCAACGTTACCCCGAGGTCCTCGAGTATTTCTACAGCCTCATCGAGCTCACCCTTCCCGCGGATGATGAGGCAGCCGTCAAGAATCCACCACTGACGGCCCCTGCCCGGAAGCCGACTCGTCGAGCCGGCTCAATCAGTGCCAGTGCCGGCACTCCAGCCCCTCCTCCGGCTATAGCTCCTCCATCACAGTTCCATGACCGCGAGGCTCTCATGGAGCGTCGAACTTCTGCCCCTGCTGCTGCATCACGAGACCGAAGGACATTCAGGCCACCAGCACCACAGCACCACCCTTCTTATTCCAACTATGCACCTTTTGGGCAATAAACCTTTTGGATAAAAGAAAAAGATGTCAAATTATCAAAATAAACCAAGCAACGATTAAAGAAAATCTACGAATTAACCTTTTTTTTTTCTTTCACATGATGACGCCAACTCCAGAAGCGCAGGCAGTAAACATATCGTCACTTTTCTCTTTTTCCTTTTATATATCTGCAACACAAGCATGACGACATGTACGATCACCATCAGGTTTCATTTGTCTGGAATGGGGAATGGCACGATTTGCATGGCAGCTGGAGTAGAGTAGCCTGGCTTTTGAAATAACGGATGTTGGGAGCTTTTTCTTCATCTTTTTTTCCTCCTTTTTTCTTTCAAAAATTTTGGCTACATTTTATATGATTTTTGAATACCCGTGTTAGACGAGTTTCGAACTAAAAAAGACTTGCATACCATTTAGCTTGGCGTATAAAACAAAATTAAAAGCATCAAGAAAAAGCGCATGATTCGTATCCAACGCTCAAGCATGAATACTATCTTCCCACATTAAATATTTGAACGCTTCGTGTTTTTATGATCTGATCTACCTAGTTCTAAACAAGAGTGAAACGAGCAAGTAAACTTTAAAAGTCTGCCGATGAGCTGCCTTGATACCGACACGGATAGCAGCACGAACTACCACCAAAATTGCCCGGACTAATTAAACGCCCCAGCGTGGCGAACCGCATCATATAGATTACCTGCTGGTATCATTGCATTGGTTACGGCTAGTTGAGTCTATTCTAGTCTAGTCTACATGTACGTGTGTTCCCATCGACGCATACCTACATACAACAAGTTACCTGCAGCAGCCCCCTTGGATACATGAATGTGTAGTAGTAATAGATGGCCTCACATGCAGGACGCCCCAGCCAGTCAAAGCAGCCACATACACCGAAAAAAGTGAGCAAATCTCGGGACTTTTTACCAGCTTGTGCTAGCATCAACGCGAGTATCACATGATAGGAGATACTTTGTGTCACCCAGTAGCATGTTTTTTTTTAAGAAGAAAAAGGGGGGGTACAGCCTTTTTTTTTCTTATACATCATTTTCCATGAGGATTGTATATTTCGTGCTTGGCATAAAAACTCCTTTTTGTGCCCCCATCCATTGACGAGGAAATAAGAGATACCTAGGTACAAAATAAGAAATACCAATGACAAAAAGAAAGCTGAAACAATAAAAAAAAAAAAGACTAATAGATCAACACGCGGAACGCTTGTTGTAGCGATGTAGGAGAGAAGAAAAGAAAAAAGCTTGTTCCTTTATTTAAAAAAAACAAAACCCCTCCTATTTTGAGACAGAATTTTTTCCCCCTTTCCTACTTTTTTTGAGTTCCTTGTAGACTTGTAAAAAGAAAAAATATGATTCGATTCCTCTTCTATAACCCCGCAGCTGACGAATGGTGGAGTGAGAGAAGAGAGAGAACAGATAATATAGCTGTGTACGAAATGGCGCGCGCGAGAGAGAGTAGAAAGTGGAACGAGGGGCGAATTTCGTCGGCTTGATAGCGAGGATTGTAGCTAGAGGAAAAGAATCATTGAAAAGTCAGAGTCTTCTCTTTCGGGGAAGCAAGGGAGGAGAAAGTCCTTTATGACTCCTCCTGCTTCTCCTTGTCCTCCAGGGAGGCGTCCTTGAGGTCGTCGGTAACCTCGTCGACCTTTTCGCCGTTGGCCTCGGCCTTCTCAAGCTCCTCAAGCTTCTTCTTGGCCTTTTCAATGTTCTGGGTGGGTTAAAACGTTAGTCAAGAAACGCCAAATGAAGTTGACGACTACGTAAAAAAATGTCACTTACACGCTGGGTCTGAGCGGCCTGGTCCTCCTTCCAGTGCTCAAGCTTGGCCTTGACCTTTTCAATGAGGCCGGGGACATCGGCGGCGCTCATAGGGGGGTCGAGGCTGAGGAATGAGCAGTCCTCGACAACCGAAGGGGGGCAGTTGAAGCCCTTCTGGGCGGCGGCACCCTGGTTGCCCTTCTTGCCCTTCTTGCCCTTGGTCTGGGCGGGGGCGTACTCGTCGTCGCGGTCCTCCTTGCGGACAAGCTTGACGCCCTTGAGACCAGACTCATCGACGGTTCTCTGGGCCTGGGCGGTCAGGCCAGAGTTGGCCAGCAGAGGCGTCTTCTCGGCCTTGAAGGTGGGATCGAGGAACACGAGCAGGCTGTTTGCGCGGCGGATCTCGTCCAGGTAGGCGGGCTCGCTGGCCTCGGCGAGGACACGCTCGGCCTCGGCCTTCTTGCGCTCATTGAGGTAGCGCTCACGCTCGGCGCGCTGGCGCTCTCGCTGCTTCTCGCGAGCCTCGCGCTCAAAGGCCTGGAAGGCCTTCTTCTGGCCGTAGTAGTCGTCCTTGAGCTTGCGGATGGCGGCAAACTTCTCCTGCTGCTCGGCCTGCAGCTTGGTGCGCTCGTCTCGCAGGGAAGACAGGTTCTTATATGCCTCATCCTGCTCGGCCTTGATGGTGTCGAGCTCAGCCTGGATCTTGTTGTACTGCTCAGACATGGCCTTCTGCTCGGGGTCCTCCATGGTGTCCTTGATCTCCTTGATCTTGGCCTTGAGGTCGTTGATCTGCTTCTCAGCCTCGTCAAACTGGCCAAAGTTCTTGCGGGTCTTGCGCAGGTTGGAGATTTCGGTCAGGGCCTTCTTCTCATCGACGAGCTTCATGGTGCCGGAGTTGACCTGCTTGTCGAGGCTATCAATCTGGCGGTCGATGTCTTCGACGCTCTTGAAGGGGACCTTTGCCTTGGCGGCCTTCTGCTCGGCAATGCGGCTGCGGAGCTGCTCGTCGAAGCGCTTGATCTGGTCCAGCTTGGAGGTGCGAGCATTCTTGCCGCCGGCCTGCTTCTGGCGGATCTCGTTGGCCTGGGCAATGAGTTCCTGGCGGCGCTTCTGGGTCGGGCTGGGCTGGTCCTTGTTCTTGTTGGGGAGGGCAACGTCGATCTTGGCCTTGATGGCGTTCTATAATGCTGCAGTTAGCACATGTCCAATTTGTCCAGATGACAACAAGATTCCTGCTCTGGTCTTCTTTTTCCACCAACTCTCTGCTGTATTCTCCTTATTTTGGCTTCTTCTCTTGCACTAATCTCTAAGCCTCGTAGTAGCTGGGAGCATAAAACTGCCTGGTGACACAGAATTGCAGATTCCCTTATAGAAGACGACAGCGGCCATGCAGCTGCCCGGAAATCGACAGCAGGAGCACCACCAATAACGAAATAAAAACAACAGCCACGCCGCACATACAAACTTGTCCATGGACGCCTTGTGCTCCTTCTCGGCCTTGGCAAGCTCCTCTTTAAAGATCTTCTCATCGGGTCGAGTCGGGCGAGTGTTCGGCGCAGGAGCGGCCTCGGCGGCGGGAGCAGCGACAGCGGCAGCCATTGTGAATTTCAGAGAGTCGATACGTGAGAGGCAGCAAGGAAAGAAAGAAAGAAGCCGTCACAGTCTCTCTTTGGAGAAGCAGAAGGGAGGCAAAAGGGGGACGAGGGTTGAAAGGCGAAGGGTGCGACTGGAAAAGAGGTAGAAGAGGAGGAGAAAAAAAATAAAGCCGAACCAGACAACACACCAATTAGAGACTTTTGGTGGTTGAATTTAATACTTCGGTTGGCACCAAAAAATTGCCCTTGACCACCAACGTTTTTTTGCTGGGGGTCCCCACCAATAGCAGAAAAAAAATAATTCTATCCCATGTTACTCCCACATCCAAACTACTACAGACGAAACGGATAGGCCCGAGACATAAACCGCCACAAAACCCAGTGCTTTTTACAGGTACAAGCGATGGTTTGCTTTAGCGGCTGAGCTTCTGTAACGTCCACTAAAGCCATTGCTCAGGCCGTGCAGCTTTAGCGAGGGGATTTTAGTGAGTTTTGCTGAAGCTTCTAAGGCGGCAATTAGCATGGATAGTCTCAAGTATTTAGTGGGGGATTTTTGGGGATCTCCAGCTGTTATACTTTGGAGAAGCAGTCCGTAAATAGGTAGAGGCTAGATATCAATTGCTAGACGGCGATACATTAAATAAACTACACCATCAGGGTCCATATTTTGAAAGAGGCGTCATTTACTTTGCGCCTCGAATTTATTCATCTGTTCTCCTGCCCTTTTGCTAGGAAAAGGCTTAGCTGTCCAATAATCCAAAGGGCAAAGACTAAAAACGGACCCTTTGAAAGACCAGGGTCCACTTGACTTCAAAAGTTACTAAGCGCCATCGGAGAGTGGCTTATCAGCAAAGTCACATGACAGTTTCTTATCAGCTCCCGCCGGCTCAGCTAATCGCTCCAGCCAGGCCAAGCCAATGCAAGGCTGCGCAAACAATTTTTGAACGACCGCAGTTCTCCCCGACAAGCGGAAACTCGACGAAGAAAAAAAAAAAAAAAAGGGACCACGGCCACGACAACGCGCAGTCCTTGCTGCCTTGTGTCGAATTACTCGTTGCGTAATCGCTCGCTTCCGAAAAAACACAGCCGACGGATAAATAAACACTCGAATCCAAGATGATTGACGATTTGCCCAACGATGCCAAGTCCAAAGAGGTTGTGAGACTCTGGCGCGCGTGGAGGACTGTTCACGAGATGGTTGCAGACCGGGTACGCTCTTTCCCCATAGATGCTTGTGCTTCTTCAGTTGATGCCATCCTGTGACAATCTGGCTAACCAGTCGCTCTGCCTCGTTGATAGGAGTACGAGCTTGCCGAAGACGAAGTCAGCATCTCCCTGGAACGGTTCCGCGACGAGTACTGCCACCCCGACGGCAGCGTAAAGTACGGCCTCAGCCCCCTTCTTCCCGTTTTCAAACAAGCAAAACTCCACGAAATCTATTTATAACATACGCAAAGCTAACATGCAACCAAACACAGCCGCGCCAAACTCCAATTCTCCGCCCGTCCAAGCGACTCCATGCTCCGCAAAAACACCCCTCCCGCCACAGCCTCCAACCCCGACCCCGTGCCCGACTGCGGCCCCATCTGGGTCGAATTCCTGACGGACAAGCAGTTTGGCGTCTCGCAGATCCGCAACTTTGCAAAGTACACAATCACCAACAACTACAAGACGGGCATCATGGTGACCCCCGTGGCGCTGTCGCCCGCCGCGCGCAAGTCGCTCGCCTCGGTCGAGAACCTGGCCAAGATTGAGTGCTTCCTCGAGGACGACCTGCTGGTCAACATTACGCACCACGAGCTGGTGCCGCGGCACGTGCTGCTCTCCCGCGAGGAGAAGATTGCGCTGCTGAAGAGGTACCGCCTGAAGGAGACGCAGCTGCCGCGTATCCTGCAGAAGGATCCCGTGGCGCGGTATCTAGGGCTCAAGAGGGGACAGGTTGTCAAGATTATCCGAGTTAGTGAGACGGCTGGTCGATATGCCAGTTACCGGTTGTGTGTCTAAGAAGTTTTTTTTTTTTTTTTTTTTCGATCGGGGGAGTGTGTGCAGTTTGTCAAGATGAAAAGGGGGGGGCCGCCAAAGACTTGACAAGACACAAAACTTTGGAAAGAAGCGTGCCCTTTGCAAGTTTGCGTGTGATGAGAAAGAGAGAAAGAAGGATGGGAAGAAGAAAGAAAAGAGAAAGCTCAAGTTTGGATTTTCACAAAAAAGTCCAAACTGAAAAGAGCAGCTGAAGTTGAGCAGCGGGACGGACGAACGCTGTTTTTGACATGATGTTTTTGCATTTGCAAGAGTGAAAGCTGGCGTTTTTTGGGGGGAAAACTTAATTATTAGAATTACGAGAGAAACAAACCAACCAAATTCAATAAAATACCAACGTCTATATATATCTTGACAACCAAGGCTTGCAATTGATCAAATCATGCCTACAAAATAATCCCATCTTATTTTCCCTATATATACCTAGTAAAGTCGAATTTTACTGACATGGATATGCATTGTGGCCCCTGAGATTTATATTCTCAAGCATGAACCACAAGTCCCAGATGCTCAGAGGCCAAAAGAAGGATCAAACTGAAGCTCATCAGTTATAATCATCCTCCAACCCATACAGATTCCGGTGAACTTGTCATTTCACGAATATATTTCTAATACCATGTCGCAACTCCATGAACCAATCTCAAACAACGTTCAGTTCATACATGTACACGCATAACAGTAAAGCCTTGGAATGCCTCAGTTGAGATGCAGGCACTTCTCGTCTATTTTCACATATGGCTCCGCAAAGTCTCCGCGGCTTGGATATCAAAACAAACATACAGATTTCAATCTCGTTAATTAGTTACTTGTTCACAATGAAGCACGCGACCAAGTACGTTTTGAATGGTATTTCAATTCTTCAACGTATAGCTAATCTCTCACTACCTCTTCCATTGTCCCACTGTCAAAACATCTTTCTCGATGTTGAGGGGATATGCACATACAATACATCTCTTCGCAAAACAAAACGGTGTTTGTCACCGGGGTATATGCAACCAAGTACCAGAACAGTAAGAAAAGAGAAAAAAAGAAAAAAGAAAAAAAAAGTTCAGAAAACCACGCAGTAGCCGCCAAATCCCACCAGCTCCAAATCGTCAGCCACCCCTTGTCTAAAACTTGCCGCAGAAATACCAGCTAGCGAAAACCGCGAGGGGGGGAAAAAAGAATAAGGCTCCAGAATTCTCTCCCATAGGTACTGTTGTTTCTTGACGCCATGTATGGGGGCAAAAGGGGGGAGAGAAAAGGGTGCCGTGTATATATATGTATATGCATATGTGTATAGAAGGGAATACCTCCGTAAACGCCATTGCCTGACGAGTCATATCTAAAGATATATAAAGAAAAAAGAAATAAATGAGAGAAATAAGCAGATTATTTCTCAAAAAAGGGATTAAAGAGATTCGTGATAAAAGTCGTAGATCAAGTCGTCATATGATTCGAATTAGATAAAAAGGCAAGTGGGAGCGGTTGCCGTAGGATGCATGCATCTTGTTCATCATCGCAAGAGGCCACCAGGGTCATTGAGAACAAGATCAGAGCCTTCGCCTTGGGAGGCGTGATGCTCTTGGTGAGATTGTTGGATAGGCTGCAGCTCGGTTCCGGTTCGGTGTTTTGATCGCACAGACGACTTTGAGTTGAGGGGGCCCAGGAGTCCGCCCAGATCTTGAAGCAGCGCCGTTGATCCACGCCGCACACCGTTTACGCTGGCCTTTCTAGACGCCGGCGGGGCAGTTTGAGAGGTGCTGGCTTCCATGGAAGAGGAAGTAAAGCTGCTGCCTCTTCTGTAGCTTCCACTGCTTGTGCCGGGTCCATCCTCAAGAAGGCCGCCGACGTCAAACAAGGAGAGCTTTCTAGATTCGTGGTGGGATTCGGTCCGGGATTCGGTCTTGTATATCAGCAGATCTTGGCTTGCCTTTGCGCTTTCTGGAGTGCTTTCCGGGGCGCTATCCTGGGCACTATCCTCTTGCTCATGTTGCTCCCGTTGCTCCCGCTGATGACGCCACTTATCCGAGCCCTGCTCGGCAGATTGCATTGGCCTGATTGGCGCGTACAGATCGGATGACGGGCTGTCTGGCTGCTCTCGAAGCTCAGGCTCGACGGTCAGACCAACATCTCTGACCAAGTCTTCGTCGCTGCCCCATTGTCGGTGGATAGTTGGTCTCCGGATGGTGGTGCTGCGTTCGAACGACTCGGCAGCGGTGGAAGTTCGTCTGGGCTTCTGTTTCTTGACACCTCGATCTCGTACAAAGGAGCCCAAGACAAGGGCGTTTGCGGATGCAGTTGCGAAAATCAACTCGACGGAAGCGAGCAGCGATCGGTACTGCTGTCGGCCGTTTACGTCCATGATGTGCGGAATTCGGTAGATGGTGACTGCCACAACGGACAGGCTGAGAGAAAACAGGATGAGGAGCTGGAGCTTCCTGCGAAACTGCATGTTGCTCTGGATAATGATGGGGATGGGGAAGATGACGAGCATCAGGTCGGTGAGGATGTTGCAGGCGGCCATTGTGATGAGCTGGACATAGCCCTGGCGACACTGACCACCAGGGTCAGGCAGGACTTGCCAGTAGTGTCTGAAGGGGTTGCATTCGGCGAGATCGCTAATGACGACGGCGATGAAGGTGAGGCCCAGGGAGCATCGGATGGCGACGAGGGTGTAGTGATGGGTTCGCTGCCAGGTGAGATCGGCGATTCGTTTTAGAAACTCGAGGATTGTGCCCTTGAGAATCCACAGACTAGAGTTACAAAGAGGGTCAGCATCAGTTGTCTCACTTGGTGCAGTGTGTGATTGAGAATTCGTTGCGCCAACAAAGCCAACCCAAATAAGGACTGTAAACAACAAAAAGAATAAAAAAAAATAAAAATAAAAAGTATCCCTGGAATGTCGAATGAGCAAACTTACGTAGCGGCATAGAGTACACGGCTGAGAAGCACCAGGCCGCTGGCTATGGATTTCTTTCGGATTTCCTCGGCAGTGAGGGTGACGCCGGTGAAGTCGGCATTGTTGGTTCCATGGACGAGGATAAAGTGGACGCATCCCATGCGCAAGAACATGGGAATCAGGGCGACTGCGGCGAACTTGTCCTCGGAAAAGAGCCTCTCGGTTCGAATGAAGCGGCCGGCGATTCGCAGCAGGATCATGAGGGCGCAGAAGATGGTGGCCCACCAGCAGACCAGCAGCGAGGGCTTGTCCTGCGAAAAGTCTCGCAGCGCCGGCGGGTCTGAGTAGATGGACATGGCGGACTCTTTTGCAGCAAAGGGCCCGCGCCCGTCGACCTCCGCAGAGGGCTCGACGAGCGAGAGGGGAAAAAAGAGGTTTTAGTTGGTGGCCGAGGCGATGTCTCCAAGGTCGGCGGGCGTCGGATCCGGGACTGTCGTTGCTATGGCGGCGTCAAGATGGGCAGCCGGCGCACGGAGTTTCTGTGCGGCGAGTCTACCAGGGCATGAGGCCGCTGCTCTGCGTCTGCAGGCGGGAGCGCTGTGCTGGCGGAGGGCGGGATTCGGGGGGGTTGCTGCATGAACGCTGCAAGTATAGTGGCCGCAGACGTTGGTTACATCGGTGGGATAAGGGCCATCTGAGACTGCGAACAGAACTGAGGGCGAGTTGTAGAGCGCAGAGGGGATGAGTAAGTTGGACGTGGGGCCGGCAGCCTTTGTGCTGTGAAAAGGGAAGAATAGGAAGAGAGAAGAAGAGAAGAGAGGCCAGGAGAAGCAGAGAGGCGGAGTCGGGATGATGTATGTAAGAGGTGCGTAGCAGGAGCACGACTACAGCAAGTAGTGGCCGTTGGCAGGACGAGATTAAATTTAGCACGGCCGGAGGGATTGGCGGCTGGATGGATGGATGGAGTGATGGGATGCAAAACGCAGTCAGAAGGCAAAAACAAAGCACAAAGCACAGTGAGAGCGCCGATAGCAGGCCAGGCCGGGACCTGAAAAGGGCAGCGCCCCGGATGCGGTGGCGTGCGAGGCAATCCCTAGCAGGTACCGCCTAGTCGCTGCTAGCCGCAGGTGCTGGAGACTGCGGGTACCGGTACATGGATGGCTAGAGTCGAGGCCGTTGATATCTCGATGGGCTTCGACACAGCGCAGCACAGGGGGCCTTGTGGCTGGCTGTGCTAATCTACAGCACCCAGCGTGGTTTCGAGTTGACAGGAAATTCGCCAATTAGCCGCGGCGAGGCGAGCAGGCATTGCGAGTTCAGCACTAGTAAAAAGCAGCAGCTGCAAGGCCATGTTAGCTACATGCGCATGCTCCACCGGCCTACTACGTGCATATACGCAGGCACTCTGTATTACAGTACATGTCTGGCACTATCATATACAATAGGTAGGGTAGAAGGCATTCAATTGTCATTGAGGCGACGTGAATGCGAATGATGAGAGAGACTCACAAGTACCGCTACCACAAGCACTGACGGCGGTACTTTCCGCGATACATGTCCACTCTATTATTGGAGGCTTGTCGTTCCAGTCAATAGGATAGGCGGTCCCTGTCCTTTGTCTCTTGGCGGCGTGGCCGCTAAACGGCCTTTCACTGCGCACATGTACCTGCTTAGTGCCACCAGCAGAATTGCAGCGATGGTTCTGCTTGGACAAGTGCCAGACAGCACGGTAACGCAAAAAGAGGCGTGCCCCAATGGCGCGGTCCCGAGTCCCTGTTCCCAAGGCCAGACCGGGCAGACCCACCCGTGGAGGCCATTCAGCGGAGCTTTTAGCGTCATGGCCTGGCCCATTCTGTGATTGACTGCTCTCCTTGTCTCTGGCCTCTGAATTCTGAATAAGCAGGTCGATCCGGCGGTGGGGTGGCAGAGCAAGTATTGAATAATACCAAGGTAGCATCAATCAATAGTACAAGTTGATTCCAAGATTCCAAAAGCCATTGTTTGTCAACCACCTACTTGAGCCTCCAAATAGAAATCTACATCTCCCACTCGCCTGTGCTGTAACCCTGAAAGTGCCATGCACGAGATGCAGAGCCTCCCCCTCTTCGTCCCTCGTCTCCCCTCCCCTGCCCTCCCTCTCGGGCAAATCTTGGCCTCTCCTGTTCCCAGCTGCTGCAAGCCTTCGGCGCACCAAAAAGAGGGGAGGGGGGTCCCTGGCCCTGTGTAGCCATTTTCTTCTTTCTTCCCTTTCTTTAGTGCGCAGCACTAGCATCTCGACTCTGAGACCCATTCATTGCGATATTGGCCACCGACAGCGACATTCCTCGCCCGCTGATTGGAGCCGTCGTACCTAGTCATCCCAGACGCCTGGGAAGCTTACCCCGTACTTGACAACCCGGGTGGACTGGCCTCGGTGCCGGAAGAGTTAGTACGAGGTAGCTGACGCAAAAGCTGGGTGGTATCTTTTTTGCGCAACGCCAAAGGTGATTTACACTTTGTCAGCCACTGCAAAATCACCCAAAAAGAGATCACATCATTAAAAAAAAAAAAAAAAACGGCTTGACCTGACCCAACGCCATGCGCGCCAGAAATTTGAAAGAACGCGGTCGAAGCTCGGCTGTGGTGAAAAGTTTTCCCTCGCAACGCCGAAAGGGGGGACGGGCAGGCGGCGTTTGTGGTTTTGATACAAAGCCACAAAGCCACAAGAGGCAGCCATGTGCTGCTGTGGTCGCCGACCCTATCAAGCGTGGGCAAAGACAAAAAAAATGGCCTGTTCGAATGATTGTAATACGGAGCAAGGCGAAGAAAAAAAATACGCGCGAGAGCGAGATAAGGACAACTCCCTATCTCTCCATCTCCGACTCTTACTTGTGATCTTAGCAGTAATCCATCAATCAATCCATCGTCCGGCCTGTGTTACCGCATGCGCATGCAAATTCTCGGCTTACTACCTTTATCCGTACGCAGTAATCAGCATCGTTTAGGCGTGCATGTCGCTTTACTCGTATCTTGGTGCTACCCGCGCAAAAGTCCCTATCCTGGCCCTATCTGGATGATTGAAGATTGCTATCTCGGCCGGCATCCGTCGTCATATCTGTAATGGGGAGGTAGGTATCCGTTACTTTAGTACTGTACTACTTATCATTCGCACATGTGCCGCCAAGAGCTGCAAGGATGCCGGCGACTATCAAATGTTGATACCGTCCATCGATCCTTTTGTTGCAGCGTCAGGTCATTCCATCGCCCAGCGATGACACGCTCTTGGCTGTGACATGTCCGCCTCCAGTCATTTGAGATACAAGTGCTGGATGTAGGATTACGGAGCGCTGCCGTTGGCTGCAGTTGCTGCCAGCTCCGCTCCAGGTGCTCCGTACAAGTATCCGAGACATGCAGGCCCTCCAACGGGGCTAGCGATGGACCGCGCAAAAAGTATGGAGTACGAGGATCATTGCCTGCAGGAACCTAGCGGGGCCATATGCATCCAGCGGGATGGACAAGTACCTGCGTCACTGGCCCGAGGTTACACGGTACATGTACTTCTGCTGGTGACCCGTAACAGAGTTCGGACGGCGGCGGCTGGCCACGAGGCCACAACGATCGAGAGGGTGGCCTGAGCGGCGCAGAGTTCTTTTTTTGGACGGGCATCTGCTGCATCTGCTGCATCTGGCTGTGACAGAGCCGGAATGCCAAATTCTCAGTGTCTAGTTTTCTTCGGCGATTGCGACAAGAATCCAGACGACGCGGCACGGAGGGACACCCAAAGCGTCAGGCAAGGGATGATTCCAGGTAGCAGCTGGGTGGTGGCGGTGGTACAGCGAATCACATGCGTACGAGCAGGTGCTATTCCTGCAGGTTCAGCTTCTGTTGATCTCTTGGACGCAGAGGCGAGGCGAGACAAAGGCGAGGCGAGGGGATTCACAGTGTGTGCGCTATCATGCAGCTACAAGTCCCCGGCACAGCAAAGCAGTGCGGTAGCGATACTTGTTCCATGCAAGTCTAATGAGCGCTGCTGGGGACCTCTGCAGTAGCACCGCATCCAAGGCACAACCTGCCCCCACCGCAGAGTCATCCGTGCAGCTCGAGATTGGCCAGAGCCCCCAAGTCCGCCTTCTGGGGCTGAGAAGGGTGAGGGTCCTCCATGGCCTCGGCTCCTCCCAGCGCTCTGGCACGCGTTGCGTCTCTGCTCGCCTCGCGGGCGGTTTTCTGTGTCTTTTTTGCCTGCCACAATCCTTGGTTTTTGGTGCCGATTGACGGCTGGGTCCCTCGCCCCCCTCCAGCGCACGGAGCAGCATCAGGCCAGGGCCGAGAACCCTCTACAGTGCTGTATAAGTGGGCTTTTTTTGGTCAAGTTGAATTGAAGCTCCAATCCCCCCGCTAGGACCGTGAGCCAAGGGACCCGAGAGGTTGACGAGAGCCATTTTTTTTTTTTTTTTTTGCTTTTGGCCTTTGTGATGGTGATTTTGCTGCCGCGCATCGTGTGCGATGCGATCGCGATAATGATCGCGCGCGGGTCCCTCTTTGAAAGTCCCAGTTTTGGACACCGAGCCACCGGATGGCGGTTTTTAGACGAAGGGACTAAATCAGGCAGCTCTTTTCGAGGAGCTGGCAAGTGTGCAAATTTTCTTGCAATGCACCTACAGTATTACTACCAGCTTGTACATGCGCCGAATAGGCCAATATAGGCCTACGCTCTTACAGTAGCATGTACGTATACCTGGTCTATTTTCCGCAGCCCTTCCTCGCGCTTCAGCGGCACGACGGAAAATTGAGTCTGCGAGCAATGCGGTGAGCGCAAAAGTTAGCCGGCGCTCTTATACAGGCGGGCGCCGGCAAGCTATACCCTAATCATATTTGCCGACGAACTAGAGATCTCTTTGAAATATACTGGGCTGGGATGTGAGTGCTAGCGAGAACCCCTGATTGCAGGAGAAGAAAGAAAATTTCATGTCGTTTTTTCTTTGCAGCTGTTTTTCTTTCCCGCGCTTCACCGTCATATCGGCCGAGAAGTCCGATTTTTCGGGATGTGGACAGGACGATGTGGGCTCGCAAGGTACGTCATTGGTGGTGAGATGAGTGATGGGCGGGACTCAGGGTCCGAGATTGTAAGAGCTAGGAACCTACTTACTCGAAGGTATCAGGGCAAAAAAGATTCCTGTTCAGTGCTGTCTGTTTACATCATATCATACAGTCGTACAGTACGTAGTGCAAAGGCACCAGTGGCGGTGGGTTGCAGCAAGACCTGCAAGTGAGATATAAAACAAGAGCGCCATGACGGCAATCACCAGGCAGCAGCATTTTGCACCTCCATCGTCGATGAGGGAGTTGTCTACATACTGGTAAAACAAGAAAAAGGAGCACTGTTTGCTTGGCACTTTGCTCATCAGAATGGCCCATTCAACATCATGGCAGGTATCCATTCTCTTAGTGTCCACTGGTAGCTGGGCTGAGTGACAGATGTCACTGCGCAATCAACTAAACGAGGTGCCGCTGTCAACGTCGCAGGTACTTGCGCCTGCTGCCCATCTGACACGCGAAATGTTAGCGCCCTCCCGCGCTGCCACCGCAAGGAGCCTATCGCCATCACGTGGTCCCAGATAGCGCCGGTACGTACCTACTCTGTACAAGGCTCCTATCCCAAAATTTCCTTCTCCTGTACGCCATCTCCGCCACAGCCCACCATCCTTGCACGCAAATCGCCTATCTTGCCCATCAACTCCCGATCCCCCGTTGCGACGGAGCTGAGCCAGCATCTCCGACTGTATCATCCAGCCATCCTGTCTCATCTCTGGCTACGACAGTATACGGTACGGAGCTGAGAGGCCCGGATATGAGGCGTTGCACGTTGGAGGGGGAGCGGTCCGACGTCGTAGAGCTAACGGTATTACGGCTCCATGCGTTTTTATGGAGTCGTGCCGTGCTTTGCGTGCCTGCTGGCTGTACAGGACATGATCCAAAGCCCATCTCATTTTCCATCTGCGTTTCCGATTCCGAAGTCAAGCAACGACATGATTTGTCTGAACCCCTTTCCACCACCCATTGCATCTAGCCCGGCTCCAATTCGCCGAAGTGCGACCAACATGCCAATCAAGCAGTGGCTGAGTGATCTTCAGCTTATTTCCAGACCCAAGATACGATACGATGCACCACAGCAGCTGTTTCACCTCTCCATCTCATCTCATCTTCCAGCGAATTTGCCTATAAGAAGTCTAAATGCTGAGGCTGCACGTGATCCTGCCTGTCAGCATCTGTATTACTAACATGCCGGCAATTAGAATCGGCAATGAGGCCAGAAACGCCTCTGATATCAACCACGTTCCATCTTTAGCTAATGCATCACAGCCTTTGGCGCCACCAAAAGCAGAAATTTCCATCCGCCAGACCGACGCGCTTCTCGTGCGAAATGAATTTTCCGCTTCGTTGCAAGAAAAGGTACAAGCCCATAGGTACGGTATTGTGCTTTTTTTAGATTTCATTGAACAATGCTCTACCATTGCGTCGTTGTTGGTGGTGTTGCTACTACACTATCTGCTGTTGGCCGGTAACAAAGCTTCATTGAAGAGAGCTACATACAACCAACGAATACATTCAAAGATCGATTCTGAATGCGTCAAACCCGATCTAGAGCTACTACCACCGCCAATTCAACGATTCGACTCTTCGTGTGTCAATGCCAAAACCGGGAATAATGACCTACTTCGTCCGATTGCCACTCCACCTCCTGCACTGTTTGAGCCGCTCTAAGAGGCGCCACGCCGCTCTGGTCCAAACCATGCGCTGTGCTATCAGTTTGATTTTCTTTTTTTCCGTTGCTTTGTACAATGGCCTATCACAATATGAATGGGGGCGGTTACTATCGACCCCTTTATCTCAGAAGAAGACCAAGGACTTCATCAGACGGTAGTTACCGCCAATACTGTACCAGGTTTGTCATCCTGGCGATTCTCCATAAAAATACATCTCAGCGGGCGCTCTTGTTAGGCGGATGATGTTATTATGGGATATAGACGCCATCTCCATCATTCAGCAGGCGACACCTTTGGTCTGTGCCAAGGAAAGCCTTGTGACTGCAGCAGTGAGCCATTGCGGTTGGTTTCCTTATTCAGCCATGCTCTCTGGGATCCTGGAGCCTAAAATTCCGATCAGCATCAGCCATGCGTTCATGGAGCTGGTTAACCCCCGGCCTAGAAGCAGAATCCCCTTCGATATCAGAACCTAGAATTCGCTGTGGCTTCTCCAAAGAGCGAAAGCGGCCAGTGTGCGGCCGCATGAGAGACAATTAGAGAGCGCCATTGCTCCAAGGATCGTCGGCTGGCTGCAGCTCGCGCGTTTCAATTCATGGGTGCCTAGAGCCTCGTCTGGAGACCATCCCACGATAACACTGTCTTTACTGTGCCTGTCTGCCGCATCGGGCGACGTGCATTTCACCCTTTCGATCTCCAGCCTAAAGGCACGCCTGGTGGCGGTCGCACCAAGCTAATAGTTCTCTAGTTCTAGGGCGAGATGCTTGACGCTCGCCTCTCCTTGCAGTCCTGACGGTTCTAGACCCAGAGACGCCGCCATGCGTCGACAGACGGACGGCACGGAATGGCACCATCCAGGCCTCGGCGCAGCTCTTATCAGCGCCTCCATGCTCTTCTGGCTGAGATGAGATGGCTGCAGCAAGAATCCTGCCCCCCAAAGATCCAACAGTAGGCATGAAGGATAACGGCCACCCTAGTTCCACCAAAATCCTGGGGTGGGCGCACGTTGCCGCCAACCGACCAACAGTGCTCACTCCCACGTGCTGATTGTTGGAGAAGAATCGCCCTGCATTGTCTCATCACTCTCATGAGCGAGGCCAACGACTATTGGATCTTAGTTTGTGGTGCTAGTGTACCAAGTGCTCCGAGTGTCTTTCATCGTCTCCCCGCATGACAAGGCTGCCGTCAATGCTGTCAGAAACCTGATTCATAAACTTTTGTGTCTTGGATGCTAAGGAGCATTGAATTTATTTGGCGCCGTCACTCAAGAGAGATGACTTGGTGACATGTCCGTCAAGTCCGTCAAGTCCTTCAGCCGCAGAAAGCTAGAGGGGTTTGACTTTTGGCCAGAAGCCAGCTAGAGACATTCTATCTGTGCGTGGCGTCGAATTACGAGAGCGCGAATGACAGGGCAGGTCACCAGGTAAAAAAAAGAATGAGGCTACATGAGTCGCGTGCTTCGTTTTGCGCAATAGTTTTCGCGTTATTGCCCCTTTGGCTGTTTGGGAGTAGCGAGAAACTTTATCTGGTTGGCTGTCTGTGTTGTGTTGTGTACTGACCGCTATTCACGATACGAATTATCTGGGGTAGATCAGAAATAGGCCATTCATTCAGCTCTTCTCCACATTGCTTTCAGCCCTGAGCGCCCAATCAAGGCCATGATTCAGTCAAACGTTGATAAGAGATGTACACAACGTGCTTTGATTGAAGACGACCTACTTATCTCGTTATACGGATATGAATCCTGGGCCTCAGAGTTCAGCTCGCCTACCAGGGCTTTCAATCCTTCTCTTTTCTGCAATACAGACAGTTTATCACTGACCCTAGCTTATCTCAAGCAAGGGGGTGTTGGATTCGCCTGCAAGAAAAAAAAGGAAAGGGACTTTTGAAATACTGCTGGCCCGCTGTGCCGAGTTTTGTTTCTACTGTTGGTCGTGCCTTGTTCCGCTTTTTGCCTTGTTCCCCTGAGTAAGAGTTACAGGGTAAAATTTGGCCGAGAAATGATTTTGTACAATGCAAGTTTAGGATAATGACGTGTCCTTACGTATACGATAAAAAAACAATTGTAGGAAGTGTCCGTGATTAAGGGGTGGTTGTGAAGAAGGATATTTTGCGATACGGTTTTGCTTCTGGCGTGTGTGAATTAATCTCTAATCGTCTTTATTCACATATAACTTGTATTGTTTCTCTGTGAGAGCTCCAATTGATGGCGAGACTGCTCGTTATACCAGGATTCTTCTTGTCTGGCCATATATCGTCCAGATTTGGATAGATTTCACAATCCCGTCTTTGTTCCATGTCGTACTTGGAGATAGTGATCCAACTCTACGTCCATTGAGATATATCATCATCTAGCTACTTGCCTCAGATTAGCTAGCCATCCATCTTGAAACTTGCTTGTTCTCAACACCAGCTTTTTCACAACGTCCATCAAGCTATAAGAGGGCATAGCAGTCCATCTAAGATGCTGTTGGGTGTACATGTACCTAGCTTAGAAAAAGGCAATATACGTGATGAGGCGTCTGACACGCTCAACCACAAGATGAACAAGCTCAAATACATCATGTTAATCTCAGACACTTTATTTGGAAATTTCTAACAACGACTTAGATCACTGCCTACTCCAATTTCAGCTCCGTCACCAACGCCTTGACCCGACTCTTGTCCGCACTCGTCCAATCGACGCCCGTCAACCCATGCCCATCTTCATCCCCATCATCCAGCTCGCCACTGTCCACAAGCCCCCATATCTCATCCACCACAGCGCTGCGAATCCGCGGCCACGGATGAGCCATGAGCGCGCCGAGCCTCCTACGAGCATCCTTCACTCCGGCCTCAACGTCATCTCCAGCGCTCTCGGCCCCGGCAGCGGCAATCCCGCCGTAAACCTTGATGCAGGCCGCCACCTTGCGGACGTTTCCAGTCTTGTAGCCCGCCTTTTGCGTCTGCAGACACAGGCTTTTGTAATTGATGCCCTCGCAGCGCTGGAAAAGCCCCACGTGGAAGAGGAACGCGATAATCTCCAGCGTCGGCACAATGATGCGGTCCTCGCCCTGGCACGTCTTTAGATTGTGCAGCAGCGCGGAGCACACGAGCTGCAGCTTCTGGGGCGACTGCTCGCAGTAGTCTGTGAGGGCTGCGCGGCTGTCGATGATGAGGTCTTCGTTGCCGGTGTCTGCGGATGAGACGAAGCCCGCCATGAGGCCGGCCATCCAGGCGTTTGTGTCGTCTCTCACAATGTCCATGATGTGCTTGTGTAGGGAGTCCTTGTGGATGAGGTCTAGGAGGAGGGAAAAGTAGGCTTTTGATGAGAAACTCAAGTGATTGGTGAGATATGTCTTTCTAGGAGTCGAATCTTTGATTTCATCAACGTTACTAGAAGAATGAAAAGACGACAGTCCCAGCAATTAGCACCATATTACCAAAAGTCACTCGAATATATAGATGAGTAATCTATTAGAAAAGAAGTAAAAAAAAAAAAAAAAAAGAAAGAAAGAAACTTACCCTTCATTCATGAGCAGCGCAATAACATCCTTGGCCACGCGGCGCACTCGATCGAGCTTCTCTGCAGAAAGCCGCAGAATGTTGTGAATGAGCTTCCGAACAGATGCCGCCACCCAATCTCCTTGAGCCGCAGGACGTCCAATATCCCCCCACAGAACTGCAATGGCCTTGAGAGTCTGGAATCGTACCAAGGAGCCTTCATCGCCTCGAGCCGTCGTTGTATAATCGTTTAACCCATCCGCAAGAAGGTCTAAAAAGACCGCTGGCTTGTCGCTCAGAATACGACTGCTCAGAAGGCTCTGGAGGATGGACACTCTGGTTCCAATCTCGCCATCGACGCTCCATCGTTCGAGAAACGCAGCACATGCAATGTCGTTTCCGCTCACGTCGTCCTGCGAGCTGTGAGCAAGGGGCTGTGCCATGGCCATGACGTGATAGTATCCATTGCCAGTTGCTGCTGCGCGGCTTCCGGGCTTGGCTGCGATCAGCTTGGCCCATTGCTCCAACGTCTCAGCACGCTGCTGAGGAGCAGAGAGCAGGAGAAGCATCAGGCCGGCTGCGGAAGCATGCTCAACGGTTTCCTGCTCGTTTCTGCTGAGCCATTTTGAAATCACGTCTCGCAGCCGGGCAGTCAGCGTTTCAACTTGAGAAATTTGTCGTGCTGAGCTGAAACCAGCGGCAATGTCTGGCAATCCGTGAGATTTATCAACGGATAAGATATCGGCTCCCTTTTCCAGGCGCTCGGAAGACACATTGTTGAATGAGGTAAGCTGTATGATGGGTAGAGAGGATACAGCCAAACGGCTTGCTGCTTCGACAATTAGCTCTGGCTTACGATACTCGGTATTCTTGCAGTCCTCAAGAATCGTAGACACATGCCCTAGAATCTTGCAGACAGTGGCTTGATCCAGAGACTTTGGCGCAGCCTTGCGTGCAAGCCCAGGGAAACCATCCAAAACACCAGCAAAGCATGCCAGCAACCCGTGTCGCTCTTCCACTTGTCTCTTTTGTAAGCTGCTCAAGCGATCCATGACCGAGTCAATCGATTCTTCAAAGCGCGAAAATGGCTGTTCAGAGGCTACATCGGATAGCTCCACCATCAGCGTGCCGAATGCAGCGCCGGCAGCTCGTCTCGAAGCCGTGTCCATGTCGCCGATGCCTCGCCAGCCCAAGATGCCATCAACAACAGCTTCACCATACTGCCCCGACAATCTCGTGGCACCAAGCGCAACTTCTTGGACAGCGCGCGTTCTTCGAGCTACGGCATGATAATCCACACACTGGACGACGCCAATACCGTGCTCTACGGTATCTGGATGCCGACCAATAAGTTCCTGCAGCGCGGCAGAAGCACCACGTCTGATATTTCCCTCTGGGTCCAAAGATGCTGTTGTCACCAGCTCTGTTCCCAGAACTTGCAGAACAGAGCTCGATGGAGAGTGAGCTTTGGCCGCGTAGACAGATTTCGTAGGCACAGCGAGGAGCTCAGAGGTCGTATATCGACGAGCTAAAGCCCAAATGCCAAAACAAGCCGCATCGCGAACGTTGGCTCCTACGCTCGCTCCGGAAATGCCGCGCTGCTCAAATGTCAAGCCCAAGAGGAGAGAGTGGAAGATGTCGGAGAGCTGGCTGGCCGGTGGCGATCTTCGATAGAGCAGATGAGACAAGGTCATCATGAGACCGTGCCACTCCAGAGGATTCACAGCAGACAAGTCGCGAACACGGTTGGCACCTGGCTTGTTTGACGTCTTGTTCCAGAGCACATTGCGATTCAGGGATTCCAGCACGGCTTCAACAACTTGGGATGCCATATCCGGATCGAGTTTGAGCGTGATGATGCTGAGTGACTTGCTGGCAGACAAGCGAACCGGAGTGTCGTTGTCAGAGAGGCTCTCAATGAAATATCCAATGGCATTCTCTACCAAGACGGTAGTCTTCATATCCCGCCGGGAATTGCGCAGCAGCGACACAACGAGCGAGCGGACGACTTTGAGCATCATCTTTCGCGCTGATGCTTGAGACATGATGACCTTTGAAATTGCGTCTCCGCCGGCCGAAAGCTCAAGCATGGAGTCGAATATGGTAGATAGGTATTTGTCCATGTAAGACGTTTCAGACGAAGAGTGCAGTATGCCAGCCAGAAAGGAAAGCACGCCAATGTAGAAGTAAGGGTTGTCAACTTCATCTTCCTTCTGTGGCCGTAGCGACTTCAATGACCACTGCACGAGGCTCTCGAGAATGCCAAGCTGCTGCATATCCCGCCGCATCGCGAGCCTCACCAAGAGAGCCTTGGCAGCATCCCGTTCCTTTCCCGCGCAAGCAATGTACTTGATGGCCAAAGGAATGACTCTCATCGTAAGGCCCGGCACATTTGCGGGCCAGCTAAGCCCAGCAATGGGCGGTACGCCGCCCTCATCCAGGTCAGCGGAGGAAATCGTCGACAGGTCAAACGGCGCAAACAAGAGGTGAGAAAGCCAAAGCAGCGCAATATACCGCTGCTCCCACGACCATATCTTGTAGGAAGAGGCAACAGCAGAAGGCGACGACGGCTGTCCGGAATTCTTCTCCTTTTCCTCGACGGCCACCGCCTCAGCCTCCTCGACCGCCGAGAGGATCAGCTCCAGGTACTTTGTCTCGACGTTGAGAAAGCGCACAATGACCTTTTCCCCGCGCACCTTGCAGAACGAATAGAGGATCTGGGAGATTGTGTAGTCCAGCGGAGCGAGCAGGTTCTTTGTGTGCTCAGGGATACGCTTCTGGCGGTGCCGCGTCTGCAGATACTCCAAGTAAGACTCTGCCAGGAAGGGAATCCACCGGGGCAGATGCGGATCCAGCAGCTGCGGCAGTTCCTGGAACTGGTCCAAGACCTGTGAATGGGCAGTCAGCAACTGTCTCTTGATCTCTCGAGCCAACTAAGCCAAACTCACAACACAGGTGGCCTTGAGAGTCTCCCTGATGCGCACCCACGGCCGGATCCGAGTTCCCCCTCGCCCATCCGGTTTCCGCAGACAAGTCACCAGGCTCTGATCCAACTCATCGAGCAGGACCTTGGAATGCTTGTGCAAATACACGTCAATCTCATTCTCCGAGGCGTCCATTTCTAATAGTGAATGATGTCGTGTGTGTTTGTAGCTGGATTGCCTTCAAGTTAAACGCTGGCTGAGCATCTCCTTTTTCAACACCGCGCAGGAAAAAAAAGGCCGTTAGGCACCACTCTATGAAAGCGGTGACGGTATATCCGGTTGCTGAGGCCAGGCAGCTAAATAAATCCAAGTCGACCTGACTGCAAATTGCCCTCAATGTGAGTTGACTGTGCTGATTGATGAGCTGCCTGATGCTTCTTTGGCGGCTGCCTGAATATCAGACCCAACCTCAGTATTGCACGCATCATGTCAAGCTGCAGTGAGGTGCAATGTAGTGCGAAATACGGTGCGTAAACTGTATTAAAACTGTCTGTTATAGGGTAGCTTACATAGTAGCTCACATAGCTTAGCAGTTAGCTACTCTTGTTTGGAGCTTGGTCTTGAGCTTGAAAAGGAGCTAGCCGCAACGGTATTACATGCAGAATCTTGGAGCTCCAGTTCCCAGATATAGGAATACGAAGCACTATTTTCAAACTCCAAGATAAACATTCTTGGCATCTCACAATATACAGGTCACAAGGTTAAAGTTAAGAATAGTGGTTTTGTATAATTTACGGTTTGCGCTAAATGCAGTCTATATCAAAGACAGATTCGCTAAAATGGCTGGTTTTTTCCCACATCGCTTATCAATCTATCCATGCATGCATGCATGCGACAAACCTCATTGGTCTAATTAATTGTCGTATTTTTTGTTCAAACTTTTGCATCCTCACAGTTTGCACTTTTATATGCGAGCTCGTATTCATCTCGATTCACGGAGCGCTGGTTGGTCGCATAAAGCTTGGCAAAATGATAAAATTGCTTAGTTATCGCTGGCGAATCATGTCCTCGCCACACTCCACGATGAAACACGGCGATGTGACAAGGGACATCCTCCATGTTCCCCATATCAAATATTAAGGCGTCACCTCAAGCGAAGGGGAAATAAAAAAGCAAAGAAGTTTGTTTCACAACATTATGATTAATCATTAATGGTGCCCCCCAAAAAAAAAAAGTTGCTTGCGTGCCTGTCGTGCAGCATCAGAGAAAAGCCCCAAACCCACAGCAAACGCCTGGCTCGACTGTGACTGTCATCCGTCCCCAGACGGCCCTATTCAAGTGGAATAAAAGTAACAAATGAGAGTAAAGAAAATTTTCAAGTTGCCAAGACGGAGAGCCGATCAGATGTAGAACTATGAAACAGCAATCGCCGCCACTAGGGCGTCTAGAGCACTGCTGTGGGACGGCCCCGTAGCCGCCACATAAGGGCCCGCCCAGGCGACGCCGAGCATGTTGTCGCTGTTGCGGTCGTTGTTCCATATGGATTGAGCATTGCGAAGGATAAAGTTCTTAAAGTTGTCGTTTGGTGCCAAGTCATTGAGGTATCGGAGGTTGCGGATGAAGACGCCCTTGAACTGCTGGCCATCCAGGCCACAGTTGCCTGATGCAAGCTCGCATTGGTCTGCTTCGACCAGGATGCCATTTGAATTTGAAAGGGAGTTGATAGCGGCGTTAGCAATGGTAGCGGCGGTGGTAAGGTAGGATGAATCTCCGGTAGCACGGGCGAGCTCGCTCAGACCACCGAGGATAACGCCCTGGTTATAGGACCAGGTGGTCAAGCCGTTGTTCTTGCAGTTGGAGTCGAGACCGTCGTTGACGAGGTTGTTGGAGTTGATCATGCCGCTGCCCTTGAACCAGTTCCACTGAGCCTTTGCAATCTGGAGATAGGTGGTGTTGGAGGGCACACGGTTGGCGAGGGAAGCGGCGACGGAAAGATACAGCTCGTTGGCGATGGCATTGACATAGGTGCGGTCTTTGCTCCAGTAGATGCCTCCACCGCAGGGAGTTCCTTGGCCGGTTTGCATGTCATTGAAGACTTCGATGGCTGAATCGAGGTAGTCCTGGTCGCCAGTGGCATCGTGGGCATGAATCAGGCCAAGAGCCCACCATCCCTCATCATCATAAAAATCATCGAGGAAATCAGCAAATCCTCGTTTCTCGAGAGATGAAGAGACGGTGGCATGGCATCCTTTGCCATTAATGCAGTGGGTAGACGTGGGAAGACCCACGGCATTGACAACCTTGGCGACCGAAACAGAGGTCAACTGGGCCTGGCTGTAAGTGTTGCGCAGAAAGCCACCAACGTTGAGCTGGTTGGCCTCATTGATTCTCAGCTGAGCAAAGTCGGCCAAGATGGTAAAGGCATTGCCACTGTTCCACCAGGCAGCGTTCCAGAGACCAGTCTCGGTATCGTACCATGCATTATTTAGCTCTCGAATGGCTGTGACGGAGTTGGCAACATAGTCTGTTGCAGAAAGGGGAGTAGAAGGAGCGGCGTGGGTAGGGTTAATGAGTGACGGAAGAACGGCTGACAAGGCCAGGGCGTGCGTCCAGAGCCAGCTAGGAACAGCCATGATGTAATAATAAAAAGAGTGTGAGGATTGAGAAACGAAGGCTAACTGTTCCAGCTGAGGAGCTGGTAGTTGCGTTTTAGAAGGGAAAATAGAAGAAGAAGAAGAAGATGAGGAAGAAGAAGAGGATGGAGAAACATGAGGAGGAGCTGCATAGATTTCGGGGGCATAAATAGGTAATAAACCGGAGACCAACAAAGCAATGGAGAGAAACACAAACACCAAACAAAGCTTGTGAATCAGGTACGCGAGGGAGAAGCTCCTGGGCGGGTCTGGACGAAGGCCGGCATTGGGATATGGAGACAGGGGTCCGGATTTGGATCCATGATGGCAATAGCTTGGCGGCTCGGCAGGGTTGCCGCAACTCTTTGGGCACTCGTAGCCGACAATAGCACTATATGACAGAGTAAAAGTGGTTAGCAGCAGTCGCAGCGGTAGGTTCGGGCTTTACCATGAGTGAGCCCCTTCATCAATCGTCAATCGTACGCTTTATCGCTTAAGCCAGGGTCGGCGGCTGCCATTCGTTGATTCGGCGCCAGGGGCACCCAGGATTCAGGGCCCGGCGGACCAGGTCGCGAAGTGGCGTCCAGGCCGATGGCGTCTTCATAACGGCCAAGCCATGCTGCCGCATCGGTAGTGGCGTCGCCGCGAGGGGACATTGTCAATGGACGAAGTTACTGTGACCGCTGCGGGCGTCTCTTTGTTGTCTCGTATTGTAACTTTTTCCTTCTTCAAAGAGTACCTTGTGTAAATCCCTCTCGTATGAGATGGCGCGATGTTGACCGTCAAAGCGTCTTTGGAGGCGCTACCAGGATGATGTTAGTGAGAGGGGGAGCCTTTCACAAACTGAAGCCTTGAGTAGCACGATTGGACGAAATTGACTTTTTTGCGGTGTCTCTGCCTCCCTCTCGCCGGATGTTAGACAAGCGCCAGTTGTTTAGTTCCGAACGGCGCTTGCGGTACTCGATGATGGCAGATCATCATGGCGATGTGCTGTGGGCTGTCTCGCATTATTTAAGCCAACAAGAGGCGACGCGATGGAGGCCGATCTGCGAGCAGCATTTGGTAGAGAGGTGGGATTTTGGCTGGAGGGGCAGCCGATCGATGCTGATCCGGCTCTGGGATCCATCACGAGATGCCATCTCTCGCACGGTACACCATCTTTGCAAACGTCCGAGATGGAGAGCGTCGTATGGGGTGATTCACGAGATGTGTTGATGAGGCGCCAAATGGAGGGGAAAAGTCTACAAAGTCTACATAGTACCACACGGCTGGGGAAGCGTTTCTCGATGCGGAAGCTGCGGACGGCGGTGTCTTGCCCTACGTGACCGCAAGACAGTCTCGGTTGAGGCAGTTGCGATGGCGGTTCGATGATGTCACAGCGGCGTTTTCTGCGCATGTTGGATCTGGATAAAGATTAATATTCACATGCGAACTTAATATTAGGTTTCACATACACTTCAATATCGATAGTACCTATTTACCTTGGGTTCCTATCTAGGTACCTACCAATCTCTACACATACTTTTTATTCACAACAACCATCAGTCTGCAGCCACGCCACCAATATAACAATCAACATTGATATTCTGCATCGTGGGGTGGGACAGCATCACAGCAACCGGGCGTGACCACTTTATTTACCCATAAAAATGACTTTTGCCCTCTCATCTCCATGTACTTGCACGCACGAGACCCTCTTCGGCATCATCGACCCAAAGGCAGTGATACAACCTCACAGAGCCACGAGGCATTCCCTCATCCCCGCATCAGTCCCCTCACCTGGTATCCCCTCCCTGCCGCTGGCTTCCTCGCTTCCTCCATCTCCCTGGACCTGAACGACTGACTGGCCGCAATCTCCGGGGCGCACAAGTCAGAGCGGTGTGCGGTGTCTCGGGACCGCGGCCAAGAAATGGGATTCCATGATCCAGATGCTAAAAGAAGAAGGAAAGGATTGTCCTTCATTTCTCCCTTGTTATTGTGTCTCGCATGTCGGCTCCGCGTGCTTCCTCTTACTGGCGCGCGTATAACGACGGTGAGGCGCTTTAACTGCCTGCAGATGCAAAGAGCATCGTCCCTTGCGTGAGAGCATCCGCCATCACGGATCTGGCATCTCATAGCGCAGACTGTTGCTCCTTCGCGGCACTTGCTCGCACGGGACGCAAGGCAGCAATCCTACTCTCCCCGTCTTACAGGCACATGCACACAATCAGGATCCCTCACGCGACAGCCTCGTATTGGTAAGAAAGGACAAGAGACGGAGAGAAGAAGAGAAAAACAGCTCAGTCAATGAAACGTTGACGAGGGGGCTGGTGGTGTGTCTGTGTATCCGAGTGCCTGTGTCTTGTGCGCAACTGCTCCAGAAAGACCGTTCTGTGAAGTCGACACAGCAGCAGTAAATGCATCAGAGCAGCTGCAAAAAAGGGCAAAAACTTCACACACAGCTCTGTCGTTTCTTTTTGTTCAACATTTGGACAAGACAAATTGCGAGCACATGTGAAACCAAGCTGATGTTTATTCTCCTGTGGTGGCACATCAACACCGGTACTCTGTGATTCTACTAATATTCTAGGTATGCATGGCTACCTCATATGTGACAGGCACCTTGCAGCCATCTAGCTCATCTAAAGAAACATTTCTCAAAAAAGCATCAAATAAAGCTCGTTATTGACCGTTTCACTGCTTCATTGTTAGGTACCTTTCAGCTCCTCCAGGATCTCGTAATCGGACGCACTTCCCGCAACAAGTTAGCATAAAAACATACCGTCGCATAACTCCCATCAACAAAGGACGAAGAGAGCATGTAGGTAAGCGACTGTAATGAAGCCAATCGCATCCTTCAGCTCAGCGCTTAAAATTTTAAATGAAAGAATATTCCCCGGAAATACACTCCGATAAATTTAGCTCTATCCCCTCTGGGCCCTGGTCTTTTTTTTTTTTCATCTCTTGATCCCATACCCGGAAACAGACAAGAAACAGGGGGACCACCCGTTTTAGGACCTTGTCGTTTGGATCCTTTCATTTAAATAAACAAAGTGCCTGCATACCAATCAGCAGCCCCCTGTACATTTTTTTCTCTCTTAATCTTTCTTTCGCGAGTCGCATGGTAACACTTGACTGCTTCATTCTGCCCTAATAATTTGAGGGATAATAGACATACATTAACAGCCAATAAGTACTAGTAGCTGTACGGCTTGGTTTCCTGGCTTCGTTGCAATAAGGTGACCTCGATCGGGGTAGCAGCTTTGCTCACCACTATGAATGCTTTGAGTGGGCATCAAGATTTTGAATTAGAAATTGTACACTCTTTATTGGCCTTTTCCAAAAGTGCACTCTAAGTTTTTCTTCTTCTTCTTCTGAAAAAAAAAAAAAAAAAAAAAAAGCTAAAGTATCAACTTCCTCGCATTCCCTGAGGTATTCATTCATGTACCTTCTGCCGTTTCATTTTGACTGTAGAATAAATTTCACCACGTGCATGTAATCCGTACAGACTTGAAAATTTCTAAACACATCTGTATTCCCATTAATAGGCTTTTAAAAGACGTCTATATCCGCATTGATAAACATCGAGGACGCCGGTAAACGAGCCTTATAGTGGAAAAGATCCTCAAGCGTTAAGATCTCGCAATTCTGCTGTGATGCTTTGTAACAGGCCTTGCTACCCTCTAGCTGAGCCAACCGCTGAGCGCGAGTTGTGAGAGCATCCATGACTGCATTATCACTGCAATAGCTTTCAAAGAAAAAGTTCGACAAGGTACTTTATGTTTACTTCTATGATACTAAATAACTGCATCATGATCGATTCAGTCATGGCCCATTAGGGCCGAGTACACAGGAAGGAATACTTTTTTTTTTTTTTAAACGGGTTTTGTTTAGTGGTTATAAAGGACATAAGGGAGCTCAAATTCTAAATCTACTAGTAGTTCCATATTATGAGCTACCTACCTAGTGAATAAACGAGCACATGCTCAAAGTAGCCGAGCCTCGTCAGATAATAATTGGGCATCATTACGTTGTACTCTTCATCATGGCCACGTGTTTCAACTTATTTTAATAGCGAATTCTATCTCTCTGAATTCCAGTGGTTGTGCCAACAGAGCCAGATCATGGTTGACGTAAAGGCAGCAAGGCCTAGTCGGGAGCTGCCCTACAGCCTTCAGAGCAGAGAGCCATCCGAGTACGTACCTACTTTTTGAACAGGAATTACTAACAAAAATTAAAAATCTGCCATCATCCAACAATCTGTTTGAGTAGCAGCCAAGTACGCTGGGCAACATAAACAACAAAGCTACTAGGTACATACTAAGCACCGCAAATGCCGTGTTTTCGAGTCCAAGTTTTCGTTCAACATATTGAATGACAACAATTTCTTTGTTTAAATAATTCATTCCCTTTTGTGTTATTCCTCTTGAGATACGAGCGTCAAGATTGACCAGATGTAGTATATTCAGCACTACCTATTATACACGTTCCCAAAATCCCACGATATGTCCCATTATACATAGCCAAAAGAAAAGAAAGAGAAAACATTTCTTTAATATTATTCTCCCATAGTGTCAATTACTGACATCTTCCCTCTCTCCCCGGCTAACGAAGGGGAAAGAAGGGCAAAAGTGAAAAGATAGGAAAAAAGTGAAACAAAAGAAGAAACACCCTCCATATCCTGACAGTTCATAACATACCAAATGTAAGTTTTTTTTTCGCAATATACCCATGGATCAAAAGCCCACGGCTTTAATCGGGATGCGAGCTGGGACCTCCCAACGCCCGCTATGAATCGAAAATTACCATTGCTGCCCAGTTTTTTTTCATGTCCACGTCCTTTTAATGTTCAATCAGTCCCCCCGAAATCCTCGAAGGCGTCTTGAGCCAAATCCGGATCTTGTCGTTTCTCCACTGCTTGTCGATCCGGCAACGCTAGGTGGGCGTCCATTCTTGCTCCGTGTGGAAAAGCTCGGCAGCATGGTGCTCGATTTGTTCTTCTCGTTACTGAGAATGCTGGACCGGTCTGAGCCAATCATGGAAGATATCTCCTGCAGTGAGTTTGGGTCAAGGAAAGCTTGAGGGAAGACTCCCCATTTGCCTTTTGCGTTTGTGCCTGACCAGCACCAATACTCGGGATATGGCCCTACTTATCTGTTAGTATGCCTCTTCTTGCCTACAACGTATATATATAAAAGCGTGTACTCACAGCTTATGTTGGTAATGACTTCGTCCTTGTCAAACTTGAGCCAGTCTTCATTCTTTTCCTTGACCGAAAACTTCCACCTGGCTTTAGCTCGAACGCGACTTGAGTTGTTTCTCTTAATTTGGCTGAAAGGAGGCCGATCCAGCTTTAAGATTTCGACAGGGATCGATGCAAATACACCATCATGCCATCCAAAAGCCCATTCTCCTCCATATCGAGCGGGCCACGTCAGTCCGGTAATCTTTGCGCCTTGAATCAGTTCCAAAGCTGGCGTCCTGTCAGGGAGCAGTCTTTGGCCAAATAGTCTTCTAGCCGACTCCTTTGCATGGCCAGTGGGAAGGTGAGCAAGTTCTGCCGCCCTTTCGCGTACCGGATGAGGCTCAGGCGGGCTGTTAAACAAAAGATCGTAGTCATTGACCAAATGAGGCGGAACCTCAGTCTGGTCTACCACGGCAATGCCAGGAACATCGGGAAGCGGCCGAGGGTGGCGAGCCAAATGGGCAAACAATGCGGCGGTCGATGTGAAAACAGTTGAGTCGCTCTGGTCGAGAGTTCGGCTGGTATGGATACAAAAGACACATGCATACATGACGTCGTCAATCCGCTTTGCGTGCAAATGGCTCTTCTGCAAAAAGCGCAGGCGGTATCCGATGCCATTCTTGGTGTAGTTACCCTCCTCTAGACATAAAAATTAGAAATACTGGTTGATCAGATAAAAAGTTGTCAAGAATACCTTGTTTGTTGAGATCATATTCAACATGCTTAAAGTCCAGCTCGTATAAGCAGTGCGTGCACTTGGCAGCAACAGCTGTAATAGAAAACCCCTAATCCAGCCAAATCAGCAAGTTCATCAACGACCACCAGGAAGGAAAATACCTACGGGTTTCTTTATCCTCTTCACACCGATCCCTCCGTTGATAACATCAGTGGCTCCAGCACAGAATTGTTTCATGACGTAAAACGAACTTTGGTTGTCGATTGTGAGATCTTGGGGAGGTAGATTTGCCAGAGCAGCACTAGGCATAGAAGAGTCTACCGGGATCAAGCCGCTGTCTAGGTTCTCATTTGCGGTCAGGCCTGTGCTGCGACGAGCGAGTTCGAGGCCTGACAGAGGCTGTTGCTGCGTTTGTTGCTGCGTTTGTTGCTCGGTATTGACAGCACTTGGCCGCCTATCGTAGGCAGGCGGCCTTGTACTGACCGGAAGGGGGTTTGGATCCAGCAAACTCTCGGCGTCTGACAACCTTCGCTCAGAGATGGGAGGTTGTGCAGCATCACTGAGCGAATCACTCCGGGGACCAGGCTTCACGTCCTCCACGCGCTCCTCGGCAGTAGTCGGATATGAGGGCTGACGTGGCCTTGGCTGTGATCGATACGGCATTGGCGAATACATGACGGCACGGGGTCGTGAAGTACTCCTCGCTCTGATGGCCTTTTCTCGCGACATTTCTTCAGGTATGGTTGGGGTGCTCGCGCTATAACTAGTAGTACTGCTCGGTGCTCGTGGTCGCGAGACCTGGGTGGGACTCATGCTGTAGTCTGTCAATTGGCTGGTAAGAGACGAGTGCTTGAGGTCTCCGTCAAGAGTATACTCTTGCAATAATCCCGAGCTGCGAGCGCTGTCTGGCATCAATGATGAGCTGCGAGTGCTATCTGAATAGTTGGATCGCGGAACCGAAAAGTTCTTTGCAGAAGTGAATGGACTGTTTGGTGATTGGCCATCAACCGGCGTCTGGAGCGCTGGATCGACTGGTGGTCGTCGGCGCGCTTGAGGGCCGTCTCGCAGTGGCCGTTCATCATCAGAGGCAACAGTCTTGACTCTAATGTCCCACGGGTTGGTCGACGGCGGTCGTGGAGGTAATTGATCCACTGCCGCCGGAGGTGGTGGCGGGGGCATAGGCAACGCCCTGTCTGGAGGTGGCATCGGGGGAGACATGAGATCGATGCTATTGGTATTGTTACTCGTGTTGAATGCCTTGTCGAGCAGCACTCTCAACTGCTCGTTGGCAGTCTCAGCGGGAGCTGCATCCCCGACGGACCTGCTGTCGGTTTTGGAGCTCGACACAGAGTCTCTGCCGGCATAGCTGGAGCCAGTAACTGAAGGCGTCGGCGGCATCTGCGGCATGAGCATAGTCGGCATGGGGTGAGGCGATGAAGGGGGAGACAGCTGGGACATGAAGTGCTGAGAGTTGAACTGGACTGGTGCCTCGAGCTTCATCTTCAACAAGATGTCATAAATCTTTGGAGCTGCCGTACGCGATTGCATCTGCAGCTCGGTGAACTTGGCAGCATCAAAGTCGTCTACTTCGATATAGTCATCAAACTCCCAGAGCATATCTGTAAGCTGAAGCCGAAATTGGGCAATGTCGTCTATAGTGACAAAAAGTTAATTCCGATTAACAAGGTAGAAATGGCAATCAATGTATTCTTTGCAAGGAACTCACCATCGTCTCTCAATGCTGCGATAAAGTTTGGCCCATAATCGTCAAATTGTTTCTTACATAGCGGCTCTATCTTCTTGAGAGCACGCTCGCCCTCCTTGAGCAAGGCCTGGGAAGCCTTGAGCATTGGCTGTGTGTCACCCGCATTCTGAACGGCTGTCCTCCCCTTCTCGACAATGTCCCTGAATGGGGTGAGGACGAGGTCGGCAATGTCATCCATCGTTGTTGTCCCAGGCAAGATGGATCAGGCGCGAGCAGTGTGTCTTTGCCGGCGGGGCGAGGGACTGGGGGGGATTATGTACGATGACACCTCTCACGACCGACTTGGTATGAGTCGGGCGTGTGGCACACGTGCGATGCCAAATATAGGCCGTCACAATGCACTTGAAGGCGGAAATTAAAAGAGGATAAAGTTGCTATGGCAAGCCGATAGTCCACGGAGGCTCGATGCTAGGTGTGGCGTTTATAGAGAAGCGGCGTCAGTCAAGACCGAGAGAGTCCCCGCGTGGGGCAGGCTGACGAACTCCAGATGCTGGAGATTTGAGCAAGCCGTCTTGCTGGTTGATGGTGATTGTGGTTTAGCAACAGCAGGCACTGCACTAAATGAGCTATACAGAAATTACAGATGGTGAAACGAGAAAAGTGAAGGGGGCGAGAAGAAGGGGGAAGAAAAGAAAGGAAAAGAGACTTTGTAAAGTAGAAGAGAGAAAGAATGCCTAGGAGTGTGACTAAGAGGAGAAGAGAGAGGCGTACGCATCAAAGAGCTGAGCAGCCCCAACGTAAGTAGCAGTACTCGTGAGCATCATTCGCTGGAGAGAAGGAATGCCACGGCCCACGGAGCCAGATGATGGCCATGGCTGCAGCCACCCAGGCGTTCATATAGTAGGAGGATAGCCAGGCCACCAGTGCTATCACGAACAATCACAGGCACAAGGGACCAGTCGCAGCACTAGCACGGCTGCAGCAATCAATGGGCAGGTACCCGCCCAGGGCAAATTGATGCACGCATGCACGATATGGGACGCAGACGACACGCCAAACAACCACTAGCAGCGGTAGGCCAAGCGACTGTTGGGCTCTCCCCTGAACGAATCTCCATCCGGGGGAGCGAACAAGGCAGCTTGCCAGGTTCTCATTGCATGAATGAATCGACCGAGAGTCTACCAAGGGGCTCCGAGTCGTCGAGCGCTGGCGGGGTTGCTCAAGAGGCCTTTTGGCTTGTGAGCACGAGGGCAGCGTCGATTGGACAGGGCCCGGCGTATGGGCTGATTCGGAAGAGGGCTGTTTAGCATCGTCCCGGTGGGCAGCGATCCTGCCAGGACCCTTGTTGTCCAAGAGCCGGGGACTCGATGCGTCCTGTCCACGTTGCGCAAGGACCGCCTCAGATTGGTCGGAGCTGTCAAAGAGACGCTTGTGCGGAATAGTGGGCGCGCGCATGTGGGTGCCGCAGCCTCGTTTTTGAAAAAGGGCCCCGTCCATCGAGAGTCGCTAGCAGGCGGGTGTGGCTCCTCTACTAAGATGGGACAAGCCCAGGTTCCGCGTGGGTGCGGGATCGCATCAAGCATGGCTCATGCAATGCAATCAATAGTCAGGGCGTGCCAACCTCGTTTCTGCGGTCACGAACTCATTAGCCATCGCGGAGCTGAGAAGCAGATGCAGAAGGAACAAGACTGGGGGCAGATTGCGCTCCATCTACACCGTGAGGCCACGCATTTGAGGAGGTATTCGCTCCATTCAAGGTCTCTAGTGTCACTCCCCGTCTCCGCCGTCGTAGCCCCAGTGGTGAGAACGGTGGCGTATACAGAATGGTGATCTAGCGTCTGTCGGTTCGTGGCTGCTTCTAGCTAAAGATCTGGCACAACGGTGCGGTGTCGCAAACGGCAAAGGCTTCAATAGCCTCTTCCTTCAGAGGGGGTCTCGAGCTTGATTCCAAGACGCCGCCGGGTGAGATTGATATTCGTGGTGGATGCCGGGCTGCGTTAGCTGTCGCTCTAGCGGGGCTAGACAGGAACAGGAACAGGGTCGTGATGATGGACTGGCGTGGAATCCGCGATGGTGGTGAGGATGAGTGGTGGAGAAAGTAGGCGTCCAAAGGAATTGAACTTGCCAGCAAACATGGATAGGGGTTTGAGATCAATGCAAATGCCCGGATTTTTCTGTGTCCGGGCGTCCAGTGCTGCCGTAGCACGAGCCCTACAGGATTGCCGTAGGCTCTGTAAGGTACGGTAACACCAATTGAGGCCCTGGAGCACCGCTATGAGGACCAATTGGCTCTCGGCAGACTATCTGAAACTCGAGAAACAAGGCCTCTTTTGGATCGACAGATTTGGTGGGAAAGGGGAAGTTACAGCTACAGCATCAGCATCTCGTCTGGATGCAGGTGTGACAGCCACCTGCATTCCATCCATCACAGTAGCAGCAAAACTAGCAATGGCCTGCCGGTAATGTTACATGCACGCACACCACCTGTTGTTTGCTTCGCTACCCTCTTGATTGGTCTCTCGGAAGCAGTTCAGGAACCGTTTGTCACATTCCAGCAACCACTTTTGCAGTAGTCGAGACAAGCATTGCCGTTTCTGGCACCTAGCAAACATGGGTGCTGGAGCCAAACAACGGCGCAAACACATGTGCTGTCATCCAACAGGCGGAGTTTTATATGTCAACATGTTGATGCTGATTCTGATATATATGAATAACAGTAATAGTGCAGTAACACAAAATTGAACAATTTCTCACAAATCATCATACCAACCATGCGTATAAGTCCTGGAAAGAGTGCAAAAACAAATACATGTAGCCACTTCCCCAGCCTCACCACCCCCATGCTCTCTCCCCATGTCTCACGCACTACTTGTGCAAGCACATGGGTATATACTCTGCCTCCAGTATCATCCGCATAAATCGATCCTACTTGGATTCTCGGATGAGGTTCCTGCATGTGGGTTAGCCATTATCGGCAGGGTCCTCGCCTGTCCAAGGCTTTTATCAGAAACTGGGCGTGAACCGGAGAAGCGCCGCTCTTAGCAGCGGCCGCCGTCTCTCGGATACGCGAAGCCGTGTCGACATGGCAGCTCAACACACGTTTATCATGCAGAGTCGGTATAACGTATTGAGTCCCCACCGTGGGACCCTACCTGGTGGTGCCTGGTGGTGCCTGGTAGTGCCGCAAAGAGGGAAAAGCTGATGAATCAACTCTTTAATATCGCTTTGAGATGCTCAACACCACTTTGCATTAAGCTCGCTTATTAGGCTACTTTCTACGGGTTCTGAGGACTGCCATATCCAGATCCGTTCATGAGTAAGCGAGGTCAGTCTTAGCACGGATATAGGTTGTATTACTTGCATATTTTCCCGAAAAGGATTACTGCACTCCCCGACAAGAATCTTCATCATGGGGTTGAAGCTAGAACTATAGGAGCGCTAACACTAACACTAACACACACACACGAAACGAACCATTACACAGCACCACTGCATACTTGTACATGTAACATTGGACCTTGTCACCTTGGAGCTGCAAGGGACCCTGTCTCGAACTGCGGCGGTCCGGGCTACCGGAGCGCTTCGTTTACCGGAGAAACGACCCACCTTGAAATCCAGACTCAAGCATGTAAGAGGCACAAAATATTAAACTGTGCCTGGCAATTAAAGGTGCTCCAAGTAAAAAACGCTCGAGATACACGTAGATTCAGTTCGCCTACTACGACGTACATGTTTAGCCGACACTACTAAGCCTGACAGCCCTCCAAGTCGGCTATAATTCTAGCACAAAGCTCCCTCTCACTCGCTTTCGCCACTTCGCCATCAATGCTATCAATCATGAGACAGCTAAGCACAGCATCCGCATAAGTATCTCCACATTCCCATCTCAGGCGATCAAGATACTCTCTACAAACCCATCGTCTTCGCTCATAATGATCCTCTTCGTCATTATAATGTGAGCTATCGTAGTCCCTCAGTTTCTCCCATAGCCCGACTTCAAGTAGAAGAACACCGAGAGAGTATACGTCGTATGCGTGACGATACTGGCGCATCGGATCCGCGTGCTTCGCAGGATGCTGATAGTAGTCAAGCGTAAAACCACTGATATTTGTCTCTTTCGTACGCTCGGCCACGGCTCCCTCCCCTAGCATGTTGCGACCGTATATGCTACCAGAGGAAGGAGTTACCATTCTGTGTCTAAACTTAGCTTCCTCGTCCATTGGGCCATCCCACGTCCTGCTGTTGGTATTTCTATTTGAAGTGCTATATATTCGCTTTCTAGGGGCAGGTAGTGGTCCCTCTTGGAAGGATGGTGGTTCCCTTTGGACGGATGGTGGTTCCCTTTGGATAGATGGTGGATTACTTTGGATGATGATGTCGTCTGGCCGTGAGAAGATGTAGCCCATCAAAACAGGATTTGAGACATCAATCTCGATTTTGACCTCATATTGATCCTCTTGGAGTGCACTAACATGTTCGGGAAAGAATATCACTGACTCTGCGCGTATGTTCTTGTGTAGCCAGCCACTGGAGTGAAGAAGACACACGGCACGCACAAGCTTTCTAGCAAGCTCGAAACGCGCACCAAGCGCAGATCGGATGCCCTGTTTTTGCTTGTTTCCAAGGAGCGACTGCAGCGTCACAGGTGCGCGAAGCCTTAGGTTTTCCGCAGGCCGCTCACGACTCTGAACACCAATCATGCCGGGTAGCTTATAGAGAATGCTGCAGTAACCTTGGTGCTCGCCTTCTGTATGGTCGATAATACTGGCAACATCCAAGCCATAGACGCTTCCCATCATATTCGCACCATGAAATGTGTTAAAGAAGTTCCTGATGAGATCACGAAGCTCGGGGTCGGCTGGTCTGACTGTCTTGATTGGTCTGGCTATCTTGTTTAGTTCGATATCTTCTTCGGACTCGTCGAAGCTGGTGTGGTCCATTAAAAAGAAGGGCCCCCGATTCCGACGCTTCTTTTTCTTTTCTTGCTTTGGAGTGACTTCTAATGGAGGTCCGCGATAGTCCCGCATTTCCACGTAAACAACTTGCTCTTCAAATAGAGCTAGGCCCTTTCCTAAATACCGCATTTGGCGTTGCTCTTCGTCAACGTTGATAAGAGCTATGTCGTTCGCTTCTCTCCTACTTCTGTTTTCATTCACCGATGCTTTCAAAGTGGCTGCCGAAGCTAGCAGTTTGTAACCTTGCTGTACTGAGGACTTTTTATCAACTTCAGCTTGCTCCGTTGCGAATGTTGAAATCCATTCTAGATCTGTTGGCGACTCTTGCTTAGACAAACACTCCATGATGAAATATATGTTCATTGACTCGAATGCATTTTCGGGGCAAAGACGATAGAGCGAATCGCTGTGGGATTTCAGTTCGGCGATAAGTTTCTTGAAGTTGTTCTTGTCTTTCAAGGCCCATTTGAATTTATTAAGCACAGAGAGGCGATTCTTGACTTCCTTGATTACCGATTTGACATCCTCAATATTGGTGTCATGAATGGCCTCCTGAACGTAATTGGTGCACCCCGGTCCATCTTGGACGGCCTGGTCGGGGCGAAGCTGGATACCGTAGCGCGTGGTGAGTTTTTTCTGATCGGATAGTGTATCGGCAAGAGCAGAAAGAGTTCTAAAGACGCCTTCGGCTTTATATCCGTTGCTCAAAAAGTATTTGTGAAGTTTGGTCTGTTTTCGCCTGGCGTGATCGGAGTGTTCTGGCTCACTGCCGCTTTCACTTTGGATCTGCCAATGGAAGCCCCAGGCTTTGAGGATTGACTGCTGGATTTCCAATTCACGTAGTTGAATTAAAGATTCTCCCTCTGCTTTTTTCACAGTGGTGAAGAAATTGTAGCCGTCACGACACGCCGTGTAGAGGGCTGCGATATTGAATGCGAGGCTCGTAATATCCATAATAGTGAAATAAGAATAAAGTATATACTAATAGGCAGCCTGCTGTAACCAGTTCTATTAAAGTCGAGATCTTCACCTATGAGTTCTATGAGCGACAAGGCATCTTTATATGGTATGGATACAGTATTCCGCCGCCAAAGAAAACTCATAGCCACAGGTCAAGCAGCCTAAGATGTATGAGTGGCTACATGCGCCGAGGCTGTGCCAGGAATAGCCAATAGAGAAAGCAGAAACTTGAACCGCCTCCCTGCAATGCATGCGCTCAGCCTCATAATGACATAAAATGTTCATCGTCCTGGCCGAGGGGCGGCCCAATTGCAACCTTACAGAATCGCTGTGGGAGCTTGTAGGGGCCATTCTGCCCCTGCGAGCTACTCCAATTCAGGGCTGCCGAGCCTACATGTACATGTATCATCGCGTTGGCCAAGGCTAAATGCAAGGTGTTAATGCTGGGCACGCAAATTACTGGAGTAGAGTATGGGCATACCATCGCCACCGTGCATTTTATTGATTGCACGCGGCCTGATACGGCACCTACATGTTGCCTGTCGTGGCTTCCCAGTGTCTCGAGCCTGCCAGAATTGAGCACCCAATGTGGGCAGGCCTTAGTAAAGGGTCGCTCAGCCCTCAAAAACAATTTCAACGCTACCATGTTTACATCAACTTCACTTATCCGCTCAACTAACGAGCCAATATCTCATTATAAGGCACCTTTCACTTAATCTACAGCAGCCTTACTTTCCTTCTGCCATTATCCCGAGTCTGGGGTAGAGATCGACAACATGAAGAGGCTCGCACAAAGTGGAACCCCTTGGACAACTCCCATTAAAAATACAAAAGATCTTGCAGAAGCGCATCGAGTTGATCAACCTTTGTGATCATGATTTGCCGCGGCTCCATTTATGGGCCCTTACATCGACATCCCAACTCAAACCCATGGCTGGCTCTTCTCCATAATTGATCCTAAATTTAACATTTAACAAGAACAAAAAAAAGAGAAAAAGTCGGTGAACCTCTTCTTTATTCTTCCCCATCTTGCAAAGAATTTTCTGAGGTCCTAGCACCCGCACCAGATCGCTCCATTGTCAGTGCACCGGCATTTATATGCCTCCATCGTCATTCTACCAAGATTTCCCTCTAGCTCCATCATGAATTGCGGGCATCTATTGTCCCCCTCTGCCGATCCATCAGCCTTGTTTGTTGCTCGCTGCTGATACTCGTGACCATTCGCCACGTTGGGCAAAGGGACGTGCTAGATGCACGGGCTTCCTATTGTTCTGAGTCGATGCAGCGGACGATTCGTTTCTGTTTTTAGAGGGGCGTGGCTCTAGACTAGAGAGGGGTGGCTCATGCTTGTCCCAACGTGTAAACCAATTAAACCAAGCCTGTTTTAAATCCAAACAACCAACAATAGAATTGGTTCCGCCACTTCATGGCATGTAAATGATGGTTATGAAAGTACCGGTACTTATACATCTCTCACACACAAAATAGAGGCTGGACACACGAAGCCAAAAACACTCGTCCTCAAATTGCAAAAAAGGATGCCAGACAACGCTAGCGAACTGCTGTCCAAACCGAGTATCCATCACGGAAGCTGAGGAGCCAAACCCGTAATCAACCTCTGACCCCCGTATCGCCGCCTTCCGGCTTCCGTCTTCCGTATCGGTCGCGAGCCCCGAGCACGTGCTGTGTCTTGGACATCGCCAGCCCCACCACATCAGCCTCCACATCGTCGCATATCGAAACTCGTCGGTATCGCAACGGGGCATATCCCCATCTTAGAGCTCGCCGGCAGCCTGTGGGAAGAGTAAGTCGATGGGGGCACAGAAGGGTATTACTCCGGATGGGCATGAAAGCGTACATACCAAAATCTCCGCACCTACTTTTAGTGCATGTGCCCCTGATGCAGCTTCACCATCAAGACTTGCCGCTAGACTGCTCTTCGATCAATTTCCGACCGACCAAGATTGTCTCCTGAATGCCTCGCTGACGCTGCCAGAACCTGTTGTTATCGTGTCAGCCAATATACACATAGACTCTCAAATTGAGCCTGTTCTGCTCTGTGCATGTGCAATACTCCCTCTCTAGCGTCATGCAGTATCAGGTTAATAAAGGCGTCTTACATTTCTTCTGGTGACCCATGTCCCTGGATCGAGGCCAGACGGGCCTCCTCCTCCAGCGTTTGCCTAGTGATTTGCTCCGTCGCTTCGATCCCTGGGACGGCGACTTCAGCCTTCTCACCCGCCACGTGGCCGACAGTCTCCTCCAATAGCTTCTTCCTCAACTGGAAGCGTTCCCTTCGCTCCCTCTGCAGGCTGGGGCTCTCCACCTTACCCATGACAAACCTGACGGCGAGCTGGGCTGCAAAATAGAGATGCTCCGCCAGAAGGATGCTTAGGAGGACGCCACCCGCGGTGATGGGAGAGACAGAGTTGTCGCCGCTGCAGAGATAAACAATAGCGGCACTGGTAATACTACCAAGCCATGATAGAAAGCCAAGAGCCGTCAGCCACGGACCGATAGAATCAGCTCGCCATGGGATGGGTCGGCGACAGCCAATAATGATTTTCAGGGCGTCGGACCGCAACTCGACCCAGTTATTCAAGAGGAAAAAGCAAGCCGTAAGAGGCCATGAGACAGAAAAGAGAGAGAGATAACCTATTTAGAGTTATTAACCATATCTACACCCATATGTTGGTCAAGTGGGGCGTATAGCTTGACTCACCATACTGCATAACCATCTCACGATAATCTGCAGTAACGTCATACACGTCTAGTCCGGTCTGATTTCGCACCCGTTTTAAGAATTCGACTTCTTCAGGCGGGTCGTTGCTTGTAATCGTGTCCTTCGTTGAGAGCTCCTTGGCCTTGACAGTAGCCTTGTGTTTAATGTACGGCACGACAAGCTCTGTGAGCGTATTGATGATTTGCGCCGTGACCGTAGTATAGTACATCTGGTTGGCGATTCGCTGGGGATTAGATTGAAACTGATGAGTGTCCAAGGGGACCTCGCTCATCGTGATGGTTTGAGCCGTCTTGCCCCAAAAGTTCAAAAATGGCTGCAAGATGTTGCCAAAAGGAATGTAGACAAAGGCCGTAAATGTCAAAGCCATATACGAGGTCATGAAGTTGAGGACAAACTGCTTCTGAACAAGAGCCGCATGGTGTGCTAGGAATGGAAGAGACCCCATTAGTATTAGACTTGATAAGTCATCACTCTTGGGTTCTATTTTTTGGGTTACATACCATCCATGGTGTCGTAGTTTTCTTTATCAGTCAGTCGTTTGGCTGCAGTCATGAGAACAGTAGAAAAAGTTGGAGTCAGAACAGCAAGTAGTACGCTAGGAAGGAAGCCCTATTGAGCAAAAAAGCCATCAGCACTGGTAATGACAATGAATTATAGGTATCATGTCCAACGTTGATCAACTCACCAGATACTGCTTTCCTGGACCACCATAGACCTCATTGATGAAAATTTCCAGAGAGTTGACTGTTGCGACAAGTCCACCCAGTATAACAACACAGGCTAGAGCAAATGGAATCTGAAGAAGCTGAGTCTGTAGCCGCTTGGTAAAAGGATAGACCTTGACGGGTTCTCCTGTAGCCAAGTCTGCAGCCTCAAAGTCCCACTGGAATTCTGGTCGCTGATGCTGTATTTTGGAGACGCCACGGACCCCCCAAGAAATAGCCAAATCAGCCTCTTTCCGCTTCCAGTACTCGAAAAAGATGACGGACCAGAGGCAGTTGCAGATGGCGTAAAAAACAGAAAACTGACCCAAGATCAGCCACGCAGAAAAGCCTATAGCAGCGGGGAATATTTGAAAGCGAAAGTAATCCTTGAGAAAGGCAAAGTAAAACGCGACATCCTCGCCAAACCTGTCGCGAATGTCGTCCAAATCGGATTGTTCCAGAACATACTTTTGGCTCCATTTGTGCAGCCACTCCTTGTTGAACGCATTGTTATGAAGCGGGAAGATGGACTCGACGTATTTCCACTGTCCCTGGCCTTGGGTGATTCCCGCACCCCCTTCATTTCGAGATTTTGTTATCAACAAGTATATCAACCGCAGCCTCTCGGCCTCGGTAACGGGCTCGTCACGGATTGCCTGTGATACGTCGCTTCCTGGGCCAGTGATTCGCACGCCCTGTAGCCAGTCCTGGAGGCGAGAGCTATAGACCTGTTGGCCCAAAACGTCATCCGAGGCGAGCCTGGTGAATACAAGGAGAGAGGTCTCATCACAACAGCGGACGGAAGTGGTGAGACCAATGTTGGCGAGGGCCTCAATGAGCTGCACAAAAGCAGCTTCTGCTTGGGCTCTCTCTAGAGGCATGTAAGTGAGAGGACGGTGGGTGTCAGAGCGAATCATCTCATCAACAACATACCCTTGGACGGCACTCGATAATGAATCACATAATCAACGCTGCAGTGCAATGAGCTGTCAGTTACATACGGAAGATGCAGGATCCAGCAGTTGCATGCTCACCCAAAATTGCCGTCCTGGCCACTATCCTCTCCTTTACCGACCAAGCCCCGCAGGCTCGACATGGCGATGACGTCGGCACGACAAGAGACGATTTATGAGGTTAGAGACTGCGTAAGCAAGAAAGCGAAATAAAGTTTTCACAGGGAATTGAGGTCATGCAGCAGCGCGCGCGTTCGTGAAGCAGCTATAGGGGCTCGTATCATGAAGAGAAAAAGTACGCGGTATGGACAGATTATGTATGACGGTCAATCGATAGCCAGATTGCACAGGAGCTGGTGTGGGGATGGCGGGCGACGACGTCACTGGCTGAGCTGAGCTGAGCTGAGCTTTACCGGATGGCTGGTTGGAGGCCGCTATAAGGGCTAGCCACTGGGAGCTGGGGAAGCTGAAGGGCTGGACGGGTGCTGTAGCAGCACGTATATGTTGGTGAACTGGGAATAATAACAGAGTAATAATAGGGGAAAAGGGAAAAAGAACCTCGAGACAGACTCAATCCATGGATCATCATCGAAATCAGATCGCCAAGATCAACTTCCAAAAAGTTGGACAGATTGAGCGGGGCTGCCCGCCTGGCCAATCAGCAGCCAGAATCGAGGCCATGAGCTCATCCCTCGACTTTCATCTCAAATCACATGCAGTCATTCATTCAACTTCACCTTCTTGACTCACTCACCTATCTTCACGCAGCGCTCATTGGATCAATACATCTGAACAACGATGAATGTAATTTAATCAACAACCACGGCCCCATCTCGCCCTCTACAGCGCCTCGCCATGGGCCTCCTCACCTTCCTCGGCCTCCGCCGGGAAAACCAATGGGAACGCCTCACTCTCCTCGACCAGTTGCTCCTCTCGCCATTGACCTTCATCACCATCAACATCTACCATTTCCTGCTCTTCCTCCGAGGACAGCCGTTCACGCCTCCGCGGGGACGACCACCAGTCCGCGTAGTCTGCATATCCGATACCCACGAACAATTCGTCGACATCCCCTCCGGTGACATTCTCATCCACGCCGGTGACTTGACCCAGTCCGGGACCGCCGAGGATATCCAGAAGCAGCTCGACTGGTTAAAGAGCCAGCCTCACAAAGTCAAGTTCGTCGTCGCGGGAAATCATGACAGCTGGTTTGACCCGCGTAGCCGCCTGGACCAGGACGTCAAGGCCAACGCGGCGGTGAATCTAGACGGTCTGCTGTATCTCGAGAGCGGCCTGAACGTGCAAGAGATCAAAGGGAGGAAACTGACTATTTTTGGCGTACCGGACATTCCAGAGTGTGGTCCAGAGAGCTTTGCGTGAGTTGACATGACTAAAAGACAAAGGCTTCCTTTGTGAAATATCTGGCTGGAATGCTGACTTGAGATAGGTTTCAATATCCGCCTTCACAGCCTCCGTGGTTCAGCTTGATCCCCCCTCAAACTGATATTCTCGTGACTCATTGTCCTCCGGTATGATAGAGCTACTATTAGTTTCGTGTCCAAATGCACAACTGCTGACCTGTCTCGCCTCAGAAACATCACATGGATCTCGGTCTTGGTGACCCTCAGCTTCTGAAAGAACTCTGGCGCGTCAAGCCCCGTCTACACGTTTTCGGCCACATCCACTGGGGTTACGGAAAGGAATCTGTCTATTTCGACGACATGCAGCTTGCTTATGAGCGACTTCTCTCCCGTCCACCCCGCGGTCCCTTTTGGGATTTCGTCCCAAACGCTGCTTGGTGGGATCATTTCTACGTGATGTGGCATGGCGTTCACGCTGTGCTGTGGAAGTGGATCATGGGCGGCCCCGGTAGCAACCAGGGCAGCTTGATGGTCAATGCCTCGCAGATGTATGGAAGCACCGGTAAAGTAAAGAATAGGGCCATTGTTGTAGATATCTAGCCAGTTTTGCATTCATTTCGTTCTATTCTTCTTCTTCCTTATTCAACTAGATACGAAGCACATGGAAAGCTACGTGCGTAATACTTTCACAGAAAGACAAAACATCAGTGTATTTGATATGTATTATCATTAAGAATCCTAAAGCTAAATATTACACTACGTACGAAGACCATGAACCACAAACAAGACGCATCTTATGCTAGGGGTATTATGTGTACAAACAAGATATGACCCGATATAATTCTCCGCCTCCAAATTCCGACTATTCTGCTTTTTCTTTTTCTTCTCTCCGTCTTCTCCTTTTTTGAACTTTGTATCTTACAACACTCCCATGACAATAGCCAGTACGCTCAGTCCCATAATCACAAGATACTTCTTACCCTCATGATTCCCCGGTGCTGCAGCAATAATCACTTGAGGAAGGGGCGGATGCGCACCCGTTTGGAATGGAGGTGGGAATGGAGCATCTTCATCATGAGGGGGCATATGAGACTCAGCATCATCATGAGAAGGCGGTGGAGTAGGAAAAGGCGGTAAAGGTCCAAATGGAGGGACAGAAGTCCAGTGCTCCTTGGATTCCCCGGGTTCCTTGGGGTCAACAGGTGTGGGCAAAGGTGGCAGAGGACCAAAAGGAGGCACAGAGCTCCAGTGCTCCTTGGGATCAGCAGGATCCCAAGACTTCGGCCTAGCAGGCGGAATCACGACATGCTCCTTTGTCGTGGTGCTTTCGGGGCAATCCGTAACCGTCTTCGTCACGGGAATCAGAACCTCTGTGATTTCAGGCTTCGCCGGGTTCCACTTCCCCTTGTCATCTCCGTCTTTGTGTTGTCCATCTTCTTTCTGCTGGCCATCTTCATGTTCCTCGCCATTGCCATCGTCATGCCAGCCATTGCCATTCCAAGTTTCATGTGACCACCAGCCCTCGCTATGCTCTTGCCAGCCTTGCTCAGAAACCGGAAAGACAGTCACCTCGGCAACTTGAGTGGTCCAAGACGGCTTATGAGGGTAGGCCTTTGGCGCAACCTCGTTCGAACCAGGCGCCATAGCTGGAGGAGCTTTGGGCTTCTCCTCCGCAACACGGCCGTAAACAGTAAGCGCAAACGGCGAAGAAGATGAAGTCGAATTAGAGAATGTTCCTGGGAGGCGGCCTTGGCCGTCTCCTCCACGTCCAATGATGCCGCCGCATAATTCACGACTGTCACCGGGACAGACGCGGCTGCATAGGCCCTCCTTTTGGGCTGCTGCTGTGCGGGCATCGAGGTGGTCTGCGCAGAAGCAGCGGGTGTCGAAGACGCCCACGTATTTTTGTTCGTGGCAGAGATCAATGCATCGCTCGAGAGCCATGTCTTTGCCGGAATCGACTTCGCGGAATGATTTGAAGTCACTGCCCGAGTGGAAGCATCCGAGATATGCGTAGTCCCCGATCTTGATGGGATTCACAGGAGCCCTGGTGGCAGCAGGCTCGATTGGTACAATGGGGATGGGATTGCCGTGAGGGCCATTGGAACCACGAGTGCTGTTAAGATATGGAGGACGATGCAAATTCCCAGGCCCGAACACAGTCACGGTGGCAGTGGCCCGAGTAGTCATTGTCGTTGTCGTCGTGGGTTCCCAATGATCTGGCCGATCTGGATGACCTGGACGATTTGGGTGGTCTGGTTGCGGGTTACGATTCTCAGGGCGGAACTGGTACGCATCGATATATCGCACGTCCCAAAAGGCGTTTGCAAAGGCCTCTGGGTTTTCTGCCACGTATTCGGCGCATGTTGGCGCGAATTGGTTGCATGTGTCTGTTTTGCCCCATACGGCATTGCCATAGTCTCCGCAAAAGTTCTGTTGAAAATCATGACAATTAGCCATCTCTTCTTCAAACGTATTTCTCATATATATCAATAGATCTTGCACTTACAATGTTGAGAACCAGTCTCATATTCTTGAAATACGTGTCCACATCACAGCTAGATCCTCCAAAAATGGCCACTGGCTGTCCCCAGCGTTCGGGATCCGGCTCCTTGTTCTCGATATCGCGAGGAATCGACCCTCGAGCAAAGTGCCAGATACGAATATGTTCTTCGTTCCACTCCATGGCGTATACGCCTCCGTGAGCAGCGTTGAATCCGTCACCATAGGATGAGACGTCGTCAGGCGAAGGGTTGAAACCACAGCCAATGTTATCGGTCCCCACGGCGCATTGCGTGTTTAGTTGCTGGCCGCTATAGAGGCCGTTTATGGATGAGTCCTGGGTGCAGCCATCGGCAGTGTGCGCGGATATGATGTTGTTGTGCGCCATATTGACGCCTTCTATAATGTCGATTTCGCCGTCGTAGGGCCAGTTATCGCCATATGACCAAACTAGGTCCATTCTTGTTAGTGAGGCCACTCTCGCCAAGTTATTGTGTTTTGAGTGAAGTCTGGACTTACACGCTGGCCACAGACCGCAGTGTGACGGAGGCATATGCAAAAAGTCTGCAATAAAGAGGCCATGCTCATACGTTTCTTTGCTTTCGATTCGAATGCTCGGCCGACCTCGGTCCAGAGTTGAATATCTATGCGTGCTGTCGACTCCTATCCTAACAACCCCTGAATTGTTATCGATGCTGTAGAGGCCCATTTGCTCGGCATTTTGTCTGTTTTGATAGCTACATGGAGAATACACATTAGCATCTACTCATTTAAGAAAACAAAAGGACGCAGGCAAAGGGTTACTTACGAAACAAATCCATGAGATGGATCCACCCCGTCAAACCAGTTGAAGCCAGAGAGCAGCGCCTCTCCAGCATACGACGTATCCAGAAAATACGCCATCCTCAATTAACCCTCAACCAATATATTGCGTTAAAGGAGGATGAGTAAAAAGGGGGGACAAGGGATGGCTTATTGAAAGGGAAGAGAAGAGAAAGGAGATTTTCAGAGGTACCAGCAGAATATATAAATGGATAATCTCTCTCAGAGAGTACACATTTTTTTTTTTTTTTTTTTTTTTTGGCGTTGGAATGCCCTCTCCAGTCTCAGAATCTCGCCGCTCACAACCACCACGCGAATAAGTGAGACAAACACTTAAGCCAAAACCCTTTTCCATCCGGAAAAAGAATCCATTTACGACTAGCGGCTACTAATCAATTATCATTGGCATTGTTTCCTCCGCAGTAGCCCATTAAGCCCATCCATTCATTGTTCTACCAATTCCTGAGTGATTGTTGGTTGCCTAGCCGTCCAAGACACCCAAAGAATGTTCGTGAGGCTATGCACATGGACACGCCGCAACCACCATTCCAGAATCTGAGACTTTTTGAATTTTTTTTTTTTGTTCATCACGATATGAATAGCAAAAGAGGCATTTCTTATTGCTGATCATACATTGTTGTCGGGCCAAGGCCTAAAGATTTCTTCTATACATACCTTTGGGTGGCTTAACTAGGTGAGACATGCAACACATTCATCTTTAATAGTTATCTTGTCCAACGACTGTAAATGTTTCGCCTAAAATGTCCCGTAAAATGCTCCAAGTATTATATAGCCGTCTAAATAACCATCTACATTCTTTTCCCGCTTGCTTGCATAGGTAAATGCCTGTGTACAACTTTATTCATAATCGTACATCCAAAATTAGTATGAAATCCACCTCTTCCGTTATGTGATGTAATATATATAGGCGGGTGACATGCTCTGCTCGCCGTCGTCTATTACGTAGAGACCCGTCCATTTATACAATGATTCTCCTCAAGCCTTCCGTTCCGCCGAGAACTCGCTTCCCAGTGACGGCGCATCGGCCCTGGCCGCTCTCCCACTTGCCTTCGCGGTCTTCCATAAACTCCTCTTGCTTGGGATGCATGCCTTCGATCCATCGATGGATGCATGTGTAGCAATAGACAACACCGGTCTGACAAACTGTCGGCGTGACAATCTCATCGACGCAGATGGGGCATAGAGACGAGTCTTCTGGGAAGCCAACGACGAAGATGGGAAGCATGGACGGCGTGGCAATTGGCGCCTCTTTTTCCGTAATGGCCATCTCCTTTGACTCCTCCTCTTTCTCTTCAGCTTTATCCGAGTCTACAGCCTTTTTCTTGCCAAAGGATGACTTTCCAGAAACTATGGGAGGAGGCAGCTCGATGCTCTCTGCTGCCTTTCGTGTCAACTGCTTCGCGAAATCTGACTGGTACCACCACTCTAGGAACTTCAACGCGAAGATACTCATAGGTAGCAGCATGGATAGGCTTGACATGACTCTAGAGCCCAACTCCTTGGGTGTGGATAGCAGTGATCGAAGGCCAGGCTTGGCGGCATTGGCCGCGGGCTCGGACAGCTTCTCGATGGCTTGGTAGTCTGCCATGGTCATCCGCCGCAGCCTCGTCCCAATCAGCCACATCAGCGGGTTGTGGTATTTCGTTCGGTCGAAGAGATAGGCCAGGTTAAAGGCCAGCATGGCAAAGCCGTAGGCTGCGTTTACGTGTGGATAAATGTTGCGCAGAAACCATCTGTAGTAGTGCATGAACCGGTCGCGCAAAGTCGGGTTGTCTGGCATTCGCGTGTATGCCGCGCCGAGTAGCGCTCTGGGCGCGTTGATGTCGTACGACTCGTCCAGCTTCCTCTTCAGATACGGCACGCCGACCAGGACCGCCAGATTCTGCCACACGTCCTTGGTTGTCAACTTGAGCGTCTCGCGAACCAAATGCGGCGCTGCAAGGCTCGCTCTCGGGATCTCGCCATGCAGGGCCTTTTCGCGCTTTAGGCCGTAGAAATTCTCTGTAAAGGAGCCTCCACGGGTGCGCAGGTAGTGGCGCTCGACGGCGAGCATCACCAGCGCGTACAGCTCGTCAAAGGAGTTGAGGATCCGGAGCAGGTATCGCGGATGCCGGTGGGTGGCGACGACGAGGAGGTACCGCAGCGTCGGAGGCAGCAGGCCGTTGAGCTGCTGTTCAGAGAGCACCTCGAACAGCGAGGGCTTCTGGCCGTCAAAGGTGCCCCTGAGGGCTGTGATGAACTCCATGGCGACGGCGGGCTAAGCTGCTGACAGTTGCTGCGCTGCCGCTGCCGGGAGCGAGATGTTGATCTAACAAGTCTCGGCAATGTCGACTAAGGCGTTTGATTCACTATCGGCTGCTTCGTAGAGGGCTCAAGTTCGTAACTGGGAGGGCGTGACGTTGCTGATGATGATTAATGGTGTTGATGGAGATGTTGAATTACATTTCCGCATCGAGAGCTGCGCGGTTGCTCTGTGCACCGGCCAATGACGCTAGTGGACGGCCATGTGAAGAGCCTCGGTAAAAGTGCCGCCGCCGGCTCCAGCTTCCCCGGAAACGCCGTTTAGTGCTTCGAGCGTATACTGAAAAGGATGCATTGTAGATGAATGAGCGCTTTATAAGAGAGAACTATCACGTGTTTACAGTTCATGAATAGATTGAATCCAGTTGGAGCTGACGATATGACAGGAGCACACGTGCACATCAATTTAATACCAAGTCGTATCATATGCATTTCGAGCCTCTCATATGGTACTTGTCTACAGCGAGTGCCAATCCACGGCGTAAACAAGTTGAAAATAAAAAGCATAACTCTAATTACGAAAAATACCTTGAAAATTACTAGTATCTGCTAGTGTCTACTTGTATAACTCAATCTTCAATAAGCCATGATCAATCTCAAAGTACAGATACAGCATCCCGGTTAAGAGACTCAGAAGGATTGAAAGTCCCCAGCGGGTTAGCGCGCTCGCCCGCTATTTGCCCATTCTAGCAGCCTGCGCTAATGCGACCCAAACCGAGGTCCAATTCGCTGGCACTTCGCGTTCACCCTCCGATCAATTCCCATCGCCAATACTTGCAGTCTCACTCATCGCTTACCGCTCGCCATCAGCGTCAGTCAAATCGCATCACTGTAGCCAGACGTGAGGCGTAGCTGCGCTCGTTTCTAATCAATTACTCTGTGATTGACGCGTTATCCTATATATCAAGAGCCGTATTCTTGAAGATATCCGCGGCGTTGACCACCAGATCTCATCAGATCTCATCTCACTTTCAACTTCTCGCCAAGACTGTCATTTCAATTATTCAGTCATCATATTCAAAATGAGCAAAATCAACAATGAAGACGACATCGAAAGAGTCCAAGACTGGTTGGACAAGTTTGGAAAAGACAAGGTACTAAATGCACACATATACGTCCCCACACTCTCACCACTCTTCATCATCCTCTTGAAACCCAGATCAATTCATCAAAGGCTAACAGAGATACGTTTCCACCAGGGATGGGTGCATAGCCTCATCCCCGCGATCAAAATCGTCTCAACAGATTCCACTCTCCCTCACCCCTCTGTAACCTTCTCCTTCACCGTCCAGGACGAACACACCAATGGTATGGGCAACCTTCACGGCGGCGCTGCTGCCACTCTTCTTGACTTCTTAACCTCCACGGCCCTCTCGCTTGTCAGTAAGCCCGGCTTCTGGCAGATGATGGGCGTCAGCCGCACCTTGAATACTACGTATATGCGCCCTATCCCGGCGGGCATGGAGGTGCTTATACACGGCGAGATCCTGCAGGTGGGAAAGAGGCTGTGTGCTTTGAGAGGCACTGTTAGGAGAAAAAGCGATGGGGAGCTGCTTTGCATTTGTGAGCACAACAAGGCCAACGTTGACCCGGACCCCAAGTTATAAAGAAGGACAAGATATCATATATTTGGATGGCGTTGACAGAGATGGCTCTTGGTATAAAGCTTGCTAGTATAACAGAAGGAAATTCGCCATCGTACATAATGTAGGCACTATAAAGCAATAAACACATCTTAAGCCCCCGACGGCGGTTCCTCAATGTGTTGGGTAAGCTCGATAATCTCGAATTCCGCATCTAGCAGCAGCTCTGGCAGCTCATTTGCCACTGGCTCCGACTCGGAGTCATCATCCTCGTCCTCTTCCTCGTTCTCCATAGTATACTCCATGTCACCCTCTGGATCATCAGAATCTTCCATCTGGATCAGCGCGCTCCACAGCAGGAAGTTCCTGGGAAGAACAGCGTGCGTACCATGCGCTACTTCCGAGTCGCTAGCCTTCCAGTAAGCCGACGGTCCGCAGGGGCCGTGAGGATCATAGTCCCTAGATCAAATAAGCGACGTGTCAGATAGACAAGATATACAAGGAGAGACATGTGGGATAAGATGTTAGCGCGCGCTTCTCTTACCTGTCGAACCAGTTTCCAATCACCCCACGAGCAGATCGCACCCCGCCGACCTGGACACCCTCACTCTTCCACCTCTCATGTCCATGGAAGATGGATACTGACGTCCACCGGACCTCGCCCTCTTTCGTTAAGCCAACGGTCCCTTTCGAAGGAAAGTCTTTAGCTTCAGCACCGTTTATCAAAGAAAGAGGTTCTAGTGAAATACATACCTCGAAGATCAGATGACGCATTGTCGTCCCATGAATCGTCGAGTGGGCGAGAGATACCCTCAAAGTGCACTATCGGCAAATCCGACGAGTATTCCGAGTCCGGTCCAGCTTGCTCAATCTTAGTGACGTGGATCCTCATGATGATCAACCGAGTCGCTTCACCAACGTCGAGCGTATGCAGGGGAGACTCGTCTCGTTCAGGGTTGGTAAAGTTGTAGCTGAAGAAGTCGTTGTAGTCAAGAAAGCAGACAAGCTGTGATGGGTTAGCCACTGGCTACGAGCGATCAAGCTTGGGCTGTATCGAAACGATACAAGTAAGTCACGTACCCGATACCAAGTGCCAGTTACGCCATATGGATCCATGGCGTCCAGTGACGTTATATCCGGACTAGGAGAAGTTATGAAGCTGCCTTTCCAAGATCCAGAGAAGGGGTTATCCCAGATATCGCTAAAAAGCCGAGTAAGCTTCTTGGCGTATACATTGTTCCCCAACACAATGAGGATCGCCTCGACCTTCTCCCAGTCCACGCGGTCGCTCCCATCGTTCATAAAGGGGCCCCAGCGAGTTTGGGCGGTGTACTGCCGAATGTCGTAGACTTTCGAGCAGGCATAAGGATAGGTCCTAGCCGATCGTAGTCTTCCGACCTTGAGGATTGACTTGCCGTATAAACAGTGTAGCTTTGCGCTTTGCTGTCGTTGCTCTTTGCTCAAATTGTCAGACGGTAATTGGTGCTGGGATCTGTACACCCTCTCAAAGAGGGAGGACTTTTGAAGAAAGGCCTCGCGGTTGACCTCGTTCTCAAAGAGGCTATTTAGGAAATCTACGTTTCTCGATGCATACTGAGTGTCAGAAGCCTCTACAGCATGTCCTGCGGAAGAGGCATGCTGGAGCATCCGGTTCACAACATCGTATACAAAGCTCAGCTCATCCTCCTAAAGGCAACCCAGATGACATGTTAGTATATCGCTTTACCGAGTTGCAGATGAGCACAACTCAAGGTTACAGGGTGAAAAAGGAGGAAAGTATGACAAGAAAAACTTGCCTTTTCTTCGGCGGTTTCACGCAGACAGATATTCTCTAATCTGACGATACCGTGTAGTTCATCCTGCCAATCGACTCCCTCCTCGGCTGGAGGCAAATCCTATTCCATAAAATCAGTTCTTGATTTCGACAATCCAAGTAGGGAGGTAGGATTTCCCGAAATGCTTACAAAATGATGCAGATAGACGTCGTGACACAGCTTCTGGTTGTCTTTCACATAGCTGTGAAGTGCCCGGCAGACGCGGGGTAGTGATCCGAGATCCTTCGGCGGTAGCCACTGCAAGATGTTGTGAAGAATTTCATTTGGCAAAGTCGTGAGCTGAGGCATCTTGTCGTGTCATTTGCTTGCAGAAATCTGCCGTCTCTTGAGAAGCCGAAGCCTGAGAATGGAGATTGCAGGTTCCAATCAGAGCGGCTCGCTAAGTGAATGATGCCATCTCACCTTCCTCAAGAGACATTGGTCCTTAACTCCGTTAGTACGCACTGTGCTGATAGCGCTGTGTGGAGGCAGCCAGCGTGGGGGAGCGGGCATAGCTGGCATGGGCCAGAGCAAACTCCGTGCAAATCGGACATCCTCGGGCACGGTACGGAGAGCGTGGGTGACATGTTTAGTTGTACATGCTCTGCTGCTCCGAAAGCGTCAAAAGGTGAATTCTGAACAGCTTTTGCACGATTCTACGGGCTTGCATGAACCATGGGCATCCTGTAGCCCTGTAATGAAGTGTCATTGTGCTCGGAATCACTATAGAGGTAACGAATATCGCTCTCAGCAGTAGAACAAGACATGCTGATGCTGCTGGTGCTGGTGGTTGGTGGACTTTGCTCGATACCCATACACAACTATTGTTCACCATACAGTAACCATCTTACTATTTCACGACGCATTTATTCTTGTCCTCTTTTGCTGGGCAAGCCAGGCTTTTCTCATCACTTGGCAAAACCTCATATGAACGGGTATGTACTTTATATTGGTTAGTACCTACTGGGTAGCTATATGGATCAAGTTTTAATCTGATACCTTTAGGGTAGCTGTCTGTTGACTATCCTTGCTCACAACCCCAAATTCAAGTCTGATTTTTCACAGAACAGCATTCCGTCGTTCCCCAAGCCTGGGAAATAACCCAGTGACCACGTTCAATAATCACAAATTATCCGATCAAAATAGGCCCCACCGGGCTTCCCAGCAGATCCAGCAAAGCATCAACAATGAAACCGGGAATGATTTCTAGGGCACTGGGATCAAGCAGCGAGGATATAACAGTTGATGTCGAGCAACCTTTCTGCGACTTTCCTTCATCCAGGACATCGATCAACCAAGCCAATGCCTTGACGGCTCCAGTGATGGCGAGCGACCCGTGCTCCGAGAGGACGTCTCTGACATATTTCACAGGTGTTCCGCCCCCGCAGTATTTCTTTACCAGTGCGTCTGTCTCGCTCACTGGACTCAGCTCGTCTCCAGTAGACTTGTAGACGTACAGCGGGATTTTGGGCGTGGCTTTGCCAAGAGCGTTGTCGTTTTGGATTTTGACAAGATCGGGGTCCGTAAAGGGCAGAGTGGGATCGTCCAGCATTCCTAGTACATCCTTGAAGAGGAAACTCGTGATATCGGCGACGAGGCACTGGTTCCGCACCTTGTTAAACAGAGACTGATACTGCGGTAGCACGTGCTTCTCAATGACACTGTTGACCTGTGGATATTGATTCGCCAGACCGACGATGCCAGACGGGATGATGCCAGCAAAGGCGCTCTTGTTGATCTCTGACAGGACGGTGGTGATGTTGGGCACGGTGCCTCCTAGCGCAGCACCAGCGATTTTCAGCTCCGGCGCATAGCTTGGCTGCAGCTCTGCGGCCCAACCAGAAGCAAGGCTGCCGCCAGAATAGCCCCATAGGGCAACGGTGGCGTCCTTGGAAATGCCAGTGAAGCTACCAGAGCTGAGGGCGGCCCGGACCCCGTCAAGGGTTGCTTGACCAGCCTGTCGGTTGGCTAAGAAGGCGGCGTTTGGACCTTCATGGTCAGGGACGATGACTACCCAGCCTCGATTCAGAGCCGCCTCGAGAAGAAGCAGCTCCGCTTGCGTGACCAGCGTGCCCAGAGATCCTATAGTAGCTGAAGCGAGTTGAAGCGCGTAAGAAGGGGCGCAGTCCTTGCAGGCCGAATCTTGGGCCACCTGGTAGGATAAGATCTTGGATAGGTCTGCGTTATGGGGGATCAAGACAGTGACGACGGTTGCGGTGGCGTTTCCAAAGTTGTCGTTGGTTCTGTACAGGATCTGGTGGCTGGCCTGGAGGTTCACGGGGGCCAGTCCGAAGGCTGCAATCTGCGCCGGTGGCGGACGGTGTTTCAATATGGCCCCTGGAGCTGAACTGTCCACGTCTGCAGGCACGGCATAGAAGGGGTCGTTGCTGGGAAGTGTGGCAGCTCCTCTCCCTTGCAGATCGAGCGGTACCGCGTGAGTGGCAGCTATCAAGGCTATCCACGCCAGTGTGCGAGCTGTAGCAAATCCAAACATGGCAGCTACTGGTCTCTAAACAACGACTCCAAAGTAGCACTGGACAAGGTCAGGCGCGCCCTCCTCACAGATTGAAACCTCTGTTGCTGGATACTATTCGCAATGCTACTACCACTACTACTATTTATAGCCAGGTCTCGTCCAGGTCCACATGTCAGGGAACGACAATCTGTATGGTCTATTCGAAGAGCATTCCTCGGCATGTCGGAATAGACTTGCAAGCCAAGTCTGTGATATGCGAAGCTTATTATATAAATACTACCCTTCTCTCTTGGCGAGAACTCCAAAGGGGTAATGAGATCAGCGCCCAGCGGGGGACAAAGAGAGGGGGGCTGCGGGGAACGAAAATAGCAGTGCATGTCAGCCTTTGAGGAGCGTGAAATTTTTTTTATTAGTGCTTCTTTTTTGATGTGAAGCTGTGATCCAATCCAGAGAATTGCTCTCTCTATGAGGGCGTCAAGGCTATATAGGTACTAGCTAGATGAGAGCCACTGGGTGATTATTGTTGTGCGCCTTTCTGTGTTGCTGACTTCTCCTTGGTAATGTCCTGTAAATAGCCGTGAATATTAATCGAGGTGCCGAAATTAAATGGTTCGATATGGTTGTCCGGCAAAATGGTATGTTGGTACACCCGTAGATGGATATAATAGCCGTTGGTCACCTACTACAGCCAGTGACTTATTCGACCAGTGGGAAGTATTTAGCGGGAAGAAGAGCATGGCAGCAATAGTTGAGCATTGCGGGATGTCACGAGTGCCTCGAGGGCGCTAGATGGCACCCTCTTTGCGTTTGTTGTGAATAGTCGGTGGTTAATTTGTCATGGATAATTAAGACCGGTGCCTGCTATTGTAGCTCAGGTATGTACGCGTAGTCGCATTGTCGGGCGTCTTGCTTGATGGATCGGGACCATTCGGCCCGACAGAGCGAGATCCGATCTCTCTCTGTGTCTTGCAGGCGAGCCTGGTCTTTGGTCCTGCTTGCTCTCAACTCTGTGCAGACGCTACTGATGAAGCCCCGATCGTGCAAATCTATTTCAAACTGGCTATTGCCCACGGTGCGTATAACCACTATTTGACAGCCACTCGCAGTGTATGCCAATGCTGACCGATACCAGCTAACGCCATTAGCAGCTTGAGTTGACTACCACATGCATGCAGTGCAGCCGTCTGCCATTCAGCTGGCAAGGGCTCAGCGAATCCCTGTCCGCGGCCACAAACGAGACCTGGCCTCCCCAACCGCCAACCCGATGTTTTGCTGGTGCCACTTGGTGCCGTTTTGTGGCCTAATACTGTGCCTGCTAGACTGCTAGATCAGTCCCAAGCCCATTCGGTGTGTGTGGCTTCAGGATTCTCGACCGCTAGCCCCCGCACTTGCGGCTTTGTGCCGGGTCGCCAGAGAGGCTAACGCCTGTCCACGCGGCATCCATTCTTCGTTTGACCTCCCTGATCCGTGGCAGCGAGGCGACGATCCATGCGAAACGGAGGTTTGGCGTCGGAATATGGAGACGTCGCGGTACCGACGGTGCTCAGGGCTTGGGGGTTGCACGTGTGTGGCCCGCACAAGCGCTACCAGCGACTAATGGCACTGGACGCTTTCGACGGAGCATCGCGAGATCGATGATCAGCGTGCCTCTGCGGCATGGACCGGATTACCCCCATGGCCTTTAACTTTCTGAGCGTTGGGGGTTTCTCGCGCCCGGATTCTACTCTTGTCTGCACTACTCGTGCGTCTTACTGCTACTGCTAGCATCGTGTTGGACCCTCGGATTGCAGCCACTCAATCTCCTTCCAAACTCCACAGCGGGCGGCTCAGGCCGCGCCAGCCGACAGTGACATACGAGGCTGAGAATTAGGCGTTATGAGCTGGCGGCTGCACAATTCGCTGCGCATGATTGACGCCAGACTCCGACAGTCGGACAGGTTTTCTCGTCTCTCGCTGCATCATCCTCCCCCCCTTCAATACAAAGGACCTGCAGTCGAGCTATTGCGGATTGCCTCACCCGTCTTCAGCAAGCCTTACAAAGGAGCAGAGAGACCTATGGGACGACGGCATTGCCTTGAAGCGGGCGTTTCTGGGGCTGGCATAACAGCTGGCACATACGCGCGGATGCTGTGCAACATGTCGGGCATGGCCAGGGTCGTGAATGGTGCGTCCATGCTGGGGTGATCCCTCCTCAAGGCACATGAACATGGATTGCCGGACATGGGACCGGAACCGACAGTCCCGTGCATATATGGCTCTGCGCAAAAACTCGTTTCTGTGTTGCTTGCCTTGAGATGCCAGCATACGGACGGGTTTCGCTTCGTACTTGGCTTAGCAGCTGGCGTGATTTGTCTGAACCAGCACGGACAAGGCCGTCGGCCGTTGGGAATGCGCATCGGCTCAAACCCTTTTGTGAATGCTCGCCTTTTGGACGCCTGCGTCTGACTGCGCATTATCCGTACTGCAAGCAAGCTGCAGGCGTTTTGCCGAGTGCGACGAAAAGGAAAGGTGTTTATGTATTGAAGCCCAGCCATTTTTTTTATTCAGCTTACTTGCTTGAGAGGTAGGTACCTGAGTATGGCACGAGCATGCTTGTGCTGTGTCTGTGTCTCTACGAGTATTCAGGTATGCTCGTGTAAAGTTGATATATACAAGCAGCTACTGTTTCTCAGCACAACTAATACCATTGAGCGAGTGATGATCCGCAGCTCATAGAAAACATTGCTAATCTTTTGTCCTTTATTTTGTTTTTATCCTCTTTTCCTTTCCCGCAGGTCAGCCTCTCTTCCATGTATTGCCCCCCATACCTTACTTGTGCTGTTCCGTACCCCATAACGGTATCCCTCATTCCCCCCATGCAATAGACCTGCTCGCCCAATCAACCGCCGCGGCATCGCTTGCAGTCCCCGCTTGTCTCGCGCTCACTGGCCCGCGATGCCTCAAATAGCGCTTCGCAGGCGCATCTAGCAATTGATTACAGCACTAGCCGGTGCGCTAGACCCAGCCGTTAATGACTGACCCCATGGTTCTGTGGCCTGGTCCAGCCTTTTTCCATGGGGGGATCCTCCCTGCTCTTTTCGGGTCTGGTCCAGCTGCATCCTTTTTTGCAACGCCCAATCTCCATCGGATCGTCCACTGAGTCCGCGCCATCCTGTCCAATCCATCCATTCCATCCGTCGCCTCTCTGCTCGCTTTGCCATCGCCTCACGAAGACGAGGGACGCACACGAGACGCCGAGGGAGAAGCAGCAATTCCTCCTCTTCACCAGCAGCTGCAGCCACTGGCCATCGCAGCCACGGGCCTGCAAGACGAATCTGCTGCTGCTGCAACTGCTGCCTCTCTCGCGGCCTCTGCTGCCGTCTTGCTCTTTTTAGCTCCAGTCTGCAATACGCTGCGGCGTCTGTGCTTTGGGCGGCTCCAACTTTTTTTTTTCTCCGGCGTCGAGGGCATCGTGGACTGATCTTGCTCTCCCTCAGCTTCTGCCCCCAGTCCCACAGCCGCACTTGACTACGGGCCCCTCCCCAGACTGCGGTATCCATCTTCAGCCTCGAGACTGCTTTGCTGGAGCTTCTTCCTCTTCTTCTTCTTCTTTTCTGTCACACACGACGCTGTTCTGCACTGTTTCATCGCCGGTTGCTCTGCCATCTGTCTGCTGGGATCGTTGGTTGCTAGCTGTGAGCCCTGATTTGCGTCACACAACGGTGCGCTATCGGCCGTGCCGTTCAACGTTTGCTCTCTGGCTCGCCGTGTCTCTTTGTTCCTTCGCATGATCGGCTCCGGATCCAATCCGCTGGCCGGGTCGTTCCGTCGGGCTGATTCTGGCCGTCATGTTGCATTGAGCGCATCCCAATAACCAGTTGTTCGACGGGCTGATAGAGAAGGATATCCGTCGTGTCTTGCCTAATACTACCAGCCCCAACCCCAGCACCTGTCCTGTTCCTGTCCTGAGAGTCCCGCTTCCGCTGCCGAGTCCCATAGACGGGGGTCCCGCAAGGCTAAAATCGAGAGGCCAGAGAAAAAGGGAAAAAGAGGATCTTTGAGCGGAGGTTGGTCCGAGACGAGGCCGTTGCGCAATCCTTTCTTGTTTTCACCCTCGTTTCTCGTCCAACGATCTCGACGGTCCGGCCACTCCCTCGACTGCCTCGATTTGGCGGACCCTCGATTTGCCGTCCTTGACTTGTCTGCCAACGAGAGAAACCGTCTTAAATCGAGCTATGACTATTAGTGTAGATCGGTCCCTGACGGCAAAGCCAACTTTACCCATCTCCCCGGCCAGCTCCACCGCAATGTCGAGCTCCGCCCGTGATGGAGGCGGCGCGTCGCCAGATGGCTCTGGACAGGCCGAGCTTCGTCAAGCTGTCAAGACGGAAAATGGCATCTCCAGTCGTGACGAGAGCCAGAAGAAGGCGGGTGACGACCAGAATGAGGGCTCATCAAACTCCGAGGAGCCAACGCGAAAGCGAAGACGCAGTCGAAAAGGTCTCGAGAAGAGATTCGAATGCAGCGCCGAGGGCTGTGGGAAGAGCTATTCAAGAGCAGAGCATTTGTAAGTTGGCCCCATAATATGCCACCTGGTGGACTTTCTTCTTTGCATCTTGTGCGAAAGTCGACATGCTGCTGCCTCGTACCGGCACGTATATGAGGCAGCTCCCTGTTGCGGGATATTCTCAAAGCTGCGACATCCAACATACCGGACAGGCGAGACTAACAATAAGCCAGATACCGGCATCAGCTTAATCATAATTCTAAACAGATTTTTCACTGCGAGTATCCAGACTGTCCGCGGACTTTTGTTCGAGGCGACTTGCTGAAGCGTCACATGGATCGACATACGGCCAAGGGCTCACAGCTAAACAGAAGAGACTCCATGGCCAGCCATGCGGCATCTGCCACTTCTCCCAAACTTGTGCCTGCTGATTCAAATCGCCAAGGGCCTGGTCATCCTATGCCCGCGTCTGTGCCTGTGTCTGCATATAACGATCCCAGACCACCCCCACTAACACATCACTATCATCCCTCTCCTCAAGAACCTCCAGGGGACCCCTATCCGCTTATAAACAATGTCGGCCCTCCTCTCTTTGCTGGTAGCGCATCGTCTGTTGGACATGATGCTTTTGCGCGTGATCCCATCGTACATGGCGCGGCACCTCCTCGCAGGATACCTTCTGGCCCGGGTCCTTCTCACGGGCCGCCGAGCCGGCCATCAATCCAAACCAATCTCGGGCCCTATGGTGTGATATCGCCAGCGTCTAGCCAGCAAGGTTACCACAGCCAGTCCAGTAGCACCCCGCAAACCGCTGGTTTTATTCCTCAGCACAATGTTCTCCCATTGAGCTTGCCGCCAGCACAATATTCTCACTTACAGACCGCCCCAGCGCCGAGAGATGGAGCAGTGCCTCATACAGCGACGACGGCGTCAGCACAGTACTCTGACGCTCACCACTCTCACCCCAACGAAATGATGATACTCGACCACATGGAAATGTCAAGCAGTGGCCCAGTTTTTGCTGACGATGGCGTCAACAAGTCTCCATACGTGGGAATGCCCGAGGACTTTATGGCCTACCTCTTCAACTCTCTACCGCAGAATGGCTCCCCCCATCCACAAGCGCTGCCACCCCCTCTTCTAAGGTAAATATTCTCAAAAATGTATTAATGGCTGGGACTCAAAGAGGTTAACATGAATTTTTGTCTAGCTACGGCGATTCACCAGATGGCAATCATGGAGATCACTATTTGGATCATTCAACTGTGGGATTCTTTCCTTCTGACCCGCAAGATGTCATGGCCGTTAATAACCTCTTGGAGCAGCATGCCCCAGAGGCAAGTATTACCGAGGAGCGCAGCCAGGAGATCTACGATTTGATCAGTGAGCGATTCAAAGAGGACGACGAAGATTTATCCGCGAGGCAGCGACGTATCAGCATTTTGAGTGGCGATCGCTCTTCCGGAGAACACATGTTGAGCAGAAGGATGATGCAGGCTTACGTCGGTTCCTATTGGTACCACTTTAGCGATCAAATGCCAATCTTGCACAAGCCGACATTTGCTACGGAAAAGACGCCCAATTTGTTGCTCATTGCCATCATGGCAATTGGCGCTGCTTGCTTGGATAGGACTCATGGGACTAAAGTGACAATGGCTGGAGCTGAAGTATCTAATTTCCTAGCCGAGCATCTTCGATGGGAAGTGTTTATGGAACGTAGTTTTCGACCTCCGGCCAAACTCTGGGTTTTCCAGACGCTGATCCTACTCGAGCTTTACGAAAAGATGTATTCGACGAGAGAGCTTCATGAGCGTGCTCATATTCATCACGCTACCACGGTGACGTTGATGAGGAGAGGGCGGTCTCTTATTGGGAAATCGACATTGGATTCACCCCCACAACATGGCTCGGATGGATCGCGAAAATCTTCGGCTTCTGGCATAGCTCATACAGCAGACGAATGGTGGAACCATTGGATCACAAACGAGGCAACTCGGAGAGCTGCTTTTGCCGCCTTCATCATAGACTCTACTCATGCCACCATGTTTGGCCATTCAGCGGTCATGGTGGCGCATGAGATGAGATTAACACTGCCTTGCGATGAGTCCCTATGGAGGGCCGCGAGCAGCGCAGAAGTAGGCCGAGTCGAAGCTAACCTCATGTCCCGAGGCATCAAGCCCGTCACCTTTCTCGAAGGTTTGAAGCGCACTTTGAGCCATCAAGATGTGCGGACGACGCCATTTGGCCGGTCAGTTCTCATGGCAGGACTTCTCAGTGTCACATATCATATGCACCAACGCGATCTTCAGGTCAATGTCCTCGGAGGAGGTGTCATCCAAGCCCTGGGCGGACGAGACAAGTGGCGGGCAACTCTGACTAGAGCATACGATTCGTGGAAATCGAATTTTGACAGGGCACTGGAGCTAAATGACTCTGACCCTTACAGACTAGAAATGCAGCAGCAAGATTTCAACGTCGTGTTTGAAAGCCGTACAGTTCTGCATCATTTGGCTCACATGGCTATGCATGCGGATATTGTGGATTGTCAGATGTTCGCCCGCGCAAAGCGACTGCTTGGTCGTTCTATTGGACGCCAAGAATTTCTCAGCGCACAGAGGAGAATCAAGGAATACTGGGCCCCGTCTGCAAGGGCTCGCGATGCCACTTATTACGCGCTCAAGTTTCTCTTGTCGGTTCTCGTACCCGACCAAGCAGGCCCTCCGTATTCAACTAGCCCTGATCATGATAAGCCATACGAGACACGCGATGATGTGCTCTTGAATCGACCTTGGGTACTCTACTTTGCGGCGCTCGTCGTCTGGTGCTACGGATATGCTGTGGAGGGACCTTTCTTGACTGGATCGACGCCGGTGGGACATGAAGAACAATGGCAGCAAATGAGAGCGTACCTTACAAAATATGGCGGAGTCACTGATCCGAATGAGCTACGAAACATGAGGGGTATCAACGGCAACACGGCGTTACTCATGGTGCTAAAGGATACCTTTGACAATTCTCGATGGGAGCTATTGCATGAAGGAGCGAATCTTTTGCATAACTGCATTGTGCTGAACTCTGGCGGCATCGTATTGTAAGCTCTAGCATAAATGATTGTCACGTCTTGATGACTTTTCATGCTGGAATCTTTTTTTTTTTTTTGCTCTTCGCTGTGCATTTTTCTCCTTTGCAAGATTATTTGCTATTATTTTTCATCTGTGCGCCATGAGTCAAAGGGAATGGAAACGTCGATGGGGGAAGGAAAGCCTGCTGAGCGAGAGCGATTTTTACTTGCGGATAGCTGGCGGATGTGTCTCCAAACATGGGACGGCGCAATAACTTTTTTGCTTGGTTTCCAGAAAAAACAATACCCCCTTTTTTTCTTTTATTTTCTCTTGATGACAACATGAATGGCGGGATGTGCACGGCTACCTCTGGTTAAATTGGCTTTTTTTAACGGGCATGAAGCCTATGGCCGGCGGGAATTGGAATGGGCGAAAAAAGAATGATGAGTGATGTTGCCGTTTGGAAGTCGTATTATATATATATTCACATATATCGATGTTAACGCTGCTTTTATGACATGTGAAAATGGTTCAATATATTTTCTAAACATTATATGCTAAGCTGTAATACTGTGGCGTGAATAAAAAAAACTGTTAATGCTGCCCTGCAGACATCTTTCTTCTCTCCATCTTTGAGACATACTTCCCCTTGGACGCTGTATGCTACCCGAGCTGGCCTCTCCAAAAATGATGCCTTTTTCTTCATTATTTACAAGCTTTCTTCCGAGCCGCCGGCTTCTTCCTCGGGCAAGCCCTTTGGTCGGTGATCTCATTGTTCTGGGCGGCCTTTTTAGTGATCATGACCGCTTCTTGCGCATTCTTTGTGACGGCTTGTTTGGGTGGTCTGCCCCGACGCTTTGGTGCGGGCTGCTTTTTGTCGGCTGCTTTGATGAATATGATTTTGCGCTTTTTGGTGGGTTGTGTGGTTTCCTCGGGTTTGTCCTCTTGTTGATGATTTTCTTTGTCATCTGAGGGGTTCTTTCTCTTGAGAGGGTTGTTTTGTGGTAAAGGGCTGGTTTGTTCTGAAGGCTTGTCTTGGACCAACGGTGTCTCTGGAATCAAAGAATCGCTTTTTGGTACAGGTTTCTCTTGTTCCAATGGTTTGCCTTGTGTAGAGGCTGGAATTACATCAACAGGCGGCTGCTTTGTGACGTGACTTTTCCTGTCTTTCAAGTCCCAGTCATACACGCCGTCGTACTGATACCCCATGCGCTGCATCAGTCGTCGGTACATGTCCCGCAGCTTACCATAGTTTGGCGTGTCCTCGTACTTGAGGGACCGGGCGTATTTGAGATGTCGCGCAAACTCGGAGGGCATGTCTTTGCAGATGATGTCGATGGGCAGGGAGAGCTTCATCTTGAGGGTACGCTCGGACAAGTGGGAATCAAAGAGGGAGACGCGATCGAAGGTCCAGGGGAGGTAGCCGCGGAAGAGGTAGATGAGCACGTAGGCGAGGGATTCGAGGTCGTCTTTGGGAGATTGGGGCTTCATACACATGGCGCGTTAGACTTGACTCTTGAATAGGGGAAAGAGGGGAGACGGGATGAAAGATACTTACACGATGCATATGCCATGCTATGCATGCAGTCTCCATCGTCCCAGCAATATAGTACCCAGGCGCAGTCAAGTAATCGCTCTGTGGCCGAAAATAGCCAGACAAGCCAAAATCGAGAATATACGCCGTCTTCCCATCCTCCTTACCAAAGCCCATGACGATATTCTCCATCTTCAAATCCCTATGCACGACATTCTTCGAGTGCAGCATCTCCACGCGGGAAATCAGCTGGTCTGCTAGCATGAGCGTCGTCTTGAGCGAGAAGCGGTGCCCGCAGCGCCCGAGCAAACACCACAGCGAAGCACCGAGGAGGTCGCAGACCATGAAGTCGATGCCCCAGAGGTCGTTTGTGCCAATGTCGTGGAGGGTGGCGATGCCGGTCTGCTCGCCGAGGTATTTGTAAAAGGCGGATTCGTGCTGGAGGCTGCCTTCGTTGCTGCCACCGCTACTGCTGCTGCTGCTGCTGTTGGGGGTTATTTTGAGGGGGGAGATTTTGACGGCGACAATTTTGTTTGTTGTGAGATCGGTGGCTGAGGATGAAGATTCAAGGTATTAATAGTTGTAACGGTGGGAGGGAATGTAGTGTTGCTGGGAAGTTACATACCTATATAGACTTGGCCAAAGCCTCCGGCGCCGATTTCACCTTCAAGGACCCATCTTGATTGGACTACTGCACCCTACGGAGACGGAGAATAGTTAGTTTTAATGCTGTTAGAGATGGGAGAGACTTGGAGAGTATGTATATACGGTGTAATCTCGATCGTAGTCAGACATCTTGGAAAATTAATCGTGGCAGCTGAGGATGAGGAGGATTAATTACGGGATTATGGGGATAGATGGTGAAAGTTGAAGCCAAATTTGATTATATATATACATATGCATCACTCTATAGAATGTTTTAAAAATATGTTCTTTTACTTGTTTTATAAAGAGAGAGATGTCTGCTGTTCAGATTGTGATCCATCTTTGTTGACGAGAACATCTTTGAGAGACGGACAACTACAAGGGTTCGGAGTGAGATGAAACAATGCACAATATACCTATTAATATAACAAGTTGTTTATAAAGTCAGTAAGTAACAACTACAGAAAAGGCGAAAAAAGAATACAGCATCTAAGTGAATGATAAGCGCCATCCCGCCCTTTACACACATGTTCAAAAACTCAATTGCAGTGGCTGTAAAAGCAGAGCTATAGCAGATTTCTATGCGCATGTTGCGAATACATAGAGCAGAAGCTGAAATGTTTCATCTTTGATGATGCAAGAGGAGCATATCGTATAGGAGGCGACTTTTTATTTTTAAATATAATTTTTAGGAATGAGAGCAAGGTATGACCGGACAGTGGTAGATTGCTTATACTACCAGATGGAATACATCTGCGTTCGGCAATTTGCGCGACGTCGTATCACAATTCTCGCAGACAAGTCAAATATGTTTTCTCTAGGTGTCCGATACTTGATGGTCCATTGACGAACTACATGCAACTGGCGCAATTTCCATGTAGCTGGCGCGTCTTTTTTTTCCCCACGGCATTTTCCACCCTTCCCCAGGTCTTCAACCAGTAATAGTTTGCTATTTTTACGAACAACCCTGTTCCTTTCACAGCATTTTTAACCCTCCCCGAAGCCTGTCGAGTTATATTATTTCGGCGGTGCATGCGCCGGCTCTCTCACCGCCAATAGCAGCACAAATTCTGCTCTTAATTCTGCTCTTTCACTCTTACACGCCTTGCTAGTCTAGAGGCGCCCATCGTTGCACAGCATCTTTTTAATACTCTCCGAAGCTCTTCCATCACGATTCTTTTGTGGGGTGGAATTTGATACTCTACTCGTGGTAGAATCATTTGCCAGTCCGATTCGCAACACTTTGGACTATTTCATAATTTCACCTGGAAGCTGCCTGCTGCCTATGTTAGTTTGCTTCTATTAACTTCAATTGCTGGGAAAGCCAGAGGATCAGTTTACTCAAGGCTCCAAAGGTGTCAAAATTTCAGTGGAATTTATAAAATTAGGTATAGATAGTACCGCCATGTGCTTCGCTATAGACCATCTCTTTTTGCACTTTTCTTCCACAACGAAGCATCAAGTAAAATGGTAGGTGTTACCGACAGCATAGGTATTCTGAAAGAGGGGTGAGTGGGTGGGCTTCGTCCGGATTGCACCAACCAGATCTCTGCTCGACGTAAATTCACAGCATTTTTTGTCCTCCCCAAGGCCTTCAATCGTTTTCACTTACGTCCCCCTCCCCGCGCGGTGTTGTCCTCCCATCAATGTTTAGGGCTAGTATTCGTCGTCCTATGTATTTCTAGCACTTTGAAACTCGATGATTTTGCCTACAGCTGCGCTGAACTGGCTTTCTTCTCCATTGGGCTCTAATTGCTAACTTTATGTGGCCAATGGCTCAGTTTACTCAAGGCTGCAAAGGCATAAGAGAATGAGTAGTCGTCATAAAAGTATGAGCAGCCTTGACACCTGCTTTTTTGCCCATACTTTTCTTCTACGAAGCATCAAGTAAAGCTGTATTATTTCATAGAGCTTTGGAGCCGCTTTAGCAGCGACTGGCGCTAGTCCTGATTAGGCGAGAAAGGCAAGGGACCAGCTTCTCGACCGTTTCTGGGCGCAGTGACATCACTGATATCTTATCGCATTGTTCTGCACGCAATTTTGTTTCAAAACAGTTCATTGGCATTAATGAAAGGCTTTAGCAGGCATAAGGCACTCGGTTCACTTTAGCAGAAAGATGGCATTTCATGATTGATTCAGTTTTTTTTGACTTGTAAGCTCTGCTAGTAGCTGGTGAAAATATTGGCCCAGAGCTGCATCTGAGTTTGTGCGTTTGATTTGCCCGGCAGGGATTGACTTTTACTTTTTTTGCGAGACCGTTACACACAATTGATTATACGGCGCTAGCAGCTGGCTCAGGAACAGAAAAAAAAGTCAGACTAGCAAAAATCGAGAATGGACCGATGGCAAAGACGAGAATCAGCAGTGTAAAAAAAAAATCAAAAATTAAAAGCGGTCCCCAAGCTCATCGCCATGGGCGACGTTTAAGCAGCGGAGGAGAGAATGGAGGAGAGAAAAGAGGAGAGAAAAGAGGTACGTGCTCGGTTTAGCCCAAGCCATCGCTGATGGTCCCCTGGCCGGAAAAAGAGCAAAAAAGGCACACGCAACGCCAATTCGGTGCACGCGACGCTTTAATTGACCCCACCAGGTGGGGTAACACCATGGCCGCTGGATGGCGCAAGTATCTCCGCACGCAAATTGGCTGTGCGCGATACCTGGGCGGCGTCAAGGCCGGTAGCGCGTCATTCTGCCGGGAAAAAAAGCGTCGAGCGGTACATGGCGACCTACTCAAGCGGTGCTAGCAGTCAGGTGCTGCTGCTGCTGCCGCTGCTGTGCCGGCAGGGTCCTCTCCAGGTCGCTCGCTCGCTTCTCCTCCTCCGAACCTCGCCATCCCGCACAAAAGCTTCTTGCCCATGAGATGTGACGCTCGATTCTCTCGTGGCCTGCGTTCTGTTTCACTCGATATCCCACACTGCCCCTGCCACAGCCTCTTCTGCTAGCAGCAGCTTTCAGCAGCTTTCAGCCGGAAACCCTCCCTGCGTCCGCCGCTTCTCGGTCCCTCCTCCAGTCGCCTACCATGGCCCCGACCAAGAACTCTCGAAAAGACCACGACGATCACAAAGCCGATACTCCCGCCGGAGGGAAGAACGGCCATGGCTCTACAAAGATGCGCCGCGGTGCCAGCCATCAGTCTCACGCTGCTCTGAACCGCGAGCTGCATGCCGCTCCCACGTCGGCGCCCGTGCAGGTGCCGACCGAGCCTCTTCTACCCAGCGTACGTCAAATTGCCTCGTCTCTTGTGGTTGCTTGATCTCTCCAAGGCCACTGCTGCTGTTACTCCCTATTTAAAGACGACAAATACTGACACAGCTCCCACAACAGCTTCCCTGGGCCTCCTTCGAGCGACGATCCCTCCACGCCTACCTCCGCGAGCACGAGCTCACCACGCCGTCCTCCTACACCAGCTCCTTTCACAATTGGGTGCTGTCACGACCCGGCGGCTTGGGCTTATACTCCCCCACCATGGTCCGCAAGCAGCAGATCAAGCGACAATCCAAAGACCAGCTCGCCCTAGCCGTGCGCAAGCACTTCAATGGGCTGGGCGTCCAAGAAAACGATGTCATTGTCGACTTCATCTACAAAGTCCGCAACCACCAGGGCGTCAAGGAACAGTCACCGACCAAATACAGCATCGAGGTGGCAGATTAAACCGATCCTTTATACATATGAAGCGCTCTGGAGAGAAAGAGCGAGGCTCCAAGATTTTGCTTAGCATGGATCGGTGTTTTTTTTGGCGTTTTCTAGGTTCCTGACCACGGCACACCAGCTGTGTGCGTATATGCGGTAGATACCCGTGGGAGTCGTTTGGCACTCTGAACTTGTTCTCCTTTTTTTTTTTTCAACTGCTTGTCATGTTTCTCCAATGCGAGTCATGTCGGCTCCCGTCGCGCCGTTTGGTGGTGCAATAGTAGGGACCGAAGAGCTTGTTGGGTTCGGATCTTTTTTTTTTTTTGTGTGCTAGAACAAAGCAGTGTACCATCGAGTACCGGTCTGGCAGATGTCTATTTGACAGCATCCTCCAAAGAGGGGAGAACGAATTAATGGGTTTGGTTTATTAATAGGTTCTTTGATGCGAATTTGAAAATACAGCATTAAATTATATTGAAATCATTACAAATCCTTTGTACGCAGTGACTTTTCCCTTTCACGATATTGAACGAGATTTCATCTACTCTCTTGAGAAACAAAGAAGGTGGCGTGAGACATGGCATGCAAGACAAAGGAGGGACACGGACGGCCACACAAGGATGACCGACTGAAGAAATCCTTCATAGGGCACGGGCCGGGCTGTGGTGGTTCGACGGTCCACTTTGCTGTGCGTCCCATGTCCAGTTCTTACATACATTTGATGACATGCCCGCAACAATGTAGGTACGCGGATGTCATCAGGAACAAGGTGCATGCGGCTGCTTTGAATTCGGAGCGGTTTAATTTGTTCTCGAGAAGAGCTTTTGCGCCTTTGCGCCTGTTAGTGCAATGAACAAGGTGCAGTACATATCCAGCATTGCTTTTGTATTCATGCAAGGCATGCTATTCTACTGCCATTCTGACAAACACCACAGCCTGGCCCACCGCTGTCGGTCTGTCTGCCTGTCATCCAAACCCCCGTTGCGCTCGGCGGGTCCAAGCGGCTGGCTTATCAATTCGGTCGGCGCGTAAAATAAGAAAGCGGCAGGTGTCGCTTATTAGCAAGCGAGGCATCTTATCCTTTTTTACAGATGCTGAGCTGATGGTGAAAAAGCTGTCTCTTCCAGATTCATTGCATGCGACAAAGACTGCAATGCACAAGCTACCTCAAGCTCAAGACAACACGTACTCTATTGGTGAAGTCGTACGGATCTCAATTGCCGATCCCAAAATGACGACCCCTCCAGCATCCGAAGATCGCGGCAGCAACTCTGCTCTATAGCCCACAGCGCAATGCTCCTGGACAAGAGCCAGCTTGGTGACGGCTGCGCCCATTTAGACATGATCAACAGGCTTTGACGAACCGCAGCAGAGGCGGCACCCGGAGAGCGGGATCGGCCGGCTTATGACGGCATACCAAGAGAGCTGCACTCGCTATCGAAGAAGAAAAACACATGACCTCGGCTTAAAATCGGTAGAAACGCGGCAAGTTGAGCTTCTTGGGAGAGCTGGGCGAGACAGAAGTGAGACCCCACCTTTTTTTTTTCTTCGATGCATATTCGTGCAACTTCTTTGGTTCGCCAGATAACGATAGAATCGCTCGGTGGGGAGCTTTTTTTTTGCTTAATAACTTTTTAGAGGGGACAAATTTCGAGCCGCGCCAGTTTAAGCCGATTCGCTTCTAGCCTTTCTCTCCAGTTCTCTGTTTGTCTTATTTCTCATCGATTTGATTTGTCCGGTTCATTCTGCTCGGCTTGGGCGCACAAGGATTGATTGCAAACGAAGGAAGAAGAAGCGTAGACGGGATAAAGAGAAGAGGAACAGGAAGAAGAAAAAGATATAAAAACACACCGAATTGGGTCTGCCGCCGAGCCATGTCAACCCTCCTCTCCAAGGCCGCAGCTCCGGCGCGGGCACTTGCAAAGAGCCACAACCTCTCGGGACGCCCGAAAATCCAACAATGCCTGCGCAAAGGCGCCCAGCTTCACACGGCGTCGTTTCGCTCCGGATCCGAGAGACCCAATGCCCGGAAAGAGCACAAGTCGAGCCGAGTATCGCAAAGGGTGAGTCTTTGAGTCTCCGAGCGCCAGAACTATGACTGCATGCCCCACAGATTCTGACTGAACCTGTTCGTGATAGACCTTCCATGCCACCAATACCTTGTCGCAAAAGGATCCCTACAAGGCCCTTGGTGTCAACAAGTCTGCGACGGCTGCCGAGATCAAGAAGGCATACTATGGCCTAGCAAAGAAGTTCCACCCCGATACCAACAAGGACCCCACGGCCAAAGACAAGTTCGGCGAGATCCAAACCGCCTATGAGATCCTCTCCGACCCGAAGAAGAGAGAGCAGTACGACCAGTTTGGCGATGCGAGCTTCGACCCCAACGCGGCTGGAGGCCATCCGTTTGCCGGAGCTGCGGGCGGCAATCCCTTTGCAGGATTCGGTGCCCAGGGCGGCTTTGGCGGAGGCTTTGGCGGGGGTTTCAACTTTGAGGACTTGTTTTCGGCTTTTGGCGGCGGCGGCCGTCGATCGAATCCTTTCCAGCAGGAGATTTTGGTGGGCGACAACATTGAGGCCCATGTGAGCATCAGCTTCATGGAGGCTGCCAAGGGCACGAGCCAATCCATCACCATCACACCGGTGGAATCCTGCAACACATGCTCGGGAAGTGGGTTAAAGACTGGCGCACAGCGAGCGCAGTGCCACAGTTGCGATGGAACAGGCACACGGGTGCACTATGCGCAGGGCGGCTTCCAGATGGCCTCGACATGCGGGTCCTGCGGAGGTACTGGCTCGACTATCCCCAAGAGCTCAGAGTGCCGGACGTGCTCCGGACAGGGCGTTGTGCGCAACAAGAAGACCATTACCGTCGACATTCCGGCTGGTATCGAAGACGGCATGCGACTCCGGATAGACGGCGGCGGCGATGCTCCCATCACCGGAAGATCCACATCCCCCAATTCCCGGGCCCAGAATGGAGATCTCTACGTCTTTGTCCGAGTGGCCGCCGATCCCAAGTTTGGCCGCGAGGGCTCCAACATCCTCTACACAGCAAACATTCCCCTCACCACGGCCATTCTCGGTGGGCAGGTGACGATTCCCACGCTGGACGGATCGGTTAATCTCAAGGTGGCCACCGGTACCAACACAGGCGACAAGGTCACGCTGCCTGGCATGGGAATGAAACGACTTGGCTCACGAAGGGCGGGATCCGGCGACCTCAAGGTTGAGTTCCGAGTCAAGATGCCCAAATCGCTCAGCGCTAGCCAACGAACCATTCTCGAGATGCTCGCCGATGAGATGGACGACAAGTCAGCTCGCCGCGTCATGAACGTTTCGTCAAGGTCAGAGGGAGACTCCAAAACCTGAGCTGCTTATACGTGTAGGATCTTTTTGACTAACAAACAGCCTTTCTCCGACGTGCAGCTCCAGCTCCGATCCCAATGACCCCAACTCCCACAAGGATGAAGGATTTCTCAAGTCCGTATGGCATACGCTGACTAACCACCCTGCTCACGAGAAGGATGGAACCTCATCAGGCACACCGGGATCGACCGGCGGATCGACAAGCGATGACAAGGGGAAGAAGGAGAATAAGCCTACTTCTGACTAAGCTCGATTTCTTTGCAAGGAACGGGCTCACGTTTAATCTTACCTTGTCTAGTTTGACCTTTTTAGGCTTGTGTAGCATTCGGATATACAGGCTCAAAATCTAAATCAACGGAAAAAAGAAACTCTAACGCGATCATGCATGAAACATTGGTAGCCTTGGAAAAAAAGGAGGATGGAGGATCACATTTTGCATAGACTTGGGGAAATCAAATACATGTGAGCGAGATAACTATGAAGGGGGAGAGAGAGCTTGCATTCCATGGTTGTTTTAACAACTACAAAAAAAAAGAAGGAAAAAAAAGGAAGGCATCGAACGGTGTAGGATATCATTGACGGATGGCGCTTTCATGCTCGGGGCGTGAGACGCTTTGGTGAGCATTGTGTATATTAATAGCTGCAGCTACCTACTACTACTTTATTTTAAGAGAGTAAAAAACGATGAGGGGAGAAAAAGGAGGCGAAGAGACCTTTGTTTTCGCAGAGACCAATCTCCCCTCGTTAATATAAGAGATGATACATGTATATTTCTTTATGTAATAGGGAAACGATATTTGCCTGCTCCGTGTGCTTCAAGTATGATGAATGGAACCCACTGTTGTAGCGATGTAATAAGTAGATTTCTCATCTCCACCATGTGTTCTGTGATCCATGGTCTTATGCTTTTGCTATAATGCCACCATCTCTTTGCATCGCAATAGTTGTTCAAAGGGGGTGTCATCTGTCATCTTTGACGTTTGTGTCTTTGGTATCATCGGCTACCATTGTCAGATGTCAAGTCCATCACGAAACTCAAGCAACTCACAGAAAAATAAAATAAAATAAAACCCCCCTGACTCAAAAACAGTCCGCCCAAACCATATACTCCTTCTTTCAAATGAAAAGGGAAAACAGAAAGCAAAAAAAAAGACCTCAAGTCAAAATGATTACTTCATATTTCCCGCTCCCCTCACCCAATCGGCTTAAGCTTCTTCTTCTTCTTCTTATCCGGATCGCCGCCCGACTTCCCCTTCTGAAACTGCCGCCAGCTATTGATCCTCACGTCCCTCGTCGCCTCCCAATCCTGGTCGTGCTGCCTCTTGCGCTTCCTCTCATCAATCTCCTCGTCCTGCCGGCGCTGCTCGCGACCCTCCTCCTGCAGCTGGGCCTTCATCTGGCGCCGCCTCCGCTGCTCGTTGTCGATGAGCACCTCGCGCGCCTTGTCGCGCCACTTTTTCGCAAACTCGTCCGTCTTGAGCTCGGGGCTGTCGACGGTCCACTTGTGCTCGCGGATGAGCAGCATGCGGGCGTCGGCGATGGCTTCATCGAGGCGCTCGCGGTGCTTCTCGTCCATGAGCTCGGTCTGGGCCTTTTTGAGGCGGTCAAAGGCGTCGGGCGCGCGTGGGTTCTTTGTCTTGTCGGGGTGGATGAGGAGGGACTTTTTGCGGTAGGTGACTTTGATGTCTGATTCGGGGACGCCGGGTTGCAGGTCTAGGACGGCGTATCTGGAGGTCAAGGCATTAATTAGACAGCGTTGTGTTGTCGGGATGGAAAGTGCTCACGCATCGAGGCGAAACGCCTTGAGGATTCGATCAATCTCGGCATCCTGGAATCAGCTTGTTAGCAGTAACGATGGATTTCGTGAAAGCGCACAGCGTACCTTGTCGAATTCCTTGGCTTCTAGCTCGAGAGCATCGAGCGCATCTTTGTCTTCTTTTGTGTCGACGTCCGCCATGATGCTTGTCGGATGATGCTTGGAAGAAATGGGTAATTCTCTATATATAGACGACAATCTTTCCTTGTAGATGGCAGTGATATCAGAAAATGAGGCGGGGAACAACGAGCGTCTGGCGAGTGGTTGAACAAACGTCGAAAGGAAGCCGCAGCAGCTCTCGCGTGCTTCTCAGTTGAGTTGGGCGATTGGCAAAGATGATTCGCAGTCACAAAGAAAGTGGATGCGCGCAATGCTGCATTAAGAGCCTTTGATGGCAGGGGTTCCATAATTTTTTGGCTGTTCCCGCACCCCACTGGGCTGATAAGATAAGCCCGAACTTTTAGATGGAGACGGAAAAAAAAAGAGTACGACTTCGCTGTCTGAAAGTAGTAGTTAGCACTGCCAAGTTTGGGGGACAGTGAGTGCGAAAACAATAAATCAGCGCAATTTCACAGCATATCGCGCGTCGTAATCATGCCCAGTCGTCGTGCAGCATCGCCTGCTGCGTCCGAGCCGGAGCTGGACATTCTCGACTCGTTATACCCCGGCGAAGGCGAGAACGGAGGACAGAGCTTCGGCGAAGATGGACTCGACTTTGATGGCTTTCTCAACACTGGCGCGGGAGGAGACGGCGAAGATGACGATGAGGCCTTTATTGCGCTGCAGCAGGCGGCTTCATATCGCAAGGCCTCCAATCTCAAGGGCAGGACGGTCAAGAAAGGCGGCGGTTTCCAGGCAATGGGTAAGCGAAAAGCAGTCGACTGTCTCATTTCGCAAACCATCACTAACAGACTCTCTACTGCATAGGCCTCAATGCGAATATCCTCAAAGCCATCGCCCGCAAGGGTTTCTCAGTGCCGACGCCGATCCAGAGGAAAACGATTCCCCTCGTTCTCGAAAGACGAGATGTCGTCGGCATGGCCAGAACCGGTTCAGGAAAGACAGCCGCCTTTGTCATCCCCATGATTGAGCGGCTGCGCGCCCACAGCTCCAAGTTTGGTGCCCGAGCGCTCATCCTTTCGCCCTCGCGAGAACTGGCCATCCAGACGCTCAAGGTTGTCAAGGAACTCGGCCGAGGAACCGATCTCAAGGCCGTGCTGTTGGTCGGAGGTGACAGCCTGGAGGAGCAGTTTGGCTTCATGTCTGCGAACCCGGACATTGTCATTGCTACGCCTGGTCGATTCCTGCATCTCAAGGTCGAGATGAACCTCGATCTCTCATCCATCAAATACGTCGTCTTTGACGAAGCCGATCGATTGTTCGAAATGGGTTTCGCCACTCAGTTGACCGAAATCTTACACGCGCTCCCTCCTTCAAGACAGACACTTCTCTTCTCCGCCACGCTCCCAGCCTCATTAGTCGAGTTTGCCCGCGCCGGTCTTCAAGATCCCAGCCTTGTGCGACTTGATGCAGATACCAAGATGTCCCCTGACTTGGAAATTGCATTCTTCTCCGTCAAGGGAGCTGAAAAGGAAGGCTCCCTGCTTCATATCCTTCACGATGTGATCAGAGTTCCTCTCGGACCCCCTGCAAGCGCACAGGAGTCTACAGAAAACAATTCCAAGAAGCGAAAGCGTGGACCCGATGGTGGCTCCGGAAAGCCAACAGAGCACTCTACAATTATTTTCACAGCTACAAAACATCACGTCGAGTACCTTTACAACCTGTTACAACAAGCTGGATTTGCAACATCTCACGTATACGGTTCTCTTGACCAAACCGCTCGAAGAATACAGGTAGAGGATTTCCGAAATGGTAAGACGAACCTATTAGTCGTCACAGATGTCGCTGCCAGAGGTATCGATATTCCCGTGTTGGCCAATGTCATCAACTTCGACTTTCCCCCGCAACCCAAAGTATTTATCCACAGAGTCGGTCGTACAGCTCGTGCCGGCCAGAGGGGTTGGGCTTACAGTTTGGTACGAGACATCGATGCCCCATATCTGCTAGATCTACAGCTTTTCCTCGGCAAGAGACTGGTTGTCGGCCAGGCAGAGAAGAGTCCATCATTCACCGAGGACGTCGTTGTTGGATCCCTGCAGCGAGACTCTGTAGGAACACACATGGAATGGTTCAACAAGTTCATGGATCAGAGCGAAGACGTCAGCGCCTTACGAGCCGTTGCCGCCAAAGCAGAGAAGCTCTACATGAAGACTCGAAACTCGGCTTCAAGTCAGAGCGCAAAGCGTTCAAGAGAAGAAGTAGCATCCAGGGGCTGGTCACAGCTACATCCCCTTTTCGGCGAGGACGTCGATGACGCAGAAGAGGCTCGGGCCGCCATGTTAGCTAAAATCAGCAACTTCAAGCCTCAGGAGACCATTTTCGAGATTGGGCAGGGAGATAAAGCGACAAGTGCGGCAGCAGAAGTGATGAAAGAGCTGCGCAAGAGAGTCAAGCCACGCAAGCGGCAAGAGAAGGAAGACGAAGCCGAAAATATGGAAGTCGACGACGATTTCGGCGGTGCCCCGGCCCAAGACAGCGATGACGACGAGGATACCAACGAAAATGATGAAGACGACTACGGCGACGACGATCTCCAAGTCACAGTCACAAACACCGGCAAGTCCAAAAAGGAAAAGGGCCGCACCGACTGGCGCGACAACGACGTCTTCATGTCCTACACGCCCCGCACCGTCAACGCCGCCGAGGAGCGCGGCTACGGCGTCCACTCGGGCGGCAACAACTCGTCCTTTGTCGAGCTCGCCCGCGACGCCGCCATGGACCTCACAAACGACGAGACCGCAAAGGCCTTTGGCGCACCGACCCGCGCGCGCATGCGCTGGGACGCAAAGTCCAAGAAATACGTCAACAGCGCAAACGACGAGGACGGCTCAAAGGGCGCGCGCCTCATCACCGGCGAGAGCGGCGTCAAGATTGCCGCCAGCTTCCAGAGCGGGCGCTTCGACAAGTGGAAAAAGGCCAACCGCGTGCACAAGCTGCCGCAGGTGGGCGAGCTGGTCAAATCTGGCGGCGGCAACGGCGTGGGCCGTCTCCCCTCGGGCGTGCGGTACAAGCACAACAAGGAGCAGGCGCCCAAGGAGGCCGACAAGTATAGGGACGACTTTGAGAAACGCAAGAAGAGGGTTAATGAGGCTCGTGAGAAGCGTGTGGGACGCTTCAAGGATGGCATGGGCAGCAAGAAGGAGGTCAAGGATGTGAATGACATCCGGAGGGCGAGACAGGAGAAGGAGAGGAAGAGGGCCAAGACGGGTAGGCATCAGGTCAAGGGTAAAGGGGGTAAAAGGAGGTAAAAGGATGAAAGAATGAGCGTCATCTAGAAATAATGTACAGGCATAATACACTACAATACAATTATATATACAAATCTTTCTTTGCTTCAACCTTAATCAGCTTCCAAGTTTCGAGAGGCTAGGCTGATTGAGTACACCAACGAAAAGCAGACAAACTTCACACATGGCAAGGAGAGCAGTAGCTAAAAGTAAAACAAAAGTGTATCTTTAGCATTAAAAAGCATAATCTATCGAAATTCAAGAAAACGGCTTGTCTTGCCGCTTTCCGCTTACTCCTCTCTTCGAGTAAGAGTCCGCTCTGTATAGCAAAACGTGTAAACCTCAGCACTAGCATTCCATGGCTAGGCACGTAGTAGTATCCTTTGATATCATCCAAACGCCTCGCTCATAAAAATAATTCAAAGTAGTATCAGAAAAGCAAAACGAACACACAGACAAACAAACGCTAGGCCGAAGAAAAAGAAGAAAAGGGATCTTGGGATAGTGGAGGATTGGCCTTCTCAGTCAATAATCAACAGGTAGAGAAAAAAAAAAGGTGAGTATGGTTGGCCCAAAAGAAGAAGAAAGATAAGACGCGATATCTCTGCGCACTTTGGGGTATCATATGGTGTGAAGAGGAATCAAACTATTAAAAAGGTGATGATACAGGTTTCGGTTGGTTTGTCATCCTTTATCGTAGTAACCAATTCATAACGTCATGAATAAAGAAACGTTTGAAAAAAGTATCGTAGAAAACGGGATGAAATGTGTGAAACAAAAACAAGGTGGTACACAAGGGGCCGTATCCGTGTGACTTTCGGGGCTCATTCGCTCGAGTCAAGAGCGTTTGCCCATTGCCTCACTGCTAGGCGTAGTACGTTCTCGCTAGCTGGAGATTGCTGCCTTCGTCCAAGGTTGTTGGGGGTGTCATCGTCGTTGCGGTCAATAACATCCCGAATCGTATCTTCAAGAGCAGAAAGCACTACCGTCTTGCACTGTCTTCGAGGTATTTCGAGAGGAGGCTCCGGTATTTGCGTGACCTCTGAGAGCGTATCTGGCATGTTACTGCCGGTGTCGAGAGGCCCAAGGATGTCAACATGAACCTGAGAGGAGGCGGAAGAATGCTCTTTGCTAGAGTCTGGGACGAGATGGATAACCTTTTCCAAGGCTTCTGACAAAGTATCATCGGGCACAGTTACCAATTCTTCAACCCACTTCTCATCCAACATGGTTTCCTGAGGCAACGCTGAGGGCGTAATTGCAACACCCCCAACAACGTTTTCCACGATTGGCTTTGGCTTAACCAGTCGGCGGTATGTAATGCGAAGAAGAGAATCTGTAGTCGTGTCCACGACAAGAGCAGAGCTCACATCGACCCAGCGCTCAGAGACATCATCGCTACCAGACTGGAGCACGGTGGGTGTAGGCTCGGCTTGAAGAGCAGCTTTGACATTTTCGAGAAGGTCTTCCTGAGGAGGGACTCCTTGCAGGACGAAGTCAGGATGGAAACGGTTCAGCCAGCCAGCCGCATTAAGGGGCAGATCACCATCAATCGAGATACGTCCGGTTTGCTCAAAAGATTCAAGGCCGGGCAGGCCTGGTGTCGACAGGTATCCGCTGCTAGAGGGAGAGCTAATGGCAGACTCAAAGGAGGCAATGTAGTCGGGGAAGGGAACATCAACATCTATGACACTATCATCGGCATTGATTGAGGTCTTGATTGGAGACTCAAAGGCGCCGTTGGGATCTGGTGTCCTGTCGGCCTGCGTGAAGGATTTTCGAGTGCGCTCAGCGTTTCCTCGCGTCGCATCGACATCCCTAGCATTACTCGCTTGACGCAGCTGGGCCGGTGATCTTCCAGGCACTTCCTCATGAGGGGCGAGCTCGCGACCTATGTCAGACAGTCTGTTTGACTGAGGGAAGCCTACTTTGATTGGCGACCGCAGGTCGCTCGCTTGACTGTAAGTGCTGCCGCTGTCCATGGACTCACGACGGCGTGCATTCCATAGCCCGCTCATTATGCTGCTCCATCGCAGTCCTTGGCTTGGTGGGCGACCGCCTCCGGCACCGCCGCTCTCTCCCCTTTTGAGAGATCGCTTCAGGTCATCTGCCGCAGCGCTGCCACTACTTCCCGGCCGTCGCCGCCTAAGGCTATCGGTCCGTTGAATAGTCGAGAAATGCGGCGTGGTTGAGTCCTGCATGATGGTAGAAGTAGCAACGCTACTTTTCCGGCTCATCAAGTCATGGCCCGGGATGGGAAGGCCAGGAGTTCGAATGGAGGCTGCGTCGGAAGCACGCCTGTGGTGGCTTGAGGGATCTGTGATGTTCAGGTGTCCCATCTGGGACGACAACGTGCCACTCCTGGTGCTCTGACTAGCTGTCCTGGAGTGAGAAGTGCGCCCAAAGCCGGTGCGGCGATTAATCTTGCGGCGAAGAGACTCCTCTCGCACAACGGGAACAACGTAGGAAGGGGGCGAATTTGAAAATGCGCCAACCGAAGCACCCGACGTGCTTGGTCGATGTACTCGAGGGCCGTGGACTTGCTGGTTCGCTGGCAAAAACGCAGAAAGCAAAAAGATGATGCGTCGTGCGGCCATCTTGTCTTCTGAGACGATAATAGTCCGCGCTGGTAGCGATAAATCATCTTCATTTTGATTCTGTTTTCGAACCATTGCTTTTCTCCTGTATGTAGGAGAGCTGAGCGCCTGCAGCCAGTCGATATGGGTGGCTAAGAATCCAGTAAGCAGGGTATGAAGAAAGGTACCTTGATGCAGTCCTGCAGCCCATTTACAAGTCCAAATGGCCTCGTCACGCCAAATTCCCCAGCGCCCCTGTCCTGTGACGACACGAGAAGCACTCAGGCCCATTACAACCCTGGACCTGGCGAGACCGACTTCTGATGCAATATGCAGATCATCTGAGAGACAGTTTGGCAGCAGGGAGACAAGTTTGGTGGTACTCTTGGACGGCTTGTTTCGAGACTCATCTAGACGCCTGTCGGTGGTAACGGATGGCCTCCTGGAACTCATATTTGCCGAATACGGTCCCGGGGATGCCATGTCGGTTTGCTTGAGCATGGTGTGCAACCTGAACGAGACGACAGACTGGAGATGGGTCAAGGTGCGCATGACAATATCCCAGTGCTTCGTAAGCGAGTCAATTCGGTCTTCCACGTCGATGGAGAATGACGAGTCTGTGGCTTCGCCATAAAGGCCCGACCCCGACATGTTCCAGCCAGACGCACGAGTCGAACTGTAGGACGAAGAGAACATGTCTTGGTCATTGTATGATCCTGGCTCGCGAAAGACAGGCTTGGGGGGTACGGCCGAAGATATGCGTGACGGAGAAGGCGGGAGCTGTACGACAAGGACCACAGCATACATTGGCGTGCGCCTCTGTTTCGGCTGTGGCTTCTTCTTCTTGGCGGCAGCCTCGTCTCCGGTTGGCGGAAATGGGAATCCTCCATTGTCATCTGAATACCGGCTCGGTGGCGTGGCAGTATCCAAGTCGTCAGCGGCAAGAGTTACGGGGAAGAGCCGAGTGATGAGAACCTTCTTTCGCTCAGTATGGCGTGGGGTAGACGCGCCGGTGGGAAGCGGTGGATGTGTTGGAGACATGGTCTGAGAGGAATAGGACTGTGACAGCTTGCTTGAGCGCCCACTGGCACGGCCGATAGAGCTGCGGCCATCACCAAACATGGAGCTACCATAGTCGGTGACGCGTGGCTCGGATGGCACGACATGGACTTTTGTGGAAGTGCCTTTGTAAGCCATGAGCTCTGAGTTACCAAAGATGCAGCTGGAGAAGGTAGCTAGCTCCTCTCGGTATTCGCGTGCAGCTCGCTGCCCATCAGTTTCCCCAAAACTAGGACTACGGCCATGAACCGAGGCTCGGCGATCGAATGCTCCCTGGCGAAGCTGAGGGCCGTCGGTATGAATACCTGTTGGGCGCGGAGCCTGGCTTTGGCTGCCCTTGCGAGGTGAGAAGGGGGCCGCCCTCTTGAGATCCTGAGTGGCAGTAGAATGCCTTTCAGCGGAAGCTGCGGACTCGGGGAGAGGATGGCTATCATAGAGCAGCGATGCATTAGTGGGACCTAGGGCATCCTGCATGATGATGACGCGAACGTCCTTGACATCGAGTTCGATGTCATCGTTGTAGTCGAAAGCGTTTGCTGGCGATGCGGAAGAGGCTACCGGATCGGCAAAGAAGGGAAATACTTGATCGTTGCGATGCTGATAGAGATCCTGGGCGTCGGGGAAAAGCAGGTTGCGGGTGTGAGAGTCTTCCTGGACGGATTCCAGGGAAAGGATGGGTCGTGAGCCATTGGTGGACTGAGTAGGGCCTATAGACTGGCCTCCGGAGCCGAGATGCAGAAGCCGTCCTAGCATATCGTGCGGTGACGGCCAGTGGGGGGAGAGTCGAAGGTGAAATTTAAATTGAAATGAGAAGAATGCCGAAGAAGATGCGAATGTCAATATCTAAAGGACGGGAGATGAAGCTAAAGACGGCGCGGAAGATGCGGAATACCAGCTTCGGTGAGAGAAAGTTAAACCAAGCGATGCGCCATCACAAATGCTGCTGAGGTCGATACATGGCGGCGGCACATGGACATGTTGGTTCTTTCTTATTCCTTTTTCGTCTTCTCTTGGGCCGGTTCAATTCCCTTCCTTTGAGGTATCGTGAGGCGCCGGTGGGTTCAGCCTCTTGAACGAAATTGGATTGTGAGTCGCAAGCCGTGTCACCCAGGATTACTCGCCTATGACTGTGACAAAGGTGCAGCTGAAATTGAACGGCAGCGGCACACAACCACACAACAGAGACACAGGCCCAGCGAATGGCCGGATATCAGGAGGAAATTAGCCTGGCTCAGACGACGACGGTCCTTGGAAAAGCGAGCAGGCGAATCCGGGGAGCTCTCGAGGGCAAGACACGCAGCACCGCCGGCAGGGCACGTGCGTGAAGGGAGATGCTGGGGATGCGATGCAGGGGCGCTGGAACTGCAGCGACGGATGCGATGCGAGGCGCTGCGGTGCGGTGCGGTGCGAGATGGTTCGTGCCTGTATAAGTATTGGCTGCGAGAAGCAACGGGAATCGCCCCTCCAGAGGCGAATTGCTTGCGTCGGGACGAGGCCTATTCGCGAGGCAGCTCGAGCCCTTTTTGTTGGCGATGGGCGAATGGAGAGGAAGAGGTTGGCGGAACCCGAGAGCGGTGGGGTGGGCAGAAAAACGGGCAGCAGACAGGGCCCCTGCCAGTGAAGCGCCAGCACGGCCAACTCCCGCTAGCGCTCAGAGGCTTTTAGTGGGCTCGGGGTGGGTTGGCAGTGGGTTTGGCAGTGGGTTTGGCAGTGGGTTGGGCAGCGGGCTAGGCGGTGGGCTGGCAGCCAAGTGGGCTTTGACGTGGTTCTTGGGATAGGGCTCAGTGGGAATGGGCTTGACGGGCAGCTCCAGGCCTGCGGTACAGTAATACAGGGAGAGGGCAGCGGTGCAGGCGCCAAGCAGTGGTTAGGAACGAAATTGCCGCCAAGTTGGCATTGATTGACTCAGCTGCCACGGACGCTGGCTGAGTGACTTGTAGTGACTGATCGGCAGCAACCGTAACAGCTTGGGTGCTGGTACGGGCTGCTACTATGTACTAGATGCTAATGGATCAGTCATTTTTAAGCCGCAGACGAGTTGACAGGTAACGAGCTATAGGTGCTAGGTAGGTGATTAAGGTATATAGTTTCAGCTGCCAACAGACTGTCCTCGTGAGCGATGGAACAACAAGGTTCTCTTCGTGCCAAGGGGGCCCGTCCCGGCCTGTTTTAAATTTCCTCTTCGCTAACCCAGACTCTCGTCTCGACTTGTGAGCCACAGCGCAGTAGCCGCGGCGGAGAGAGCGCGGGGCGCGTGCTGCTGGGTGGAGATGGATGGAATTGAATGGATCAAGTCTCAAATGTCAGTTGAGTCCGGTTTCTGGGTACTTGTGCGACAAGCACAGCCACCAGCACGACCCGAGTACCCTCGAGCCGGAACCTGCTGAGGCGGTGGAGACGCTGTCTGCACATCCGAGACGGAGTGAATCGCAAATGGCAGATCATAGGGCCGCGCTGTCTTTTGCGTTATTAAAGCGCTGCCGGTGATTGGCAGCAGATCTGTGATTCATTCCCCAATGTGATGTGCATACGGGCTTTGGCTTTATTCCACTTGGCCTTAATTTTCGAAGAGCGATGCCGACAACACAACATGTTGAATCGAGATGGTTATTGGCAGAAAACAAACAGCTCGTCTATTGTATATACTGTATGTAGTGAGGTCATAGCATGCAAAGCCCAGCTCGGCTTACCTAAGGCAACGTGGTTCATGCAAATGCTTGTTTCTCGGCATGGAACTCGGCCCTCAGCCCGCCCAGGTACCAGCCCGAAATTACTTGCACTCAAGCATCAACACACACAACTTGCTTGCCCTGGGACATGGCTTGACTATCAATCCCAAAACAACAGATACGGCGCATCCAACGGAACAAGCATCAACGTCACTTTGCCAACGTGGCTTTGCACCTCCAACTCGCGCATCATCAGCCTCCATCCGTCCATCCGTCCATCCATCCATCCAATATCTCTCTACGGCTTCTTTCCTTCTCCGTCTGCCCAATGATGCCATCGACTTGTCCATCGCCCAAGCTACGGTAAAGACAGCGCTGGAGCTGTCTCAGCCCATCATTCCCCAGCCCACTCACACCGTTTGGCTGGCAGAGTCACTCTGGCGGCGTCAGCGCGAGGGATGCGGTGCTCACATGCCACCTCGCAAGGAAGGGCCTTGCTCTGGTCTTGAGCAGCAGCTATGAAACACAAGCTACGAAAATGCGGTGAATGCAGACACCAGCAAGTGCAAGTTTTATTATGGAGTCGGCGGCTGGCTGGAGAGGCGATGGGAGTTGGCGGCGCTTTTCGGCCCCCTCCACCATGCCATTCTTGCGTCTACTTGCCGTCAGTCTATTAGACTACGGTATTACCTACTCTTTGGTATTCACGAAGCCGTGTGCTGCCACAGGCACAGGCGACCAACCAACTATTATTATCCACCCCCGCCTGGCTCGATTCGCGCTATTCAAGACAAGGTGGTTCCTCGACCGAATGACCAGGCCTGGCACGGCGCATCGGTCTTGTTCGGGCCCCATATCCACAGCTGCTGATCTCGTGAGGGCCACAGCTCTCGACGATGAAAATCCAGGGTCCTCGACGGGTCTCGTTGGTCCTTTTTTTTTTTCGCGGCAGCGGCAAAAGAGAAAAATAACAACCAAGTCAAGAGAGGGGAAACATCCTTCGTGTTAATGCTCATCCAAACTCTGCATCAACAGCCTCCCCAACAGATGTGCAGAGCGGCGCTGCGGAGATGGCTCCTCCTGGCTGCTGCAGCGTTGCGAGATCGCCTGGGCTTTGACATCATCATCGCGTCTCTGGCTACTCATCTCTCCGTGTCTCTGCCTGCTTCTGTCTCTGCCTCTGCAGCTCCCCGACCCAACACGTCAAATCTCGACAGGGGGCCGGGAAAGCAGCATTTACGCTTGATTAGACTCCCGACAGAAGGGCGAATTAGGAGACTCAGGCTTCAACGGCCAACGGGGCCAACAGGCTACACGATGCCCCCAATAAACTTGTGGGCTTCTCTCTGCCTCCGAGGCTCATCAAAATGGCTTTCACGCGTCTCATCCGCTGTCCAGGCGTCCAGGCCATCCATTGCTCGGCCGCCCCGAGCGACAGACCGTCTTTTTCACCTCCATTCATTCATGGACTTGGATGTACAATTACTCAGTCATCTGCTTCGAGTCGGCCGCTAGAGCTGCTAGTTAGACGATGGTCCGAAGATCGCCTAGGTGCCGTTGGCCACTCGACTATCATGTATCACCTGTCGGTGTCCTACAGTAGGCTGCTCCAACTTGTCTCTCTCCAAGTACCGGCCCGACATGACATTGCAGATGGCTGGGCATGTCGTACAGCATGCTGCAGGTAACTAGGAGACCAGGAGACCCAGCAAGTCAAGGGAAAAAATCTCATTGTCGCTTGCTTTAGCGAGAGGCTCGGCCCATAATTAGAGAATAGCCCAGCACTAACCAGACTAATTACTACCAACCTGATGCGGAGTGCCGAAGGCCATATCTGGTCTGTACACATGAAGACGGCGGGCGGGACAATGCCAAGTATGATGTGGTCGCGCATACACGCACATAATCATTATGCAGCTACGCCCGCATTCTATTAGGATTCCTTCTTGGTGCGGCAGTCGTGCATCAAGCGGTCTCGCAGCGTTATCGCGACTTCTAATAACGGTATTCCGCGGAACGACAGAGGCCCTCGGCTCGGCAGTTCACCAGGCAATTTACAATGGCCATGTGGGTTGGGTCCAGAGGGCCACGAACAGAGATGTGCCAAGAGCGGAGCCGAGTTTTCTGCGTACTTTACTGTAAGTGATAAAACGCCGATGAGCGAAATATCAAAGCACTAGCATACAGACTACCGCTCGACAATCTACCTAGTAGTTACTAGATCTCCGAAAGGGATTGCTCTATGTGGCAAGGCCCGTTGCTGGAGCCAGATGGCGCCGGAAAGCAAGAGGCTCAGCTCAGCACCCTATTATTAGGATCTCCCGCCAGTACCGCTATAAGAGCCGTGGCGGCGGAACTTTCCTGTGGTTTCGTTCCTTGGTAATCGCTGTTGGGCTCGTGGACTACCTGAGTCGCGAAGCTTTTGAAATATCGCCAGGCGACCCGGGTTCACGGGTCCACTGGTCTGCTGCCGGTGGCATAGGGACACGGCCAAATGGCATAGGGCTTCAGAGTTCCACGTCTCTTCCCTGCTGCTAAGAAGCGAAAAATGATGGTATTTGTGGATGCTAGTGTAAGAGCTAATAGCTGCTGCTTGAAAGACCCTTTTCAGTAATCGAGGGTTGACGCCTTATCCGTGCTTACTATGCTTTGCTTCGGCCAAACAAAATACACTAATTGAGATGCAAAGCAACGCCAAAGATTGAGGCGAGAAGAGTTAAACAGCGACGGATAGACGTGATGTGCGTTGATTGCCCAGCATCTATGCCCTAAAGCATGTTACATCCGGCTAGCATCTCGCACAGCCTTCATTGGGCAAGGAATCAACGAACGTATCATTTCCGGAGCTTACCGGACAAAAGCATCCAGAATATCAAAAGTGATAACTTTGGTATACTGCTCCACTGTTAATCCATTCTCAACGAGTAAAGAAGGATACCCACTGTGAGGAGACCTAGTCCCACCAAATGCCGACGCCAACGATTCATTGACGTTTCTTCTCATCCAATGAGAGGCTCAGAGTTTATTGCCACTTTGCTAATGGGGAATTCTTCTAGAACAATTCGCCGTCGTGCCTAGGCAGCGGCTGTAACTCTAACCGAGAGTAAATCTCGTGAGCCTTATGTCATGTGTCTCTTGGTATTGTTAGGTCCAAACCAACTAGTATTTCTCAGTGGAAGTGGCCATTGTAGCTAAAGCAGCGATACGAGAGACAGTAGCAAGGACTATACGCAGCAGCTTAATTAGCAATAGCGTATAGAGTACAGTAGTAAAACGAGGAGTCATGAGCAAAGAGTATATATGTAAGAGTTTAGACATAAAAAAGGTGAAGTGAGGGTCGTTGGATTTACTCAAGGGAAAAGTTACCCAACACCCCGATTTCATTATCCAGCACCCTAGCTATAGCTTGACAACATGAAGGCTGTTAGTCTATATATTAAAATATGCAACTGCTGGATACAGGTAGCATCAGTAGCATCAGTAGATGTAGTAGATGTAGCAGATGTAGCAGATGTAGCAGATGTAGCAGATGTAGCAGATGTAGCAGATGTAGTAGATGTAGTAGATGTATCATCTAATGTGGTTACCTAACTAGTAGCCTTGGAGATTATAGGGATTTAAGAACTTTGGCTATATTAGTACTGAAGTACTTGGCATTGTCGCTCATGGTCATATATGCGTCTCGCATATCCACGGCACCTATGACTGCATCATCTTTAAAGTCTGTGAATCGTCTCTCGGAATGTAATTTCGACCGCATGGCGTCGTAAGAGTGTGGGCATGCGACATTGAGTTCGTAGGTGATAACTTTTCCCACGGGAAAGTTAAAATAGGCCCGTAAATCTTTCACAATAGTTTTGACGTCTTGCTTCGGCGGTGGATACCTGTGGGTTCTGCATGCTGTTGCGAACAGCATGTCAAATGTGTCATCGTCAGGGAAGATGAACTCTTCTAGATCTAGCCTTAATCGCTTAGATTGACGGGCGCCTGCTGTGTTCGTCATGATAATGAGTTTAAAGGCTTCGCAGTAGAGAGGTAAACTGGCAGCTTCAGTTGTATTGTCGGTGTCATCTTCATTCATACACATGGGTGTATCGCCTTCCGAGACAAGAGGCAGGGCTTGCTGGCCATGCTTCATCTTGTACTTGATGAAATTGGAAAGGATATGATTTCCTTGGACAGGACCTCGAAATGGCATACCGATAACCTTGTTGTGTGCAGGGTTCCAGTAGCCCTTGAAAGTTTCCTCCTTCGGGATTGGTGGTGCTTTTTTGGTGAATATTTTTCGATTAGTGAGTCTCCTATATCTTGTGTGCAGTAGAAGAGTTACTGAGCGATGCAAATCTTCAAGGGAGAAACGCCCACAAACAGTATAGTCGCCATTTTGACCATATATACTCGGTGATGGATATCGATGTTGATATGCGCTTGTGTCAGGAGAATACTTCACTTTTATGAAGTCTGTCGGGGCAAAGAGTAGAATTTGAACCGCGTGCGACAATATGAAGCCAATAACGTGAACTCCGTCCTCGATTTCTGGCAAGTCTCTTTTTGCAATCCATGATTTCGTTATTGGCAGAAACGTCGGATGCTGACAGTCTTGAACCACATTATCTACCAACTCCCGTAGTTCTGACTGTGTTGCGTAGGCCCGTAGAACTAGGCTAGGATTCACTGGACTTGAGGATGCCCGAATGGTTGTCGCTAATTTCCAGGACCTCGGACCAAGTTTCCGCAGCCATGGTATCGGATAGAGTAGGCGTCTTTTCGCGCAATCGATCATTCTAACGTCGATTTGCCTGGTCCAAGACGATCTCTTTACAGGCTCTCATGGTGAATTTCTTGTGAGCCACAACCAATGCTAGACGAGTGATACATCTACTACATCTACTACATCTGCTACATCTGCTACATCTGCTACATCTGCTACATCTACTGCATCTACTACATCTGCTACATCTACTACATCTGCTACATCTACTACATCTACTATATTAACGCTGGTAGATATCTATCGTCGCTTGCTGACTTGGCTTCATTTGTGAGTACGGGTATTGTTCATTCTATCCTAACTGTAACTGAACATTTTTCTGAGGTAATTTTGCTGTCAAGAAATGCCAATGCAAAATATTGCGATGTTATTCTCTCTATTACACATGGCAGCTATTGATGTTCATGTCTGCAACTCCAGCGAGTATAGAAGAGTATCAAACGCTCTCTAGAAAGGGGCTACGTATGGGCCATCGATCGTATATAGCGACAAAGTCATCTCTGCCAATTTCACGCTGCTCCTTAGCGACATTGCTGCATTGTATAGCACTGTCTTCAAAATCCCGAAGCGTTTTGTGGTATGTGGGCTGGTCTATCTGAATGGCTTCCCTGGCCGGCTGAGACTCCTCGTGACGATACTCCCGTACATCGGTCTTGGTGTCTATTACCACGTGTCGATCGGTCAAAGTCACGACTCGAGGTGTGCCCTGCGCAGCCGTAGAGGGAGATAGAGCGAGGTATAAGCCTATCGTGCCACATCTGGTGTCCGTATCTCTCATCGATATTTTGGTGCCGATGCAGTCGGACAAGTCTACACGAGCCGCATGGGTTAGCATGCCGGAAGCTGCAATCGGCTTGTCGTGTTGCTGGCAGCGGCGGATGTGATCTTGGAGGCAGAGTTGCCGCATAGGCTCACTACGCTTTCGCGTATTTCACAATCGATATTTCTGATTCCATGTTCTTCCAGGATTTTCTTACGTCTCAGTGTAATAGGGTGTGCCTTACTCCAAGTCAGCGAGTCTGGCTTAACAGAAATTAGGAGAGTCGTATTGAATTTTCCATTCAAGCCAACACGCAGGATATCGATCGCCGTCCAGCTTGTGGCGGCGCTGACAGCCTCCAAGATCTGGATCCTGAGAGAAGAGTCTGCGTCATTCCAAAGCTGGTGCAGCAGCGGGTTCCAGTCGGCAGGCCAAAGCCATTTTCGATACTAATCTACCGTGCCTATATACGTAGAGGAGCCAGGTATCTGGGGACGCTCCTAGCCATGTTTGCTTGACCGAGCAACGAGACTTGGGCAGCTAGGGAGCCCAATATAGTAGAGTTCGCTCTCCTCGCCGCCGGGGGAGGGGGGGATGCTGCTTCCATGGTTTTATCGGCTGATTCTGAATGGGCAATGTGCTGAAACGGGCGAGAGCCGGGCTGAGGAGGTCGAGAGCCGCGAGTCTTCTAAAAACGCGAATGTAGCTCACCGATGTCTGATTCGCTCCGAGTGTGTAGACTTTGTCTTCGCGGTGATGTGGTGGAAAGCGTCGGGGGAGAAGCGTTTGCGAGCATCTTGCTGTATGTATAGTGGCTTCTGGTACTCTAGCTGATGAGTCAGGACATGATAAAGTTTTCTCTTGTACTAGAGCCGATGAGTATTCACTGAGGCTATCGAGAACTTACGTGGAAGACAGAACTCAAAAGGCGGCGGACAAGTCGACAAGGCTAAAGAGCTGCTGTAATTCACGTCTCGCTTGTTGATGGGGATAAACAAGGACGTCAGGTTTGGTATCATCGCGAGGCGAGTTCGTTGGCGAATGCCGGGCCATGGCAACGTGATTTTCGGCGTTTGTACTCATCACGGTTGCGCTCTGCCAAGAGTGTAGAAGTTTGAAGGGAAAGAGGCTCGCCTTCGTCCGAACCACATGAGCGCGTTACATCCAATTCCATCTGAGCCCAATGCCTTTGGTATTCGAGAACGGTCTCCTTTTTTTCTTTGCTTTTCCTCTCGTGATCTCAACATGATCCCTCACAGTCCTGATCTTCGCCATGAATCTTACAGTATTATCTTCTATAATCTCGCCGCTGATTTTGTCCTTTTGTCTACCGCAACTCTTTCCTCTTCTTTCGCGGCGACTCTCGTTTCCTTTTCCGCTTTCTTTCCTGTCGCGATTCTTGCTTATTGCGCTTCTCATCTTTCTTTTCATTATCGGTTTGGTCTTGCTGTTCGCTGCTAGGCTCATCTTCTTGTGTTGATTGCATATCAGACTCTAGGCCAAATATTGTCGAACGCTCGTAGCTTAAGTGACCTCTTCCAAATAGTGTAGGCTCTTGACTATCAATGGCATTATTTACAACTGCCTCGTCGACGTAATTCTCGCATTCCTCTTCGCTACCAGGCCCATCTTCTTGTTCACCATCAGCCTGGTCTTCTTGTTCGCTTCCAGTCTCACTTTCTTCTTCTGAACGATTGGAAGCTCAGGACGCAGATCTGACACAGATAATCACGGAGGCTCAAAACGCCTTGATTGCATCTCGACAGGCGGTGATCAGAGGAAACGCAATCATGAATGATCTGGTCATCCGCTTGGAACGCCATGAAGAAGAGAGACTGTACAACAAACACGAACAGGAACAAGAACAGTGGATGGAGTGAGCAATTGGGACACCGTGAACCAAACCAACTGGGACGACTCCTTACTTCTAATACAGAACATGGTCATTCGGGACGAATGACATTTCTGGAGAGGGGGAGTTGTTGGGATAGGATGGGATGGTACAGGATGGTACAGGCTAACACAGTGTGTGTTACAGTGAGTCAGACTCCAGGTCAGATGTGGTTAAAAGTTTGCTGCTTAATGTATCTCTTTTATCCATCACTGCCTCATTAACGTGAGCCTCGTCATCTTGTTCACTACCAGTCTGGTCCTCTTGCTCACTGGCAGTCCCGCCATTACAAAATTATTGCCTTCCTCGGGGAATAGACGCCGCTTTCACTAGATTGGTGAAATATTTGGTAAGTTGCTCATTTCTATCATTTGATAATCCGTTTTCCAGCTTTTCCAACAATTTCTCCCAATCTTCCACTGTGTTGGCCATCGATTTTATGGTGAAAATCATGTTTTTAACTATCTCTGTTTCCAGACTTGCTATATCGTCGTCATGTTTCTCAAGGCTGATTTTAAACAGAGTCTGCTTTGCCACATATGAGATGGCATGGCCGAGCTGAACAGTATCGGGTGCGTAATAATCTAGGGCAATGCCATCAATGTCAAATAGGATTGCCCATGCATATATGTTGAAAGAATGACCCCAATAACTCTTGAGCATCTCAAATATGACAATGTCCCGAAGGCAACCTGAGAGACTGGCTGGAAGGTCCTCCTCTGCGGAAAGTTGCTTCGCCCAATTTGTGAGCATGCTTTTTTCCCGGTGGTCGTGGAAAGAATTTTTGACTTTTATGCTGTGTCATACAACTTGCTTATTTTGCTCATGCCTATAAAGCCGGGTTTGCACTTGGTATAATGTCTTGACATGGTGACGAAAATTGACACTCAGCCCCTTTTGAGCAGCAGTGATGTAAGTTCACGCCAGTGGCCGTAATATTCATATTTGCCAGAAATATCACGGCATTACTGTCAGGGTTGTTGAAACTAGACAACTATGAAGCTTTGCTTGTTAAGGTGTCTTCGTGACGAATCGTGTGGACTGCAAATCCGGCAAGAGTTGTAGCATAAAGTCTCCTGTTCAAGAGATGATTAGCGACCAGACAGTGAATAAACAACTCCACCCCATGCTGAATGTCTTACTGTTGGATCCATGGCGAATCCCAATATTTCACTGCTTGGTCTTTAGGAAGTTAATGAAATTGATTAATTCCTGTTGTGTGCGCGCGTGTGTGACTATGAAGCGGAGGAAGCCTCAAGCAAACGGGTGTGCTTGATGCATAAGGGTGGAACCACGTGACCACTCAACAATTTCGATTCGGTCTTCCTATTCAAAAAACACATCGAATGCGTACCTGCAGAACCCTGGTGGTTACGGGGCTTGATCGCCAAAGTCAATGAATTTAGTGGCTAGGAGTCACTCAAGTCGGAATAACTTGTTTGTGGTTGCACTTGGCAGGGAAAACTCCAGACGTCCATCCGCATCACGCTCTCGAAGGTAGAGGACTTGAAGCCTTTCCAACATCTAACAATTCCACATGGCAAAACAAATGTCTAGAGAAGACTAATTCCCAAATCTCAGTCCAGATCCCTTTAACTGAATTCCAACTCGCCTTCACTTGTTCCCAAACCTTACTCTCCCATTCCACCACAAACTCAAAGATTTTTACCACTTGAGCTAGAATCTCTCCCCAAAATCCAGTGAACAAATCGCCAAGAGCCTCCCAAAAATCAGCGACGCTCTGTTGCTCGTCTTCAGGCAAGCCTTCAATTAAAGCCAAAACTCTCCCAGTGCTTGCGTCAATATTGGCGATGGACTCTGCTTTCATTTTTCGCCCTGGGCTCTAACTCGCTCTATAGCAGTGGGTTTGTCTGTACTGCCAGGCTCCAGGTCGTCGGTGACGGATTGATACTCATCAGTGGTCCCCTGATGATAGTCGCCTTGATCCCCCACGACAGTTCTGAGTTCAGGAAACTCATTGGCGAACTTTTTAAGCTCATCATTGGTGTACTTGGGGGATTTTCGCTCTGTCGATTTACCTGATGTAGGTCTATCTGAGTACCTACCTAGGTACTACTAGGTAGTAGGTGATATCTACGTTTTAGTACGTACCCTATTACGTGTGAATAAGACCAGTTGAGCAGTAGCAGATTGATGCAGTTGGCTGACTTAACGAATTATCGTATGCCTATACTACTTATAGCTATTAGAGTTTACTTCCAATGCAAGGGAGATATTATAATCTGTACTTGTACGTACATAGTAATATGTGTTGGCAAATAAAGCTACCTAGGAGATGACTGTATTTGTAGATTATCTGGAAATTGAGTTTCATAGAATTTGGGCAATTGGATTTGGATAAAGATGAAAATTTAGATATGAATCCCTTATAAAGCAAGAGTTCTTTCGATACTGGAATCCTTCATATGTTTGTGGTTGTTGGGGGACTCTTGCCTTAATATCCCCAGGGAGGAAGGGGAGATAGGATCATCTTATATATATATATAGCTAGACTAGATTCTGCATTATAAGAATAGATAAGCCTTTTTAACCCTTACACTATGCATATATGTTCTATAACCTTCTAGGCACTATGTAAGGGGATTGCTTTATCCACGATATGGTAGCGTGACGGCGAGATCGAACGGATGAAGGAAAACCTCAACAGTATGGCGACAAACGTGAACATTGTTTTCCCAAATTGGGGAATTGATATTGGGAAAGTGGTCACCCTCCACGAGCATCAAGATCGAGGAACACATCGGGGCTGAAATCGGGAAGCCGGTATTGGAAAAATGATTGACCTCCACGAGCATTGATCAACCAAAATCAAGGAACACATCAGGGATCTAATCACTTAGAAATAAGACAGAAGGACATGATGGGTCTGATAAAAAAGACTAAGGTTAAGATATAACCGCTGGGATCAAATAGCAGAAACAGGGAATGATAAGGACCATTAGTTCTTTTAGCCGGGGGGATGTTAAGGGACCCTTGCCCTAACATCCCTAGGGAGGAAGGAGATATAGGACCACCTTATATACTATATATAACTAGACTAGATCCTGCATTATAAGAAGAGATAAGCCTTTTTACCCCTTACACTATATATATATATATTCCATAATATTCTAGGCACTATATAAAGGGATTGTTTCATCCATGATAATAGTGCTGATTATTCGCATGCTGTCAATATTAATATTTTAAAAAAGAAGATACTAATACATACATATTGTTACTAAAACCAAGAAGATTTCCTGAATTGAGACATCAACGAAAAGCTACCACACATCGCTTTTTAGCAATGCTGATGGGACTTGTACTTGATTCGATCACGGAAGTGGATATGCAATACAAGTTGAACCACCGATACACTGTTTGAATGGCTTCTGCCAGACATATGGCGTCCATGCAGTAAGCTAAACAAGTGTGGCGTGTGTAAACGTGCCATTGGTAGTTAAATTTGTGCATTTTCCTACCATCAGAACAATGTTGCCATTAGGAGGCTATATGCATGCAGTATTTTGCTTTACCGGCTGCAGAAGTGATACCCTATTCGCTCACTATCATGCAAGATAGTAACTACTAGTACTACATGTACCCAATCTTACCTAGGGCGTCATGAAGTATTATTATCCAGAAGAGAAACAAAATCGAGCGGCTTGTATTCATCGTCAAAAAAGCTTCCCCAGCGGCAAGCTCCCGGCATTATGAGAATCGGGTAGAGTGAGGAACAACAGATGTGGGCAAAGAGTATGGGTGAAGAATCCATCTTAGAGACCGTCAGCGTCGCCAGGACCTGGAAGGCAATTAATATCCTACGTGTTGTGCAGTATTTTGACTGTTGCTATTCCATAGCGTATCCACGCTCAACGAACCTTGGCAAGATGCCCACCACTAAAGGCAGACTCGCGACAGGCCCTCGCCTCTAAAAGGCTTACGGAGGCGGGAAAAGCTTTTGGCACCCTCGAACATGAGGAGCGCAAGGGCGAATCGGTAGGTGTTCCCCATATGTATCTTTCAGGGCTTCTGTCTGCGCTGGATCTATTCTCATTCGGCATGCGCAGGCTCTCAACAACCTTGCCGAAGTTGTAGAACAGCAGCAGAATCCACAGTATCCAGCCTGCTACAAGGGGAAAAAAAAAAGTCACCAGAAAACGGGGTGGCGCACGAAGGTAGTATATTTACCAGAGATTGGGAAATTTCAGCACAAGACAAACCTCCTACAATCTTGATAGCTGGTGTTGAACATCTTTGTCGATAAGATGGCAGGGAGAATAAATTTCAACAAGCCGGCCAGGCATAGGCTTCGTATGCTCCTCGAGGCCCTCGACCTTAGTAGCTGCTCTTTGGAACCATCTCATCTATCCGAGTCGTCATTGTCTCGATCGATTTTTTAAATACCAATACTAGCATGAGCGGATTTTCTCGCAAGGAGAACTGCCAAGTTGGCCTTGCTATTCTTGACACCAAAGACCTTCCCCAAACTTCCCCTAGCAAGCTCATTTCGACCTACAAGTTTGCCACAGGATCTCCCGCATTTCTCTCAAAAGTTTCAAACAAGTTTCTTTTTAGCGAATCAGTCAATATTTCTCAACTAGATATTTCAAGCAATATCGAGTCTCTTATTCACAAGGATCGCGATATTTTATTTGTGGGCCATGGGTCCCCCAGCGACCTCCAAGTGTTGCGTGCTCTCAATTTCCCGTTCCCCGAGCGCCTTTTAGGGATTACAAACACCTTCAACATTGCTAATGAAGTATTGGAGTTTTGGGCAGACTCTCTTGGAGATCTTCTTATACTGCTAGGATCCTTACAATGGCCTTCATTGTGCGGGGCATTTAACCTTCAGAGCTTTACTCCTTTTAGCAGCTCGAGGATTTAACCGACATCAACAACAATCAATCAGAAGTAAACATGATAAGATGATAAATATTTTACAACGAATTGCGACCCATCCGATTCCTTACCGGCTAGACCCAGAGATTGAAGCAAGGCAAAAAAAAAAAAAAGAGAAAAGAGGTTGGAGAGGCGTCGAAAGCATCAGTCAAAGTCTTGGCCGAAACCTCTGGATCTCTTCAATAGAAGCAATAGAAGCAATAGAAGCAATAGAAGCAATAGAAGCAATAGAAGCAATAGAAGCAATTTCATAGGCCACTCGTCCAGAAGTCTGCTACTATAGATAGAGTAGAAGCAGCAAGCGCAGCTAGAGACTGATACATAAAATACTAGTTCATAAACGCGAGAGGTGTGCTTCCTAGGACTGGTTAGGTACTGATGGAACACTAATCTGAGCTAGAAACAAATGGTATAAGGTTGATTAGACGTGACTTCTGCAGGTGCGTGCTGGAAGAGAAACAATACATCCCAATTGGATGGGTATACCCGTTCCTAGAAGCACGAAACCGCGTTCAGCCACTCGCGCCCTGCTGGGCTGGTGGCCTCCCTGATTGCTCTGAGCGCGTTGGCAGCCCAGTTTTTGAGAAACCAGATATTCTCTAGCCACTTGAAGATGACGGCAAAATCCCCAAGAATGACAAGTGCTGCAGCATGTCGTTCCCGAATCAGAGTCACAAAGCCCGAGGGCACAAGCGCTATCCACTTCACCAAATAGGAAAATTCAGCGTCCTCAAGAGGCTTCACTGAAAACACATCACGATGAACTTTCTCCAACAAATCAATCGCCTCTGTACAGAGCTTGTATACTTCATGATCGTTGGGGGCGATGAGATCCTTCAGACATTCGTCCCGCAGCATCTGATAACGCGACGGGACGTGTGCAGGCAATGAAGCCCTTTGGCTGCTGCTCAAAGGGCTGTGTCCTGTCAAGAGGATGACATACGGACTGTTCATTAGGCGGCGGCGGAGATGAGCCGGCCGCACAATGGCATGGATACCCCTTATGACTGTGACCACTGCCATTATATCGTCGATCGATGTCTGCATCTCCGTGTGCCGCTCCTCGTCCCGTAAGGCATTATCCGACACAGCAGCCAAAGACAATATTGAAACCAAATAGGACATTGCAAATATACGCCCGACAGAATCTGTGCTGATGGTCTGAATGGCCTGTCGATACTCGGGAATGGCCTGGTTCTGGTGCTGTCGGCAACATCGCTCGTACCTGAATCGATGCGAAGGTCTCCTTCCGGCGACATGTAAGGCCGACACAGCGAGCATGCCATGGATGAGAAACGGACAGGCAATTGCCTCCTCAGGCACAATCGACTGCCACAGCCGCGCCATCTCGGCTCGCTGAGACAATGTTCCAGCTGTGGAATACGTGAAGTGGCTCATTAAATACAGGTCTTCGCCCCAGGTCGCAGCACATGATGTTTGCTGATGGCGGGGTCCATGCGACAAGTGAGACAGGAAGAACATGGGATCTGATTCAAGTGACGAGGATGAGCGAAGCTTGCGGAAAATTACACGTCAGCCTTATCCGTAAACTGATTACCGCAAATCAGGCTCAGGCCTGCTTCACTACTAACCGAAATACTCACTGGCGTTATAGAATTGACAGCGCTCCTCCTGAGAAGGCTGCATTCTTCTTTACGCCGACTACAGTGCTGGCACGGTGCGCGTTCGTTGCACTTCAAAAGGTTAGTTAGACATGGGCTGAATGTATAAATCCCAATAGGGGCGGTCACTGCCAGCATATTTCCAAGCATGAGAGCATGAGGGTGTACCTTGACGCGACGCTGCTTACAGCGGGAGCAGCCATGGCGAGATTTAATGTGACCTTGACGAGAGGGCATGTTTATTTTAGCGTAAAGGGGATAGCACCAACTTCGCGTGGTTTCACGAAGGAGGTTTGCCGGATTGACGACAGAAGACGTTGAAAAAGCTGGGTTTAAGTTGGGACGATGCTTAGATATTGGCTCGCGATCTATAACTATATACGATAGGTCAACCAATAAGCTGCAAGAAATACCGATTGGACATCGTAAACCATTCCTGATACGGACTAACTTCCGAACGATCTTCGGATTCAAGTGTCGGTGTCGGGTTGGTGCTGATCCTCTTTCGAGCAAAGCTCACAACTTACCAAAGTAGAGGTTGCGGACATGTCTCTAGAGTATAAGAGGCGCGAATGGCCGCGTGTGCGGCCACTGTTTCCAGAAATACTGGCAAAGCGACTGTTGAATTCATTGGACCTTGTTTGACGCGTGTCCTTGTTCTTGCAACAGCCATCGTTCAAGACGAGGAAGCACCGACAAGTCAGGCTAAAGGCATCATGACTGACGCCACGACCCATAAACGATACCGGTATGAGCCGTCCCTGGCAGCCGCAGTCATCTTCGTTGTCCTTTTTTGCGCAACATCCGGCTTTCACCTCTACCAGATGACCAAAACACGGTCGTGGCTCTTTATAGCATTCTGTTCTGGTGGGCTCTGTATGCTCTCTCTCTCCTCTCTTCCCTCCCTATAAGCATGTCAAGAAGTCTGGAGCTGTTGCTGATGCCCGGTTCTCATATAGTTGAGCTTATTGGATACATTTGTCGCGCAATCGGTGCGACGCAAACGGAGGAACCGGATTACGCTCTTGGTCCATTCATCATCCAAAGCGTGCTTCTACTCGTCGCACCCGCCCTTCTCGCCGCCTCGATCTACATGGAGCTGGGGCATATAGTGGAACTTGTTCAAGGTGACCCTTACATCTTGATCAAGCGCCGCTGGCTCACACGCACATTTGTTACGGGGGATATCATCTCGTTCCTCATGCAGGCTGCAGGCGGTGGCATCCTAGGCAGCGCGAAAACAAGTAGCCAGAGGGACCTCGGTACCACCCTCGTTGTGGTTGGTTTGTTTGTTCAAATCGTTTTCTTCGGTTGCTTCATTTTCGTTGCCCTGCTATTTCACTGGCGAATCCAGCGGGCACCGACACAAAAGGTTTTGTCTGACCGACCGCCGTACAATCGTCACCTCTTCGCACTTTACGGTGTGAGCAGTCTCATCTTCGTGCGGTCTATAGTCCGGGTTGTGGAGTTTATCGAGGGGTTTGACGGCTACATATCTACACACGAGGCATTTATCTATGTCTTCGACGCTGTTCCGATGTTGGCGGCCATGCTCATCATGAATTGGATCCACCCAAGCGAGATAGAAGCTCTTCTAAGGGGAGGTAGCGTAGCCAAGGGTATTCGGCTGATTGAGCACTACGAAATAACTGATAATTCTACATAAGCGGTCTGGAATCATGGTGCGTTTACGTAGCAAGGAGAAAGAAAATACGAGCATCAGACACCGAGCATCATATTGCACATCTTTCAAATCCAAATGCTCATTGACGTCCCGCAGGACTGCTAGGTTACAAGTGCCCCATGCATTAAATACTAAACATTCGGCTTCATGAACAAGCCACGGACTTTGATAGAAGATGGTGTTAAGCATGGGAGGGAGGAGAATAACAAGACTACATCGCTGGTGAGCTGAGAGGAACCAACTGCACTTGCTTCTCATGAAGAACACCAAAGATATGTAGGCTAATACGTAGGATATCTAATATACACAGAATGCCACGACGGATCATTCAGTGCCCATTATCAATGCAGTATTGGATGTCCTTGCTAAAGTAATCGAGATATAGTGGGAAGATGACGATAGATAGAGGTATAGACATAATATTGAAAATTTGCCTTGAGGATAAAGAACATGAAGATGGGTTTCTTTGCGTGTGGCCTATGTGTTGTGGAGGTCTTGATTCACACGCTGTATTTATCGCCCAGTCAGATAATCTCTCCAAACATTTGGGTCTAGATCATTATTTATCCCCCAGAGACTCGGAGACACTCTCATCATCAGAAAACTCAACCAGCCCGCCTTTATCTTTACTGTGACTAGGCGACTCTTCAAGGAGGTCATCTACATCGTTTATAGTCATATGTGTTTGGTGGCTTCATCGAAAATACCTGTCATTTCTTCACCTGTTGTTGGCCATAATCGACGGCGCCCTTTTCTACCTCATGACCTCGGTTTTTTTTTTTTTTTTTTTTTTGGTATGCATTTATGCCAAGATAGAAGAAAATGAAAAAGGCAACAATAAAAGAAAAGAGCTGACAGAGAGCTCAAGATGCGTCATTGTAAACAAGCAGCAGTAGCTTGGGATAATATGAGGGTGTCAGCGCCAGAACCGAGCGGGTCCTGGCGAGAACCTTGATGGCCTCTTATTACGGAGAGCACTGACATTAGAAATCCCGCCACCACAGCTTTCAGTTTTCAACTTCATTTCTTCTCCACCTAAAAATGCTCGCTCAACACAATCTGTCTATTCCTTTGTGAATCTCGTCCTACCACGATAATCGAGTTACAACGCGCCAACAGCGAATGACGCACGCATTTGCTACATCTGGCAGCATGTCAAAGTTTCCGACAGCCGCGTATGATAATCCACCATCCCTGCGCGCATTTATCGAGACAGTGAAGGCGGGCGAGAGGCTGCAATAGCTACTCTCTCAATCTGTTCCATTTTGCCATCTTGAAGATACGGCTTGCGGCTCTTTTCACATCCCACATATCATGCTCTTGAACCGGTAATGCCGGCGGCTTAGGAGGCGTGAATTGACGTACAGCACCTCATTCTGCCACATTGACTTCCACACAGCATGTGACAGCTCGAGCCGTCATCTGGGCGTCTCCGCGTCGGCGCTCCAGTACCTGAGCCCAGAGATACCGACGTGCTCAAAGACTCTGGCTCGCTACCGTCTGGCCGGACCTCTGGCTGCAGTGTTGCCGAGTGGATGCCATACGCGTGAAGGCATTCCATGATTACCTTGGCCTTGTCTGCGAAACTTTTGACGGTTCTACCATCGACGACGACATGGGCAGTCGCAATAGACTTGCGCTGGTCCAGTCGCCAGATATGAAGTTCATGAACAGACTCGATACCAGGAATCTGTCACAGTGTTCATCATCAGCTTTCATCTTCACTGCAACAGAAGCTGAGACAGGTGTTTGCACTTACCATTTCGATATCGTGCTTGATATCATCGGGAACTATTTCGCTGGGAGCGGTTTGCAGCAGGATGCGGCCGCTGTTCCTCGTCAATGGCCAAGCGGTCAAAAAAATCATGACAGAGATGAAAAGGCCAATTGCAGGATCGGCATAGTATCGCGCTTCTCCACGGGCTTTCCATATGATAAGAGCTGATGCTATGACTCCAATGTTATTGATGGCATCACCAACTACGTGGATGAAGACGCCAAACATGCCCAAGTCTCTACCAGGGCGAGATGGTGCGACCGACACATGCCTGTGCTCATAGTGGCCACTAGAAGTCTTTTGGTCTTGTCAGGATGGAGCATTCACCGATCGACAAGGAAGAATTCTCACCGATACTGATCGCGCCTCTGGTTCAGGCGCTGTTTCATTGTTCGTCTTGGTGGCAGCGTCCTCCTCGCGGAGCGTTTCTTGCCTATGGCCGCCATTACTATCGTGTTCGTGCTCGTGTTCGTGCGCGTGCTCATGGTCGTGATCGTGGCCGTGATCGTGATCGTGTTCTAAAAGGCCACATGTCAGCTTCCTACACAGTCATGAAGATGATTTGGGGCTGAGCTTACCGTGAAGAAAGGACAAAACCAGCAGGTTTAGACCCAAACCAATGCTTCCGATAATCAAAACGATCTTGGGTTGATCGACGACTGCCGGTTGGATAGATGTCAGTTCGATTCAACTGTTCTGCCATCTGAATGCTGCCTCTCACCTGTCACATTGACAAACCGTTCAATAGCTTGAACGAGGATGCTGACGCCGAGCGCCAAAAGGAAAACGCCGTTGAAAAATGCGCCCAAAAGGGTTGCACGAGCCCATCCAAAGGTTAATTCTCGTGGTGGCGGAGTTGGATGCTCAGATATCTTTGGCAGACGCATCAGCTATTGTGCTCTTTCGAGCAATCGGGGAGGGGGAACGGACTATGACGGCGACTAAAGCAACTACAAATCCAATCAAGTCGCTCAGCTACAAACAAATCAGCAATGACCTCAGCTCAGAAGTCAACTTGTCGTACATAATGGAACGCATCGGCGATCAGCGCAAGAGAGTGTGTATAAAACCCGGCTGTGCATCGAGGTCAGAATTGTTGGTTATCTGGAAGCATGGCGAAAAAAAACGCACCAATGAGCTCAGCCACGAAGAAGGAAAACGAAATAGCAATCGTCGCGATTAAACGCTGCTTACGACTCAGTCGAATCGCCATGCTGTGGCAGGAAAAGGGGCGTTATCTGTTTCTTCTATGCGAGTGAGAATGTTGATGGGAATATTGTGTTCTTCGACTATTGAAACCAGTATTGGCCACGGCGAGCTTTGTCGAAGAAAGGGGATAAGAAAATTTCCAGTCGGCCACGACACTTCAAATAGGGATTCCAATGGCAGGCAAACGCACGGTTCCGTTTAGGAGCTCTATGTTTAGGGCGGGGCTATTTAATACCACCTTGCTCACACGGCTGGATAGGATGCGGGTAGCTTCAACATCAAAGCGGCCCGGATCGCTTCCTGCAAAGTAGCGTTTGACAATTCAATGTGTCAAATGCCATACTGGGAATCACGGCGGACACTCTGGGTTACTTTCGGGGCACTTCCGGGGCACTTCCGGGCCGTCCATCACAAACAAACAAATATACGATCGAGAATAGCAACAACCTACCTTCGATCAATGCGGAACCTGGCACAGAATGAGTGCTCTAACGCGTAGAGAACCGAGAACCCGGATTCTCATTCTCGTATAAAGATACAGGGCCAAGCTGACAGTGGGTGTCTGCGTCTGCCAAACAGTCAAACTGACGACGGTGCATGCTAGTGATCCGAGACTTTGCATCTCCATAAGTCTTTCTGACTTGCATTTGAGAAGGATCTCGTCCTAACATTTACTAAACCCATTGTCTGACCAGACCGAAAACGCTGTACTGCCAGGAGGGGTGGATAACTAGGGGCTTCGAAGCTAGCATTATGGCGACGCGTAGATGGAGTTCTCAGCTGGATATCGGCCACCGCAGCTCCGAATCAACTCGGCCATCGGTGATCCGAGGACAGTAGTACACAATCTTGATGTTCTAAGTGATGTGTCGTAGTACCTATGCCTCGTACGCCTTCGCCAAGCTACAAAAATGAAAGAAATTTCTACCAGGAAAGCTATTACCCATTTAAATCTTTTAGCTGTTTGTTTTCTCGGCATCTCCCGTTGGACAAAGCCATAGCATGGCAGCGATACGGCTTGCTTGCCGGGAATTAAGGCCATCCGTACGTAGCGAGACGAGGAGAAGCAAACGCAGTAATGCAAACTCCGAGCCGCGCAAATCTGGTGTCCACGGCTTCAAAATGCCACTGAAGCTATCAATAGATGTTACAGCGACCAAATGTTTCATACAAATGAGACGGAGGTTCTGTAGACTTTGCCATTCGAGCCCGAGTCAGCCCATCTGGCCAAACACTGTGCCATGCCATGAGACACGGCGAGTTCAAACTGATCTTCAGCCCCCACAAAAGCTTTTGCCCCACTTAGACAGCATGCGGTACCTACATTTGGATGGACGAAATGAGCAGGCGGTGAAATGCCTCTGGCCGCTACAGCTCCATTTCTGCCGCCTGCTCAACTACCGCTATCTGCCATCTCCAACTGTCGCGCGACTGCATCCACGGCAGAGCTGATAAGCATCGTCTCGGCAGCTGCTCGCGAGCAATGCTCCCATAAGCCAATTCCTCTATGATTGCCGCATCGTGATTGCGTCCGAGCCGACTCCATGTCCCGATATGCCGGCGCAGCACCATCGGCTCCGCGGAGGGGGCCGCATTGGTCCCATCACCTGCGACAGTCGAGCACAAACTCGGATCGCGCATCCGAGGTGTCAGTGTCGGCGGCCTCGCCAGGCAGCATGTCCACGCACTCGACGCTGAAGGATGCCAAGGATGAGAAGCCGCGCAAGGCTGAGCACTACTGCGCCGTCACCGTCAACGAGGGATATTCGCGAGACGAGGTGCTGCTGAACCTGGACCTGATTGGCGGCGATATTAAGCCGGGCACCCTGATGTCCATTGCTGTCGTCAAGTCGGACTTGTCAAAGTCGTCGGCTGGATTTGGAAGCTTCAAGAAGCTGGCGCATGACGATAATAGCAGTCTGCGATACCAGAATGCCGGTCCTTGCGATCCGAACAGCCTGGGCTATCAGTACATCTTTGTCGCAAAGGACATGCCCAAGGAGGTCAAGGCCCGGCAGCCTGAGGCGGAAGTATATGTCGTGAAGCACATTGCAGACACTTTTGGAATGAAGAAGGGATCCATTGTTCTGCTGACACCGGTACGCTCACGGCCTTTTGTGACGTAGAACATGGTTGTGAATGACTTTGTGTGGCTGACCTGCATTCTCTCATAGGTTGACGACGATCACCCCGTTACCGAAGCTACGCACGTTGAAATGATCTTCAAAGACCAGTATCTCTCACGAGCGGATATGTGGCGGGTGGCCGTCGGAGAGCTTGCGCAGAGGACGGTGTACAAGGGACAGTCGCTTCTCTTCATGGGCACCATAAAGGCCCAGGTCACCACAATCTTTGCCAATGGGAACAGCGTCCATTCTGGCTTCTTTGGACGGGAGACGCGGCCAATCTTTCGCAGCGAATCGGCCAGATACGTGCTCTTCATCCAAATGTCCAAGGAAATGTGGGACTTTGACGCTGATAGTTCCGGCGAAATCATGTTCAATAAAGTTGTCAACGGATTTTTGCCAGCCCTGTTTAAGAGGTGGGTTAAGCTGAAAGTAAAACATCTGGTTAGCATTGTGCTATTTGCGCGTGTCGAATATGACACGGGCCTGTCGAACGAGCTGGACGCGAGCGGGCTCCAATCGGATTACTATACGGGAATTCAGCCCTATGGGAATCGCCGGCCTTATAAAGACTTCTATCGAGTCGTAGTGAGCGAGATGGCCAGTGGAGAATGGACGAAAATCCTGTTCCAGTTAAAGAAGGAACTCAACTACTTTCGAAGAGACATCACTTTGCATCACCAAACAGCAAATCCATCAGACGGCTCCAAGGATACTGCGCCTGGGGACGAACCTGTCCGCCGAATAAAGGCCGAATCTTCCTTTTCCATCCACGGCAATATCTTGGAGGCCATCAATCTTGCATGCGCCCAGTTCTCTCACGATTATATTGACCGAGACTTGACTAGGACAGGCATCTCCGTCGCCGTCATTAGTCCGGGGGCCGGTATCTTCGAAGTGGATTATGAGACACTACGAAGAACTACAGAGGCCCTTGTGGGGAATGGCATTGGAATTGACCTGATTTGCATGGCTCAAATGCCCCTTCACTCCGTTCCACTATTCAGATATCGGAATCCGCGGTTCTCGTACGCGGACGATTTATCTCAGGATCGCCATCATTCGCTGTCCAGATCCTTTCATAGCCGTGAGAGCACGCCAAATCAGCAGACCCCCATTGTTGGAAGCTTCCAGTCCGGTGGCGGTTCATTCTCGCCTTCCAAAAGCAGAGATATGATACGCCGCGTTGAACATCTTGATCCTCAAAGTAGACGTGACGAATGGTGCTATGTCCTGCCTCAGTGGCTGCATGTTTCGTTCTGGACTGGTATATCGAACGAGGCACTGTCATATGCGGGCGTTGCTTTGTCCGTGTCTAATAGAGTGGAGCAAAACGACGATGACGATTTCAGAATAAGATGTCGGATGTACGACCTCCAAATGAGGAGTGCCCTTGATACGAATGAGATCGAAATCACGTCTCTGCATTCGGATATCAATTATCCCAGTAACATCTTTGAGAATAGTAGCCTCTTGAAGAGACGTCAAGAGGCCATCGACGACCTCTGGTATAACCCACCGATCCGCCTTACAGATCATATAAACGAAAACATCCATGGCTTTCAAAGGTTCGCCACTGACAGGCTTAGTCGACCTTCAGACAGACCGTGGTGGAAGCAGCTACAAGATTTTGATGATTCTAGAGCCATCTTGACTCACCATAGGCGTCACCACCATCATGGCTCAGAAGCAGGTCTCAGGTCTGATGAAATTCGGAGGCACCACATGGAGGACTTGAATGTCCTGGGCACATCGCTTCCGGAAAAGAAACTGTACAGTAGCTTTCCATCTGCCAGGAAGCTCTCGATGAATCAGGCCGAGATAGAAAAGCCGAATATTTTCCCCAAGAGGACGTTCCCAGATCCGCTATCTGCAAACGCCCTGCCATCTCCTCCGCCTCCTCCTCAGCCGCAGTCGTTTACCTCAGCTCCTTATCAGTCGGCCACTCTTACCAAAGTCCCCTCAGCTCCAAAAGTGCCTAAATTCATGAAACAAATCAGTCTTGGGCAACGAGGCTTTGGCATAGCAGCTCCAAAGATTGTAGCGGCTGAGGTGAAAACAGAAAATGTCAACGCAGCAGTTACCAAAACAAACGTACCATTGACTCCTCGATCACGCTCAGATATGAGGCCGTCTACGCCTCAGACTATTAGAAGCCAGTCGCCATTTTCAATCACTAAGCTCAGAGCAGAAGCCACTGATCCCATCATGGAGAGGATGTCGTCAACGCCAAGCATCCCCATCTTGAAAAAGAACGGATCTAACCGCCACGATATAGGCACACACAATCTTAAAACAGGAACTTCTGCTCATCCTTCGGCATCGCGCATTCGCAGTGATAGCTTTGGGGAGGATGATCACGAAATGTATCAGAGCATGTTTCGACCAGAGGACCAGAAAATGATTTTGAATAAGCTTCGAGCTGGCGTTGGCGTTGGAGTTGGCGTCGCACCAGAACCCCCCGCAACGATTTCGCCTACATCAGCAGTCAGCCCCTGGCTGGTTTTGCTGAATCCGTCTCATCCAGAGAAGAATCAGATCAAGGACGCAAATCTATATACCCGTTGGCAGCACATATTTCCCCGCATATCTGATATGAAGATACAGAAATGGAAGGCTCTGTGTTGCCCCGCCGCGGTCCCATTGACGACGGAGTACTTTCCTACTAGGTCGCAGTTCGATACCGAGTATCAAAGACATCCGTATAGTGTGGATCAAAATGCGGATGATGAATTGAGCGAGGAGCCAAAAACAAGACAGGAATTTATCAGTGAGCTGATCAGCTTGCGGTTTTCACAAGGATTCCAGGTGGTGGTCGGATCAGCTGTTGCTCAGGCGTTTGGGCAGAAGATGATTAAACTTGGTGACATCTTCTCACGCAATCAGGTCCTCGAAGACGGCACAAGTATATTCATGTCAGTTGGCAACGTCATTCACCAACTCTCGTGCGTAAACGGGACAGAGGTTGAAGTCAACATCTACGTCAGGAAGCCCACGGCAGACATGTCGGGATTGCCGGAAGGATACTCTCCGATATATAAACCAGCCATTCGTACGCTATTTGATACGGACTATGAGGCTCGACGTATAGAGCTTTTAGCGATTCCTAGACCTGATCGCAATTGGAACATGATTGATTCGTACGCTGCGGGCCACCACGACGAGATGATGGAGAGCCTGCGGTTCTGGAGAGCTCGATTCGTCCTCATCCCGCTGGCTGCCCATAATCCTTCGGTGCCTAGGACGCAAACCGGCTTGTACCCCGAGGAAATCAGAATAGAGGGCATCAAACGCTTGGCGCATCTGTGGCAGAAGAATCGCTACATACCGCCCTCTGAACGCAGATTCCAAACTGCTAGAGGGCGTAGGCAGCTAGATCGCAGCCCCTTGGATATTGTCTACAAGACAGAAGACCCCTCTGTTGTCATTGCAGCCGAGCTGGAAACATTACCCCTAATTGAGGGCCTCGAGGGTGGTATGAGTAAGAAACATCAACTCGTGTCGAGGAAAGATCGGTTCGAAAAGTCAAACTTGAATTTTGCTGTCTTGGCCGAAGCGATGCAGCAGCCTGTGGAGCAGGGCGGTGTCCCCCTACGGAATCGTCGCTGGCATCTGCGGCTTCATTATCATTCTTTCCTCGGCTCTGATATGACTTCGTGGCTTCTAGAGAACTTTGATGATCTTGAGACTCGTGAAGACGCAGAGGATTTGGGCAACGCGCTGATGGTGCCGGAGGAGCCCAAAGGTAAAGACAAAGACAAGGAAACGCCAGAAAAGGAAAGGGAAAAAGAAAAGTCTAAAGGCCTTTTTGTGCACGTCGAAAGACGACATCGGTTCCGAGATGGCAACTACTTTTACCAGTTTGCTCCTGAATTTGCGAAGCAGCAGCCTGGCTGGTTTGGCAGCAAGAAGAAAGAAACCCCCTTGCCCACTACCCCTATGACAGAGTCGTCAATTGGGTCGGGTAGAAGCCGGTCGGTGCACGATGACTACTCTCCGGCGTCTCTGACCAGCACCCCTACGATGGCAGCACAACATACAGCCAAGAGCCGTCCCAAGGTAATTCTTAGCAAGGTCATCAAATACGATGTTGATCCTAGGAAGAGATCATACCGTCCTGAACGAATTGACCTGCACTACGACCGTCTTCATAACCCAGACAACTGCTACCACGTTAGGATCGACTGGATGAACGCAACCGCGAAGCTCGTAGAAGACGCCGTCGACGTCTGGGAGCGCGAGGCCAGCCAGTACGGACTACGTCTCGTGGAAGTCCCCATTGGCGAGGCCAGCGCAATCACAGAAATCAACCCCCTGCGAAGACCGTATCCCATCAAGCTTGCCGTGCAGCCGCCTGAACAAAAGCCCGAGACGTTTTACGACCCCAACTCTTTGGGGCCGCAGACGGTGCCTACAAAGTACTTTTACCAAAAATCGATTCTGCGGCACTTTGATTTCGTGCTCGACATGGAGGCGGCTTGCAATTATCCCGGCAATGTTGACATTATATACTCTTGGGGACGGCCAGACTACAAGTACACGCAGTATATCCATCGCTCGGGAGTACTGCTGGCTCAAGTAACGGATGACGGCCATTTCATCGTGTTGGCAAACCGCCTGTATGGCAGGCGAGCCGTCAAAGAGCGAGAATCCGCCGCAAGAAACTTCACCCCAATCGACCAGCCCCATCCCCACATGGAAAGGGGCACCGGGCGAGCACCATCGTTTGACTCCTTCAGCCTCTCGGAATCCATCATGGCAGGGTCTTCGATGCACATGGGCGGCGCTCCAACACCGTTACAACACCATGCCGACAGGCACCATCACCACGCTCCGCACCTCCACCACCATCACCCGTATCACCACCACCACACTCCATACCATCACCACTCCTCGCCCTCCCTCAAGCCCGTCAACTCCTCCGCCTCGCTCAGCACAATCCCGTCCCAACACCCGCCGCTGCCGTCCCAAGTCCCAGCCAACCCCACCGCGCACCTCTACGAGCCCGAAGCCATCAAGGAGGAGCTCGAGGCCTTTTGCTCCGACGCTACCGCCCTCGAGGCGTTCTACAAGGAGACGCTGGAGAGGGGCCAGATCATCCAGGGCACGCCGGCAACGGCGGCGGCGGCAAATCCGCCTGGCCTGGAGGCTGTGCCGGAGACGAGCATCCCCTCGCTAGGCTTACCGCCGGGCGTACTGGCGTCGCTGGATAGCGGGGCGGCGATGAGGATTGGGAGTCCGATGATGTTTTTGAGGAGGGGCAGTGTGCAGTTTGATGGGCTGGGGTTGGGAGGATCGAAGAAGTGAGAGAGAGAAAAATGAACAAGGTTAAGGGACGATAGGGAGGTTCAAATTTGGTTTTAATTAAAAAGTGATTTGTTTAGTTGACTATGGGTTAGGTTGCTACCTACGAGGTAGTTGTAATGTAATATCATGTCGTATATAGGTAGTCAGGTAGGTAGGTAATTTTATCCAGAGGATATGGAGTTCTTCGGCCAAGGATTTGCAAATTGCAAGTATATAGGACATTGAATAATAATGGATTGTATTCATAAGGAGAACTCGCCAGGTATTTCCACACAGTAGTTATCGAGATGATAATTGTATTGCACATGAAATCTAAGATATTTTAACGTCCTTGCTAAATAACAGAAAATAACAATCATAATACGTCCAAATTAAAGCAACTTTCCAAGTCAAATCTTCATTCATTCTATTTGGTATCAACTCAACATCCTACAAAACCTGTCCCCTGTTCTATCCAAGCAATTTTTTTTTTTTCTCTTTTTGTTTAAAAAAAAAAGCAAATTCCTTTACCAAGTCATAAAATGCAGGTGTGTTCAAGCTACCAGAACACACACATCTACTTCCTTCCCATCCAAAGCTGAAATCAAAACATCATGATAAAATAAAAAAAGAGTAGTTTAAAAAGAAGATACACAACGCAGTAAAGAGCTGCTGTGTTGATGTGAAAATTCGTCTGTACGTTAATCTAATAGTACATCGAAGAGAGGCGAAAGGAATAAGATCAAGGTCGTTTTTTTTTTCTTTTTCGGCACGATCGCTAACACGGATGTTTTTTTGGTCGTCGCAGATTAGGGAGGTAGAACGCCTTTTTTCGAAGATGAGTTTTTTTTCTTTGGTTTGCGTAATAAAAAAGTATATTTTCATAAATCCCAAACGCGTATCAAGAACCGGAGGCAAATTACTGGTGGAAAAAAAATGAATAAAGGTTGCGAGTGGTATCAAAGAAAGGAGGGAGAAATAGAAAAAGCAAAAGATGACGAAGGTCACGTCCATCTCCTTCTTATGCCGCTGAGGTCATGGTGTCGGAATTGGGATACCCTAAGAATAGACGCGTTAGCAATTATATTCCAGCTGTTCTTATTAGTAGTCCGAGACTTACAGAATGCGCAGACAGCGATGATGGCGTAGAGGCACATCAGCAACCAGCCTTCTAGCCAATGGCTCTTTCCATCGCCAATGAGGTAGTTGACCAGCAGCACAGCAACAAACATGACAGCAACCTGGAAGGTATCGAAGCTCAGGTTCATCTCGTCGTTGCCCATGCCCCAACCGATAACGACCAACATGGGAATGAGAAACAGGGCGACTTGCATGCTGGATCCAACAGCAACACCAATGGCAAGATCCATCTTGTCCTTGACAGCGACAGTGACGGCAGTAGCGTGCTCAGCGGCGTTGCCAACAATGGGAAGCAGAATAAGACCAACGAATTCATCGGACAGAGCACCGTTCTGTGTAATGGCATCGATGGATCCGACCATGAACTCAGCACAGAGAGCAATAATGACGGTAGAGCCAGCCAGAGTAGCAATAGCCACCCAGAAGTGCAACTGAGGGTCTTCCTCTTCCTCTTCCTCTATTGTGACATTGAAGTTGTCCTTGTCGATAGCGCGGCCGCCAACCATGGCGGCGGGAACCATTAAGCCTTGCTTGATGTTGGCGTTTGAAGACCCACGGCTCCATGGCTTGGCGGGAACCTTTTGGCTCTGTTCGTTGAAGACCTGCGAGTGGGTCTTGAGCTGGAAGAACAGGTAGGCGCCATAGACAACGAGCAGGATGACGGCAGTACCGCGAGAGAGCTTGGCAACGTCCTTGGTAGGGGTGTTGGCGGCGGCATCGAAGACGGTGGGAACAATGACGGAGGCAGCAGCCAAGGCCAGCATAGAGGCAGCGGTCTGAGCCACGGTGGTGTTGAAGTATTGCTCCGGGCGACGTAGACCGCCGAAGAAGAAGCAGAATCCCATGACGAGTAGCAGGTTGGAGAGAATGGAGCCAATAAGTGAAGTCTGGACGATGTTGACTTTGCCATCAATCAGAGCAATGATGGCCACGATGAGTTCGACAGCATTACCAAAGGTAGCGTTGAGCAAGCCACCAAGGGTCTCGCCAGTTCGGAGAGCAATCTCTTCGGTAGCAAAACTCAACATGGCGGCAAGCGGGATGATGGCGATGAAGTTGACGACGAAAACCGCGATACGATTGACGGAGTGGACGTAGTTGAGGGCGATACCAACCGGAGCAGCAACGAGCAGCACATTGATCCATGAGTTGAGCAGCGTTCGCTGGATCTGATTGGCAAAGGTAAAAGGCTCCTTGGGGTAGACGTGGCGGAAGAGGCCATTCTCCTTGGGCTTCTTCGCCTTGCTGTCGTCCGTCTCGCTGAGAGCCGGCGCGTTAAGCTTTTCATCCTGGTCCCCCTTGCCGCGATTTCGCACTCCATCGTCAATTCCTGACTGGGTTCGGATGAGGTGCTCCTGCGTCTCATTGCTGGGCTTGCGAACAGCTTCTTCCGTGCCTGCGCCAGTTCCGGGTTCTTCTTCTCTGAGGCCCGTTTGCGGATATGGTGATGTGACTGACTGTGTCAAGTCCGCCCCATGATGGGTGTCTCCAAGCTCGACATCCCAGGTGTTGGATTGCTTCTTGCCGTGCGTTTTGGTGTAAACGTGTCGGAATGGGTTCCAGCTCTCATCGCTCTGCCGGCTATGGATATGCGCCAGGCGCTTGATGTTGGCGTGATTGACTGAGAACAGTTGGGTTAGTCTATGTCTCCCCTCGCTGCCATCGTCCCCCGTCGCGTGCGACGACATTCGTGAGTTGTGATTGGTGAGCAGAAGCGTACAGCTTCAACGGCATGGGACCAGAAGCATGAAAATCGGGTTCAAGGAATGAGATAAGGAGGCAATGAAAAAAAAAATGTAAATTAAAGACAGACGCTATGCAAAAAGCAAACAAAACCGCAAAAGAAAGACGCAAAAACAATGGGCTAGTGGTGATGGTGAAGATGCGACGGCGGCAATGAATGAATCCCAACAAGCCACTCCCTCGACAGGTCCATTGAAGGGTCTGCGACGGTGCGGTATTCAACGGGGGAAGAAGAACTGCTCGGCGGCTCCGGATATTCTCGATGGGGTAAAGGAAAGGCGAGAGAAAGCAAGGCAGCAATAGGCAGTAAATAACAGGAGACAGCGGGCAAAACGGGCATTAACACTCACATGATTGCGACATGGTCTGCTACACAGCCCGGTCCACTCAGGCAAAACTCCACCAGTGGGTGATTAGTGTTCCGGCAAGGAAAACAGCCAAGTCAAAGGATCGGGTTGGGTGTCGTTTGCGAGTGGTTGGCGCGCGCGTCGTTTCGGTGACTCGGAGGTTGGAGATGCGCCGTGTGCGAGAACGAGTCTGGGCGACGGCGATCGCTTTTATCAAGAAGCGCAACGGGCGGCCTCGAAAAGGGCAGTGCCTCAGCTCCTGTGTTTGTCGATGGAGACGGTGATTTGAGATTAATTGTCTCTGATTCCACTCCCTGCTGGGGGGGGCTGTGGCTTGCTGGAGCTAGGATGGCTAGCAGACCTGGAATGGTGGGAGTGAATTAATCTCCAGGAACCCCTGGCGCCGCTACGACAACACGCGTACTTGTACAGTATTTGTAGTCGACGGTGGCTGGTACCCGCAATATAGTGACGGTCAAAGGACTCGGGCGTGTCCAGCGAGCGTGAAGAGCAGTTGCTGTTCAGCAGAGCAGACGGGCAAGGACTGGACTGATTCAACGGAGATCGGATCGAGATCTCCAGACGTTCAAGTGGCTTTTCGGTGATGCAATGGAGTCGGGTCCGTGATATATGCGTGCCAAGGCTTCTCGAAGCGCTTGTTTCTCTGTTTGCAGCGAGTGTGGGCTACACAGCAGCAGCTCGCAGATCCGAGTGCCTGGCTCCGGGACGGTGAACGAGTCGCGAGGCTGACTGAACAGACTGATTCGTCGATGATTCCTGAGGTCAAGCACCAAGGCAGCAGCACAAATGGTGTGGCTTGAACTCCCACGTTGGATCGGAACGAAGCGAAAGAGGCTGTGCCAGCGGAGAGTGACAGATGGGGAACAGAAAAGAGCGTGGACTAAAGTGTAAAAAATTAGAGTGAACGGAGCTTCGTTTTCGTTTGCCCCGTCAGCAGCGTGCAGTGAACGACGAGAGAACGCAGCGCAAGGCCGTAAGAAGGAGGGCAACGAAGGGTGAGAAGTGAGGTGCAGAGAACAGAAGAGAGGCGGCCACAATGTGTTTTTGGCTTGGAGGACGTCAAGCAAAATTCATGACGGTGCTGGTGCTGTCCCCTAACTAAAATTCAAGGTTATTTGACCACGCACCTCTAAAAGCGCCTGGCGGCAGTTGCTGGGGCTGTCAGGGGTGCAGGCACTAAAGCGGTTGTACAGCCAGAGTACCGAGTACTTCGTATGGGCTGCACTGTGCTGCGTCGTGGCAACGTGTTGGGGTTCTACAGAGGTCAGTTGGCAGGGAGCCCGAGTTATGCGGCCGTGCTCAGCGCTGTGACTGGGTCTTTAGTGACACGCCAACCCGCTGGACGTGGCGCTGTGCACTCAACTGACCTCATCACACTGACACAAAACAAACAACCCGACACCATCACAGATAAGCATCATTGATCTCTTTGTTCACAGCCATGGCACTTGCATCGGTACTGTCTGTCTGCTGATCCGGCGGGACGCTGATCGTCTACGGGCACTGTACGGTGCTTGCACATACACAGGCAAACGGGCAGCGGCTTCGAGAGGCCTCCATTCACTCCGTAGCGGTGTCCACGTCCACGTCTTTGTCAGTTTGTCTCGGGTGTCAACATGATGCTGTATAAAACAGTCTGGCACTAGCCGCGTAGTACCCGTGTACAGTATATCCCTCCCACAACTTGAAATATGGCTGTGCTGGCCCGAGGTGCTACAAGCCACGACATGACATCTCCTCTGGTCGTCTATACACGTATTGAACGCTGGTAATCTTATTCGATTCCTTGACGCCTACCATTGCAAACACACTTCAGCCCAGATTATACGAGCCTGTCCCCAGTCTCCAGGCTCAGATGCTTCCCTTGTTGCCACTTTACCGCTATTTTCTCTGCCTTTTGTTGATTGACTATACCTAGGCATCTTCCCATCTTTCTAGGACCAGACAACGCAAAGCTCCCTTGTAATAGCCTTTCAACCACATCCCAGTCTGTGCTCGCCTGTTTCAACCCGGCCACAAAAGCCACACATCACCCCAAGTACCGCTCATGTATCTTTTACTTGCTCGTTTAACACATTCACCCATTGATCGTTCTAGTGGCATCCCCCCCTGGACCCAATCTTTTCCCCAGTCTACATACGCCGGCCTTTGTCTTTTCCCTGCCCCTTGTCCCGCTCTTTAGTCCCAAACTTGTCCATCCACAGCCCCTGACGGAGAAATTTTCCTAAACTCTAGTGCAGGCGAGCTGTTTCTAAAAGCTTTTTGACTTTTTTGTCATGACTCTGCAACGAATCGCAATGGCGATACTATGTACTAAAAAAAGAAAAAGAAAAAGAAAGAAAAGAAAAAGAAAAACCCCCCTTGTGCCTTACAGCGCCAGCTCATAGACGCAGGTCATAGGCGTGTTTCCATAGGCCCAATTCAATTGTTTGGTACCCAACAACCAAAACGTGCATACAGTACGCATACACCTAACCCACGGCATACAGGTCACAGTATCAGGCGGCAAAATATGTGGCCATGTGTAGGACCACATAGAAACGAAACGTGCGCCCAGGCCAATCAATTGGCCTCTCCACGCCCAACGGAGTAACCCATTCGTTTCTTGTTCGTCATGACTCTACACCATCTCCCCCCAATGAAAGCAAGATTTCCGCCGCCACTAGTAGCTAAATTCCTTGTTTCTGAAAGTTATGCTTCTTTCCACTTCCCACCTATCAAGATTTCCAGGATGCGATTCCAAGACGGCGTTGATATAATTCTTACTGCATAGGCAGTAGTGCAGCACGCAGCTACAGTATGCAGTAGCATTCTCTTCTCCCTTGCCTTGTACAGCATTTTACTTGCGGTGAGCTCTGCATCATGCACTCCTGCGTCCCCCCATCCTCTCCGCATAGCATTCTTTTCTATTCCAGTATCTTGACGTCAGGCTCTGCATTCTGCATTCTGCTGTACAAGGCCAGCCCCTGCAGCCCTCCATGCATGCAGTCTGCAGTCTGCGCCGATGCATGCAAGCCCGCATCTCACAGGCCGTTTTTCATCGCTCCCGTACTGTACCCATTTGCAGCCATCCATTCGAGCTGCCTCGTACAAAGCTTATCCTCCAATACGAGAGAGAGAGAGAAAAGGCCTCTCTTCCTCTCACCGCAATACGATGCAACGCGTACCCGCACGGGCACTATCTGGTCCGTCATCCGTCCGTTCTGCCCGTATCAACGCCACATATATGGAGGTCGCTGCGGCTGGGTGAGAGCAAAGCCTCTCACGCCTGCGTAAACCCGTCGACGTCGACTCAACACCGCCCATTAGATAGTTCGCATAGCCCGCCGTAATTCCACAACCACCCATCAACATGCATCAATAGTAAGAGAAAAATGATATTCTACTAATAAACACATGCCTGCAATACGCAATACGCATCAGCCTGTTTTTTATCCCAATCGCAGTTACATACCATTCTGGGCAATCGCCCAATCAGGCACTATGCCACGCTAACATCTTCATTGTTGCTAAAAATCATCGCCGTCAGCACTTTAGCAGCATCAGGCCCCCATGGCGACAAGCTTATTTCTTATTTACTTCCAAGGCTCTTTTATTTTTCCACAACTAGGAGCCTATAATACACCTAGAGGTACTATCAGACCACAAGGCCGTAATCGAATACGCCCGTCTTCTAGTGCCTTCGTCTACCAATCTACCAGCCCATCCAATTGTCTTCCGCCACAACTTACATTCCTGGCCTCTCAGCCATGCAGCTAAGCTAGCCCTGGATTCATCACTACAATGATTCCCGTTCAATGCAGCCTTGCCATGATCATATTCCAAAACTGTCTCGACATTTACAACCAATAGATTCATGTCTGTAACCAGCTAGTCCTGCCGCTAGACACAGTATTGGGCGGAAAGCACGTCCGCTCCTCGTACACCTAACCAGACCGGCACTAACAAGCATCTTGCCATGTCATCTTGGGCTGCAACCAAAGAAAAATCCTTCCACGATTTCTACGAATCACCTCACCAGCTCCCAACAGTGCCAAACCCAGCATGAATTAACGCCCAGTGGCACCATCATTAACATGATACACCAGCCAGCTTCAGCCCATCACAAAGCAACACATGGCAACACATGGCAACACACTTTCTTTTCATGACTTGATAGACTCAATTTACTGCCATAGACTTTTAGCCTTGTCTCTTCCAGGCATTGCATCTCTTTGAAACGCCAGATAAAAACTATTGTACAAACTCATGTAATAGGTAATCGACTACCAAGGTAGAGTCAGGTAGGTATCATGTGAAACGCCCTGAAATCAACCATTCTTCTCCCAAAAAACGCCATCCGTGGTCCACTAACGAGCAAAAATGTATATTCCATGCCTGAATTTCTTCCGTCTCGACTATATTCGATCAGGCAATGCCCAACCGAAGGATCGATGTCGTATATTAACCACTTGCACTCTCCAGCGTCCAACGCCCACTCATGCCATTCCATCGGCATCATGTTTTAATAAGAAAGAGGGTGAAGATAATGGAGGGGAAAAAAAAAAAGAGTATGCCTAGGGCGACGCCACTAGGGTACTTGGTAAAATGAATAGAGACAAGGGAAGAAGAGAAAAAAAAATTGAATAATGAAATGAGGAAACAAGATTCACTGAAATCGGTCGCCGTTGGCCCAGCATCAAATCTGCTGTAAATGCTCT